AAAAAAAAAAAAAAAAAAAAAATAGCCGCCTAAACCTTGAGAAATCCAAGGAGCTGGACTGGCGGACTGGTCATGCAAAATAGCAAGGAAATGCTATGGAGGTCCTAAGAGCTGCCGGCAGCCCTGACGACGGCGTCAATGGCCGCACCAACGGACTCGACGTTGGTGGTGTTGAGGCCGGCAATCGAAGCGCGGCCAGTCTTCATCATGTAGATGTGGTGGTCGTCACGGAGGATGCGGGCCTGCTCGGCATTGAGGCCGGTGTAGGAGAACATGCCGATCTGGTCGACAATGTGCTCCCAGGTGCCGGGGGTGCCCCTCTTCTGGAGCTCCGAGTACAGGGCCTGGCGCATCTCCTTGAGGCGCTCCGACATGGTGCGCAAGTCGTCGAGCCACTCGTTGCGCAGCTGCTTGTCGCTCAGGATGGCGGCGACGACGCGGGCGCCGTACAGGGGGCAGACGGAGATCTCGCCGCGGATGACGCGGACGATCTGGCTGAGGGTGTTGGGCTGGGCCTCGGGCTTGGAGAGGAGCAGGTGGAAGGCGCCGACGCGCTGGCCGTACAGGCCAAAGTTCTTGGAGAAGGACTGGGCGACGGCGATTTCGAGGCCGCGCGAGGCAAAGTGGCGGATGGCCCAGGCGTCGCGGTCGAGGTCGCCCGAGGCGAAGCCCTGGTAGGCCGAGTCGAAGAAGGGGAAGATGCCCTTGTCCTCGCACACGTCGGCAATCTGCTGCCACTGCTCCTTGGTGGGGTCGAGGCCGGTGGGGTTGTGCGCGCAGGCGTGCAACACGATGATGTCGCCCTTCTGGCCCTCGGCGCGCAGCGTCGCCATCATGCCCTCAAAGTCCAGCGAGCGCGTCTTGGGGTTGTAGTAGGGGTGCAGCTTCTGCTCGACGTGCCCGGCCGCCATGGTCCAAATCAGATGGTGGTTGCCCCACGTCGGGTCCGGGAACCACACGCGCTTGGCTCCGAGCGTGTCCGTCAGGAAGCGCGCGCCCACGTGGCATGCTCCCGTGCCCGAGATGGTTTGGACCGACGCGATGCGCGGCGCCAGCACCGGCGTCTCCTCGCCGAAGACGAGCGCTTGCGCGTGCGCCACAAACGGCGGGAAGCCGCTCATGGGCGGGTATTCGTGGTCGACCGTGGGGTCGGCGAGGATGCGCTCTTCGGCCTGGGAACAACCATTGTCAGTCCAAAATGTCCAGACACGCCTCAATTGGAAAAGAGACCATGATGGAGGGGCACATCTTCTCAACGCACCTTTCTCACAGACGGCAAGATCCACGGCTTGGCGTCATTGTCGCGGTAGACGCCCGCGCCCAGGCTGACCTTGCCAGGTGTCGCGTCCAGGGCAAAGTCGCGCATGATCAAGAAGGCCTCGTCCATGGGCTCCTCCTCGAGCGCCGCGAAGCGCGACTCCGGTATCGGCAGGGAACCCATTTGTGGCTGTAGGCGGCTATTCGCGGTTGTTCAAGGGAGCGGATGACGGTATGTTGATGAGCACGACGCGAACGGCTCAAAAAATCCTGCTGGTTCTCGGGGGTGGGGGGAAAGGTTTTGAAGACTGAGGAATTCGAGGGAGCCCGCCATCTTCTTATGCTGGCTCCCGTCCCTCGCCCGGCTGACGGCGTGAGCCAAATCCCCATAATTTTTTTCTGCGCACTGTTCTCCCCGCCCGAGCACCGTGCTTTAGCTCGGGGGTCCACTTGCACCTTGATGCCGCTTCCCGGTCTGGATTTATGGGTTGTGACTCCCTGTGGCGTTCTTCCTTGACGGCAACGTGCGGTGCTGACTTGCCGGAGATAGCCTGCTGTGAATTGGTCTGCGTGATGTTGATGTCGTTGGCCATGTCCGGACCGAACCGAACCGAACCGCATGAATTCGGCTTCAGCCGTAATGTCGCACTACTGAGCGTTAGGTTGTGCTCAGTAATGGTCTAACATGTAGGAACTTGGGCGGAGCACGAGCGTTTTAGCAAGATGGTCCGGTGTGTGGCCTAAGAGCTCTCGCAACAATCTTACATGGATGAGTTTGACCGTGGTAGAAGTATTCAAAACAAATGCTATCTATAATTCTTCATGAAATGACAGTACGTTTTACTGAGCTTAATTGAGTTTTAGATTTGTTTAAACTTATGAATTCATTCAAATGAAAGAAGGATATCAATAGGAACTGTCTTCGTCCGCAAACACACCTACATGCGGCTTTCTTTTTCCGAAAGTTCCGGTTAGCTCTAAATAAGTGACGCCTCAATTGCCTGGGAAAACCGCCTTTAGCCGGTTAAACATCATGCCATGTTCAGGTATACGGATCCAAGCCATTGGCGCCCAGCTTCAAGGTCTTTGACTGTACAAAGTTTGAACCACCTACATACAAGCAGTCATTTCAGAACACAAGCTTCAATGGGCAACTAAAGTGGCTGTTAGTGTTCAAAGTGGCATTCTAAAGCGAATGGTACTGAACTCATGCCATAAACCACTGCGTTTGGACCTTAATTTCACCGAATATCGTTCGGTGGCACCACCGAAAATAACGTCAAGGCCGATGTCGCTCATTTGCTCTTCATCGTTCTGTCATCTCATCATCTGTAACGAGTAAGAAGGTAAGTCGAGACCAATACGTGTTTCAGGTCATGCTCTGGCAGTTGCCATCGTTACGAAAGAGGACTCCGACGGATAGCAGACTACTTAAGATTGCCCCTCCTTGTTTACATTGTATCAGCTGGGTTCCACACTTCCATACCGTGAGGGGAGAAGACGGGATATTTTTGTCACTTATACTGTTCACTTCTCTGAACTGTCACCGGATTGTCCAGGATTCTGGAAGAGAACTGCGTGCTCCAGTGTTGTAGGATGGAAGTCCAGAGCCTCCCAGTTACCAAACCATCAGCGACTGTCAGTGAAAGGAACAACACACCTCGAACTTTGCATCATACCCTGTAGTGAAACCTGCTTAATTAGTTAGACTAGCAGGCCATTGCCGCTAAACCTACTGTTCACAAGATATCTTCTCACTGTAATCTTGCATTGCATCAGCTAGGCAACAACCAGACAATTGGGGCTGATTAAGACGCTATAGTTGAGTTATTGTAGAGCTACTAGCATCAATTGGAAGCTGGTATTAATTAACTAGCTGAGAGCCTGAGACAAAGTGATGTGCTGACAATGACAACCGCAAGTTCAATTTTTTATCAAACAATGATGACGAAGGAACCTTTCACTGGCGACTAAGCGAGAGTGCGAGTGGAGCTGCTTGCAAATTGAAGTGTTAGAGAAGTCTCTCTTTGCGCTATATATCAGTAGGTCAGTGTTGGTAGAACGCACATCTAAAGTCATCGTGCGTTCAATCTTATCGGTGGCGGGGAAAGGAAGGAAAGTAACCCCGTTGATATGTATAAATTCCTTGCTTTGCGGCCTGGCGGTGGGCGTTTATCTAAAACTCGCTATCGCTCTCACAGGGGTCACCCCACAGTCGGCGACAAATCCAGGCTCTTGAAGTGTCATAATTCCTGATGAAATGAGTCACGTAGGCAAAACAAGCTTGTGCTTGATATCTTATCAACACCATATGGCCCCTCCATCGTTCCTGGTTCCTGGCGAGTGTTTGTATGTGCTTGCGTAGTCCTCTGGGGCAAGAACCAATGAATCAGCGTCTCTGGCTGTTCTGTGCAAGACGGATCTGCAAACTGTTGCAGACCACGCGGAACGCATAATCCATGATTGTAACTGTGCGTGGTTCTTTCCGTGCGTCTCCCATCCATGTTCCGCTCACAGATGGGAAGACGGGGGTCCAAGAAGTTGGAAGAAAGCGCAGGGGTTTAATCTTGGTGGGGAACGTCCAGCCAAATGGAAGCTTTGCCGTTGCGAATCAGGACGACTCTCGGAAATATTCGTCGTTACACAGCGATGGTGCAGAAACATGAGCTTGGAGAGTTTTTGTCGAGAAAAGGTTGAACTTCTACTCCTACCTTTAGGACGATGCCTTATTACTATCCTGCGTGTCGGCTCGTACCCGGAGCCTCGGATGGTGGGTCGTGGGGGCTCCAATGTGCCTGATAGTCGGATATGCATCTTGGTATCTGTGGAGCCAGTACGGAGTAGGACGACTACGAGCACTACCCGACGTTCGCGATGCGGCTCCTGGAGTTTGCGGCACAGCAGGCGTGCGCCTTCGGCCAGATAGATCTTCAGGCGGGAGAGATATCGTCATTGCGACCAAGTCAGGCATGCGGACGCGCGGGGAGAAGTCGAGGGGAGGGTGAGTCGTGAAGTTTGGTCTGACACATGGGCGCGCTGCGATTGGAGCCCGCGCGTCACGGCTCTGCGGGTGGCCTTACGCTAAGCATTTAGCTGATGCGCCCACACGGATAAAGTCGTATCTTCTTCGGCAACGCTCTGCCAACCTGGGCTATCGCCGCCCTATCACCGCCTCCCGCCATGTTCGCCGGCATGCGGAGAAGTCATGGGTGCGGCGGGCGGCTTCCGCCTGCTGCTTTAAACATGAATTCCCGTCCCGCCATTGCCTCCATATACACCAGCAGCTATGGCCATGGCGACGCGCAGGACTATGAGTTGCACCGCTACCATCACCGCCGAGAAGCGCGCCAGCGTCTCCTCCATCGACGATGCCGTCCAAGAGCCGGCCTCCAAGAAGCTGCGGAGAAGCTATGTCGCGTGCGTTTGCCCCTCATATGTCCCATTGACCACCCGGGCTGACGTGTACCGCCCATTCCAGCTGCCACAGGTGTCATTCCCACAAGATCAAGTGCTCGGGTGAGACGCCATGTCGGAGCTGTAGAAAGTCCAACAACTCCACCCAGTGCGTCTACCCGGTCCGAGATCGGAAGGTTGTCATCTCAGAGAGGTAGGGCACCAAACCTGCGCTGGTATTCGGACTGGCCTGACGACTCACAGTTATCTGAAGAAGCTTGAAGAGGAGAATGCTTCCTTGAAGTGTACCACTCCCTCTTCGACCATTGGTACCTCTCCGGGCCAAGTGTCTCCGGAAGACAATAAGCAAGACATTTTTGACGGCGACAGCGAGGTCGACGTTGCCAATGTTGATGTTGTCAACCCTCTTCTGGAAGAACACAGCCGTCCGGCACCATATGAGCGCGCGTCAGGCAAACCTCTCTATATCGGCGGGGCAGCATGTTCGGCTTTTGGAACCAGGCTACGCTACTATGTCAAGGGCGGTGATACGATATCACAGCCCAGGCGTATGGTTTGCTACAAGCATAGGGGCTTGTTGCGCATTGCCAATACCGAGTTCCAGCTGCCGAACAAGACGTATGCGCGAATGTTGGTGCAGGTCGTGCTGAGGTTCACTGGTTCGGACTACCACCTAATTCAGCGTAAGAGTTTCATGAAAAGGCTCGAGGAGACGTATAGTGCGCAGACACATGACGACCCTGTGTTTCTGTGCAGGTTGTTTGTAGTCTTTGCCCTCGGAGAGCTGTATTCGAAGAAGGCGTCCGTGTCTGGAAACCGGAGGATGGTGCCAGGCATTGCTTTCTTCTTGCAGGCCATGTCTCTGTTTCAAGACTTGCATGAGGAGGCGGATGTGGAATACATCGAGACGCTATTGGTGATGGTAAGTTGATCGTCTGCGCCAATAGGAGAGCTAATATTGATTCGGCAGTCATTTTACTCTCATGCGTTGAACAGAAAGAATACGGCCTATACCTACGCAGGACTTGCTCTTCGATTGAGCTTGACGCTTGGCTTGCACCGGAACATCACTTTCGATTCTAGTACGAGCCCGGTTGAGATTGAGAACCGGCGGCGCGTATGGTGGACCGTTTACACCTTTGATCGTCTTACGAGTTCTAAACTTGGACATCCAGTTATGGTTCGGGACGAAGATATTGACGCTCCATTTCCATCGGTAGATGGTCTAACTCTTGAACAGCGCGAAGAGTTTGTGGGGGCGGAGCAGTTGGTCGCCAATATCAAACTCGCACAAATAACGGGACAGATATTGAACTTGATCTACTGTATTCCAAACAAGGATCAAGAGACCACTTTCGTAAGGAACATGCATAAGATCTTGAACAGCCTGAAGGAATGGGACGCGATGCTGCCGGATTGTTTACGATTGGATCCTAAAGCATCGCCACCTTACCGTACTCGGTCGGTGGCTTCTTTGCGGTTGCATTTTAACCAGGTATGGTCCCTGTTAACCGTCAGCGACTTAAACTTACCAGTTTAGTGCGTTGTCCTTGCGACCCGCCCAATCCTTCTTTACGTCTTCAAATACCATGTCCGGCCAACTCATGGTACCGTCGCGTCTCCCAGCACTGCGAAGCCTTTGTCTCCCATGACCACTGCTCTCAGCGAAGCCTGCATTCATGCCGCTCGCTCATCCAACAAGTTACTCGCCCAGCTCTGGATTGATGGCTCCATCGCCACTTTTGGATATTTTGACGCCCATTACATTTTTTCTTCGACGATTGTACTCCTCATGGCCAATATCCTGTATCCCAGCGAGTCGGACAAAGAGAGTATTGACCTGGCATGGAGCCTTTTGCAGACCATGGCCGATGATGGAAACCTGCCGGCCAGCGAGTACTGTGAACGCCTTGTCCTGCTACAGAAGGATCTGGATGACATGTGCGGGGACAGCCAGAGCAGTTCCATGACGGCAACGACGCCACCAAACAGGTCACTGGACCATGACTCCAAAATTGATCCGCGTCTGTCCTCGACATCAAGCTTCAAGCAGTCTCCACAGAGCGACCAGATTAGCCCGACGACTGTGATAGATCCACAACAGTTTTTGAGGGGAGCAGCCGGACCGTCACCGCCGAGTAGTGCTCCACTGGATGATCCGTTCATCCAGGACTTTTTGACGCAGCCGGATAATCAGTGGAGTCCCGGCACGCTAGATGTGGGCGGAGACAGCTCGATACCATGGGCCTTTAGTTGGGAGGCTGGAGAGTTGCAGAGCCAATTTGCATCTGCATGATGTATCGGCAGTTTGATGTTGTAACCCAGATGATTGTTCTGCCTTGTTGGTAAAGCCTCCAACCTAAGCGATGGGTTTGCCAGTGCAACTGCATGGTCATCCTACGAGGTCCGGTCTGAGCCATTCCATTCCGGCACATGGTCGTGTTGCTATCCAAGCATATGGCCAGTGTTGGTCTCGGATGCGCAAGCGTACGATAGCTTTGTTGGACACGGACGACGAATGGTGTCTGCTATGCGAAGGCATCCGCTTTGCAACCGGCCACGAGTTCAGCTGATCTGGTCATATCCTCTTGAAGTGTCCACATCGCACTCATTTCCAGTCTTGGCTTGTGAGATTGACGAAGAGCCTGTTGCGAAGTAGATGGATCGTTCGGTCTCCGCTACCCAGTATTTCTTTCGACGAGGATTGGTGCTGTTGCAATGTCCCAAGAGTTGGTTCGGAGCAGATGGTAGTTTGAAAAGCGGGGTAGAGTATCAGCAGGAATCGAGTAGGAAGTAATAGGCGAAGTGGCGGTCCCGTATCTTCCAACGACAACTTCGGACAGTACAGATGCTGTGTAGTAGGTGTCGAAAGCAAAGACCGTATGTTGTTCGCCGTGGACAAGGGGCTGTAGGCTCGGGTGTCGGGCGCGTTCTTCCTTTCTATAGGCAGCAGAGTTCGTTCGTATCGACCATCCAACCAAGTCATCGGTTATCGCAACCGGAATGAAAACATCAACCCCGTACCGATTTGCGTGCTCATAACAAACAACGAGAACAAAGGGTGACATGGCGCAAGCAGCACTCACAGCCAGAGCAAGCAGTCAGAATGGACAGCCTCGACCTATATCCCTCCGCCCCCAATCCCCTCTCGCACAACGCACCGCGCCCTCCCGTCTCGGCGCGCCTCACTCCTACCATCCAGCCAACCGCATCCAGCGCCGCACGCCCAACCAACACGCCAACCAGCCAGCCGAGCGCCGCCGCGCGGCGTCGCAGTCGACTGCCTTATCGAGGGCAAAGTGGTCGGCCCCGCTCGGCTCGGCCGCGCCGGGACCGACTCCTATCTTGGACGGCATGTCCTGCATGCGCGCGGGTTCCCCGCCATTGCGGCGAGATAGGGGTGTGCGTGTGTGTGCGTGTGGGTAGGGGGATGACGTAGTTGGGCGTTTGTCATGCTTCCTGTCATGCCTTGGCGGAGAAGGCGTATGCAGGCTGCCTGGCTTTGTCGTGGTGTACAGTCAGGATGTACGATGCGGTGGAGATGGCGGCGACAACGGCGGGTTGATCGGTGGGTTGATGATGCGGTTTCGGAGGTGAGAGAGAGGTTTAAGACCGCGTGCTTGCTGTGCTGGTTGCTTTGTGCTGCTTATTTCTTGTCCTTTCTTCCTTCGGACATCCAGCAAGTACGAGCCGTGGAAGGCCTCCTTTGCTACTCGACACAGTCCGCCGATCGATCCAATTCACCATTTTTTCACCCGAGCCTCCGCACACGATGACCTTCGCGCGACACGTCTTCTCGCCGGAGCCGTCCGCGATGCAACTCGTATACGGCGACAACGATACCGCCGGGTTCCTCAATTTGCTCTCCTCGTTCCAAGCGCTTGTTCTCAAGTCCGCGCTCTTCATCTCGATGCATATCTTCCTGTTCATCTTCACCCTGTCGCGGGGAGAAAAAGGGCAGGAGCAGCAGCCTCGGCAACGAGGTTTCTCTTGGACAGCGAAGGAGCAGCACAATTTCGGGCAGAAAAACGCGCCTGCGGAGGCGATGCCAGGTGCTGATATCCTGAAGCACGGGAGGAAAGACAGCCTGTTCTCCTGAGCTTGTTGTGTGATTGGAGTGCTAAGAATACACCTTGAGCAAGGGATGCGTAGAAAATTTATTCGTCTCCAAGTATCATTCATGGATCGTTCCGCGTCGTTTACGAGGTCGTTGATATTCCTTGGCGCGTGTCATCGGAATGCATGGCGAGAAGAGATGGACTTCGTAAACATTGGTTGTTGTATTGGCGCACGGCGGAAGGGGCAGTGAAAGATTGTGGAACGTACATCCATGGTGTAGCGACTGCGCACATGATGAGTGGGTGACTGCAAGAAAGTGTTACCTTGGCTAAACTCCTTTGGTTGAGAGATTTGAACGTGCGCACGCTGAACCAGGTGGTTGGAATTTGCGTTATGTATCGTGTACTCAAGGTACTCATTTTGTACTATTATTCTTCCTCTTGTGATCGGTGTTTGCACCATGATGGTCCTCAAATGATGCACGCTCCGCTTTTGATCCTCCGGGTCGATCGCGGACGGATACCTTAGTGTCAGTGGGGGTTGTGGCGATGCAGGTAAGAACAACAATCAGAACTTAAATCATGTCTGGACAAACGAAGCATCACATATCACAAAGTGGAAATAAAGGTTGTTCAATTAAGCCGTTTAGGCTTCATTCATCCTTGTAGGGTATAAAAGTACAGTTTCGTAACCGTCATTTCCCATCAAAACCCATTATCCACGTCTATCCTCGCAGGTCTAGAGCGCTCAAAGGTTGTTGTGGTTGATCGTGTCGTGGAGCAATCTATTTCTTGCCCTGGAGGGTGTCGGAGACAGCCTGAGCGGCGTTGCCGAGGGTCTCGGAGGCGGACTGAACGATGCCCTTGCTCTGCTGGGAGGCGTTGTCGGAGCCGGAACGGGTGCTGTCGGACAGCTGCTGGGTGGTGGACTTCTGGTCGTTGGGCTGGACGGCACCGGCGGCGCTGAAAGGTTTGTTAGTGAATGGCCAGCAGATGAGAGTAGTAAGTGATGAGCTTACCGGTCGGCGACACCAGAGACACCCTCCTTAGCCTGGTCGAGAGTCGACTTCTGGGAGTCGGGAGTGACCTTCTCCTGGAGCTGGTCACCAACAGACTTGCGGCCGAGGTCAGACATGTTGATTGAGGTTGTGTGGGTTGAAAGTGTAGAGAAGAGTTGTTGTTGTTGGAAGTAGAGGAGTTGTGAGTGTTTGCTTGATGATGGAGAGAAGTTGAATGGCGACGGGCGGGCTTTATGTAGAGGCGACGAGAGAGCCGCTACGTCATGGAAGGAAGCAGAAGGAGGTCCCGCGAGCTCACAATGGGCCTTCCTCATCCGGGGGCGGGAGCGGTTAGCGCAATCATGATGATGACTGCCCCGCCAATTGTGGCTTGTGCCCTGCGGGCGTGAGGACATCATGCCGTCATTTCCCCTGATTCCTCGATGCCGTGCACTGCGCTTTCGGCCACAATCCCATGTTTGAAGTCTGGATCCTGCTTTGCGCCTCTGGAGGACCCACCGTGCGAGGGCGTCCGGCGCGCGTTGCGGCTCGTGGAGACGCTGGATGCACTGCTCGATCTCACATGTGGCGGTGCGAGATCGGACGCGGTCGCGCTACGTCATTGGCCCCGCGGGGGGCGTGACCCCGCCATTCCACCCAAAGCCTAGAGCATCAACCTATCGACATTTCGCTATTCCATTCAAAATGACATCAATTCATCCCGTCCGATCGTGATCAGCTCCAGTGCCCACTCATCCAGGGGGAGCTCTCCCAGCGTTTCAAAGCCGGCGCGCCTTCGCCATCTCCCAGCAAATCACACCGCCACCTCCACCGCCACTATCATCATTGTAGGATGTGAGGCGCGTTGAGGACCCGTTGCGGGGAGCAACGCGTGCTGTTCTGGAACAACGAGTGGGCGCGTGACGCTGGTTGAAGCAATATGTGGCCAGTTGCCCGGGATCCATCACATGCCTCGGCTTGTTTTCAGGCTGCAGTAAAGTGCCGTCCGATCTGTGCTTCCTATTGTGCAAGGAAAGTAAGGCAGCAGTGCATGCATATTCAAATTGTGCTGCCTAATGCAACCTTGCGTCGTGGAAAAGCAGAAAGCCATTACGAAATGCATCACACTTATTGCATAACAAAGGTCTACGTGTACTTTACTGTGAAGCAAACTAGCGAATACGATTCATACAGAGTAGTTCAAAATTTGGTTGAACCACAGTAGCCGGAGGATAGTGTGGGCAGTGAGTTCAGTTTTATCGTTAACCAAAAAGGGAAACTGCTGGTGTGAAGACCCTTAAATGGACATTAGATGGACTGTTGCGGAACGAAATCGTTGCAGCATTGACTACGAAATACATGAGCTGGTGAGTCTCAATGGCTTGACATATGTGGAGTGCGAATATCATCGCATTAGCACTGGATAGTCATATAAAATGTATAAGAAGTCATAACGCATTAATTTTGGTGCCTATTACTGATAGGATGGTTAACCTATCCGTGCCCACACTACTTCATAAATCGGTCCAGGACTTGCTAGTGCTTAACACACGCTCCGGTGCACACCGTGATGCATCGGGCGCCGCGCCTTGTGCTTATCCTGGGAACCGACACCTTGGCTAGAGTGCTTCTTCTCAATGCTCGAATGACCAGGCTGCCAGGCTGCCAGGTCAATCTGGTCGCTCTCCATGATGCCTTCAGTCACGGCGCAGATGTCGCTGATGAGACGGTCCAGCAGGTCCATGGACATGGACTCGCGGACCACGACGCGCAAGATCTCGGTGCCTTCTTCGTTGGGAGGTAGAGGGTAGTCTGGAGTTGTTAGTATTGGTTGCTGGATGGCTTGGAATAAACTTACTCGGGATGATGTACTGCTTCGCCCGCAGCAGGTTCGAGATCGAAACCTGCTTGACGTGAGGGAACTTCTCCCTAAACTTCTTACTCAACGTGAACGCAACTACGGGAAGACCCGCGTTGTAAGCTGCGCTGTTCTCTCCCTCCTCGTAAGGCGGCTCGCCCTCTCTGTAATGGAAGTCTCCCTTCTTCCGGTGGATGTCTGAGACACATTCATACCAGCCGGTGGCTTCTAGTGCACGGGACAGCAACCTGGCGTTGGCAAGGGCGTTCTCCATAATATTCCGATAACCGGTAAAGCCGAGGTGGATCAGATTGTAGTACTGAGCAATGACCTGCGCACCAGGACGCGAGAAGTTAAGAGTGTAGGACTCTTCGGTACCACCAAGGTAGTGCAGCTCAAAGACGAGATGCTTTGGCAGATACGACTCATCACGCCAGATGATCCAACCAACGCCAGCATATACGAGACCAAACTTGTGGCCCGAGACGTTGATCGACTTGACGCGGGGAAGTTCGAAGTTCCTGGGGTCGTTAGTTGTGAAATAAAAGTTGTTAAAAGGTTCTTACCACTTGGGTCCGCCAACCTGGGCATGCGTAAAAGGGGCGATGAAGGCACCAGAAGCGCCATCGACGTGAATGGGAATGTCGACGCCTGTCTTGGCCTCGTAGTCGTCTAGGATTTTGGAAATCTCCTCTACCGGCTCATAGTGGCCAGTGTAGGTGCTTCCGAGGATGACAAAAACACCAATGGTGTTCTCATCAATGTTGTCCTTGACGAGCTCCGGGTCAAGCCTGTACCTGCTCTTCTCGCTAACCGGCAGAATGCGGGCCTCGACTTCGAAGTAGCGGGCAAACTTCTCCAGCGCAACCTGTGCGTTGGCGCCCATGATGATGTTGGGCTTGGAGGTATCCTTGCCCTCAGCCGTACGCTTCTCCTGCCAACGCCTCTTCATGGCCAAACCACCGAGGTGAATGGCCTCTGAAGAGCCAGTTGTAGCAGAGCCAATGGCCTTTTCGCCCTTTTGCACGCCCCAAAGGTGGGCCAGGATGGAGACGCAACGAGCATGCATGTCCATCATTGCCGGGTATTCGTCTGCATCCGACATGTTCTTGGACAGGTTCTCAATCATCAGCTTCTCAGCCTGCTCCTCCATGTAGGTGCCCACAAAGGAGGCAAGATTGAGGTTGGGGCGACCATCGAGATCAAGCCTGATTGGTCAGTGAATGTTGCTTGATGCTGGACAGTGAATGCTGGACGGCACTTACTCATCCTTCAGGAGCTGGTGAACAGCATCTGCGGGAGCTCCATCATGGGGAATCTTGAACTTGGACAGTTCGGTAGCAGCGGCATAGCGGCTGGAGTACGGAGTGTTGTGGGAGATGGCTTGGTTGGTGTGAATGCCGCGACGGTGCGGGGGCTGGTCGTGGAACTTCTTCAAGAGCTCATCCGGGTCGACGTGGCTTGCGAGAGACATGATGGATAGATGTGAGTATGTTGAGGGTGCGGATTGAAGGTAGAGGCAGAACAGGAGCAATTGCTTATAAGCAATTGGTGCCGGGCGCTGAAAACAGGCATTGAGAAGGAGCCCTACGTACGGTCTTACGTACAACCTTAAGCCCCCTTGGATGACCGTGAATAGCATCAACAAAACCCCGGTCTGGGCAACGGGAAGGCTCGATCCCACGGAAGCTTGGTAAAGCTTGTTTACCAAGTCCATGTCGTCATCGCGCATGCTGGTGGCCATAGCTCCACGACAGCTCCCGTCCATTTGGCGCAAGCTCCCGCAGCCGTGCCAGCTTTTTTGTCCGTCAACAGTTGTTCCACTTCAATTCGTTACAATCTACAAGGCCGTCAAACAGACCTTTCCTCTCACTTGATACCCGGGGCGTTTGCTGCCTAGCCCGCCACGCCGTCCATCATCCGCCGCCTTCCGTAATCGAACTCGCACTCGTATTCGGTCGCGACATCTGCGAGCGGGGTTGCCTCACCACGTCTACCGGCTTGGCGGAATCCAAGCGTCAGAGCGTCGTCAGCCGGAGAATAATAAATAAGATGCTTCCATTGGATGTTGTGTTGTCTCCTCCCTTGCACGGGAATCTTGAGTGCTTCCGCAACCGCCGACGCTTGACAGCCGCCTGTTACCCGTCGTCATCGACTTTGCTCAGCCACCTGTCATACGATATAATCCCCCCCTTCCCATCCTTCGATTCCGTTTGGACAACTTTGCTTCCCTCCATCCCAAAATGAAGTTCACTGGCCTACTCCCGCTTGCTGCTCTCGGCTCGGCTTTTGTCATACCCGAGCAACACGCTTGGAACGACATTGCCATCCAGTCTAGGCCCCGGGGCAAGACTGGTCAATACGTTCCGGAGCTTCCGCTGCATGGCGCTAAGGATGCTTTCCACAAGCTCAAGGGCTCCGTGGAAGGTGCCGTCACCGACGCCCTCGATACCGCAGAGCACTCTGTCGATGACGCTCTCTCCAGCGCCTCCAAGGCCGAGGATGCGGTGAACGAAAAGGCCCAGTCTATCGGCTGGGACGTCGAGGCATGGCTCCGGGATTCCTTCCCACACGGGCTCGAGGGACCCGAACACCCTCCTCACCACCCTCATGATCCTGACCACCCTCATGATCCCGATCACGACAAGCCGGGGCACCACCCCCATCACCACCACGAGCCAAACGAGACAGTTTGGCAGCTGATCTCTAAGTCCAAGTACACCACAAAGCTCACGGAGCTCATTGAAGAGCACGGGGATTTGGTTCAGCTTCTCAATGGCACTGCTGCCAACTACACTGTTTTTGCGCCGACCAACGCGGCCTTTGACAAGGTTCCCAAGGATGCTCCCAAGCCGAGCAAGGAGTTTATCAGGGAACTGTTGAATTACCACATCTCGTCTGACTTTTACCCTGCTGGTCGCGTGCTGCACACTTACACCATCCCCACGCTGCACAGGGAGGCCGAGCTCGGCAAGGAGCCGCTTGCCCAACGTGTGAGCGTCAACCTTCATCTTAAGGGTTTGACTATCAACCACTACGCCCGCGTTGTCGCTGTTGACATTGTAAGTTGAACGATTCTGGTATTAAGGCAAAGCTAATTTTGTAGTTCGGCACCAACGGCGTCATCCACGGCATTGACTCGCTCCTTGCTCCTCCTCCCAAGACACTATCGATCCTCACCTACCTGCCAGCCGAGTTCTCTACGCTTGAGCTCGGCCTGACCAAGACCGGACTGTTCGATACACTGAACACCACCGGCCATGCCGGAGGTACCTTCTTCGCTCCGTCCAACTTTGCTTTCCACAAGTTGGGGTCCAGGATCACGGGCTTCCTGTTCAGCAGCCACGGCCAGAAGTACCTCAAGGCGCTGCTCGAGTACCACGTCGTCGCGAACCAGACGCTCTACTCGGACGCTTTCTACGATGCTACCGGCGAGGCGGACCGCCGTGACCCCCGTAACTTCCACGTCGACCTGCCCACGCTGCTTGAGGGCCACAGCCTCAGCGTTGATGTCGCGCGCTTCTTCGGCCTGATCGAGATCAAGATCAACGGCTTTAACCGCGTGTCTATCAAGGATGGCATCGCCAAGGATGGCGTCATCCAGGTCGTCAGCAGCGTGCTGATTCCTCCGAGACACACGGCTGGCGCCGAGGCCGACTCCGAGGACGAGGAGTTGACGCTCGAGGAGCTCAAGGAGCGCCTTGCGCCATATGTGGATGGTAGTGAGGATGGTGAGGATGGTTGGGGTGAGCTTTAAAGCTCTCTTTGCTTTGGGCGGCTTAAAATGCATAGCAGCGTAGAGTACATACTCGAGAGCTTCATTGACTAGCGCAGCTTTGGTTACTGCATGAATCAACGGTCTTTCTATACTTGTTTTTCCAGAGATGTAGTGTGCTTGTAGTGTTGTATTGACGGCTGTGGATTGCACACATAAAAAGTTGGGGTAGGATTTATGGCTTGATATCTTTCGTTAAATATAGACCTTCCTGTCCTACCTGTCATTTATCCTTGCTTGAAACATGAGCTATAGCCGTATGTAGAATATTACGGATCTGGAACATATCAAAGGTCAGTACTTCCTTCACTGTCCTACATAACTAACTTGTCTTCTGCCCAAATTTATAACAAATTTCGGCGATGTTTGTACGGATTGCGCGCAGATGAGAGTAAAGTAGACGTTGATATTTCCCTCACTACCGTCCGGATGTAAATCGCATTGCTCTGATCGTATGGGTATGTAGGTTGTATCTCCCCCTCTAACCATAGTAGGCAATCGTGCACGGGCCATTGACGACGTTAAAGGTTGGTTTCGCGTTCCAACCTCTTACCTTCCTTACCAGCCTGACCTTATCATATCCCTCGCTAACTAGACTGCCATCAACAAGTTCGTTGACCACGTGCTCACGTCAAAAACCTCAGGGTCTGTTTACAGGCCCTGGCTTCCCTCACCAACCGGACTTCCCGTCAACGATTCTCTGGTGACCGGCTCACACCAAAACTCCAGAGTCTGTTCACAGGCTCTGGCTTTCCTTACTGCATCGTCTACTGGACATCGCTCTCGCAGTAAGTACCCGCCTCCGTCTTTGGAGTTTGTACCTTCGCCGGCTTTCCTCTTCACACTCATCTTATGAACAACAACGATCCTTTTGCCTGAGTCTCACGTCACCGGTCTACCAAGGCCTTACTCATATCAGTCATACTCTCTCTCACTCTTCACGCCCCATCTCGTACCTTTCCACCACCACCACTTAAGCTCTAACGCCCTCGTTCTTTAGTTCAGTGATAGTTACGCCTAAATCATCCTCAACGGCACCGGCGCCGTCGCCGGCTCCGCTGTCCTGCGCATCTCAACCCCAGACACAGACGCGCTCCTTGCTGGCTGAACCGTCGAATGTCACCGCCCCTCACACACGAGAAGAAGAGGACATCTTCAGCAGCGCCGAACTACTAACCTCTTGCTCCTCGCTAGTATGTGCTTGTCCCTCACCCAACCTCACCCAACCCCACCAAGATCTTACATACAACAACCCTTCATGGATCAGAACAAGAGCTTGTAATACTGACTGAATGAAGCAGAGCACGCCATGGCGGCACACTACCCGCTTGTTCGGCCTCCTCCGCCGGTCCTACCAATTCCATTGCCGGATCATTGGGTCTCCGACCGGAAGCGATTTGGACATTCCGAAGTGAAGCTGGCCCCAGAAACCGGAGTACCTTTGAATGGGGACACAATCGACTACGAGCTCGCCGACGACGCAGCCATAAACAGATACGCCAAGGTTTATTTCTTCATCGAACACCAGATAACTAAACCCATTGTTCGCATCTGCACGAACAATAAATTCAAGGATGATAGTAGGGTGTTCAAGGAACTAGTTGCGAAGCTTACTACTCTGGGGTCGAGGCTCCAGAACGGTATCATTGGTATTCCGGGCAAACCAGCAGAAGACTTCAGTGATTCATGGTTTCTGAACTGGGTATGTATACATTCTCAGGATCTCTTTTTTGATGGCCAATGAAGGCGTTGACATCGCTCCAGGTCGCTTCAAATGTCACTCACGACAATTACATGGCATGGATGCATGCTGTGGCTTTCGATTCGCTTCGTGTGGCCCTAGGCAGGAACAACCAGCAATCGCCGCCTGCACAAGGCTAAACACGCGAACCATACCTCCAGCACCTCAAGGACACCTTCACCGCTGCCAAGAAAGCCTACTTGAGTGAGTTGAGGACGGCTCGCGCTAAGAAGTGGACCGTCGACAACTACAATGGAAATAAATCAATCGGAAAAGAAAGATTGGGCGTTGTCGTGAAGAATTGGAAAAAGAAGATGGATGAGTTAATCCAGAAGGTCGAGGACTTCAATCCAATACCCACTACGGACGACTTTGCGATCTACGAGTTGATACCCGCCAACGGTCTCTACTACAAAGACTTGAACACGACCAGAGCTATGAATTACTAGGAGGACAGGATCACAGACGACGTCTACGGGTCCTTCTACGGTCCGCTGGGCGATGTAATTGCATTGGAAAAGAACAGGGACGATGATTACATGGGGCCTTTCATGTTGGCAACAATCCAAGTCGTCGCCCACAAAGCCTGGAAATGCGTCATACTCCCGCGTCTGAACGAGAGATTGGCTGCCATCTCGAATCCCCCGTTCCAGGTGAAACTTGAGACTGACGAAAACGCGGTCCGGACCAGTTTCCGACGGATCATAGACACGTTCAAGGACCTGCCTGGTTTCCCCCCAGCATATCGGGTGTCTGGGTCCCTGCCCCGTCGACTTCTGGGAACAAAAGAGCCCACGATATCGACGACGATGACTTGAGCATTGAACACGCCATGAGGTTGTTCAAGAGGCATCGGGAAAGAAAGAGGCATTTGAACGAATAGTATGTTTTCTTTTGTTCTGTGCCCAAAAGCGTCAACTGACAAACCTAGGAAACTCGCTCTTTGCCATCGTTCTGGATTTTTCGACATCCTTCCGGGCTAGAAAATTGATCAACACTTCCTTGGGGAAGTGAACTCATGGCGAATGGCTTTCAGACCCGGCTTTCATAGATTTGCTTGCACTCTTTGGCTTTCTTTCCTTTTTCATTCATTCAATTTGCGGGAGGAGAATGCATCAAAATGGGTTGGGTTTTCTTGGTTATAGCAACGAGAAGCAGCTACTCCCTTGGACTTTAACGGCCGCAAATGAACACATACTTGGGAATCTTAGAGCGTGTACATGTGCTTGACAGTTGTGAATAACTTGCTTATCCTTTTTTAACTTCTTCGACCCTTACTCATGAAACATGATTGCGTAGGTATATGACTTAACCTTCTACCCTTTCATCTCTATGCTCTTGTATTCCTACGGACTACCTTCGTGCTCTTATATATCTGTATTCTTATATCCCTTTGAATGCTTGCGTGCTCTTGTTTATCTGTACTGTTATCCTTTCTCGAATATTCTTTTACCCTCGTATTCCCTTACTTTCTACAACTACCTAGTAACTACCAGCCGTAGTATTACAAACTATCATAACTACGCAAAGAGTACGCGGTGGGTATAGCAGTATTCACTCAATGCATGATCAAGGGGCGGACCAAATAGTTAAAATGAAACGACACTGGGGCCTTTTGGACTAGGACAAAGCACTTAGAAACACTGGTTTTCCCTTCAAAATATCTTTATGACCGCAAACAAATATCTACCCGCTCGTTGAGCTTGAGTAAAGCTGAAATAGTGATTGTATGCGTCTGCGACTGCGCAATCCATCCTCACGCCTATCGCATAAGATGAAGCGTGCCCGCTATGAGAGCGCGATAGTGCACGTATGCATACTGAAATATTAACTTCCCCAAGCCAAACCCATCAAGTCCGATGTTAATCAGTAAGGTGTTGTTCAGCTCGGATAAGTCCTATTAAATTTAAGGTACATATTTAACAATGCGCAAAATTTATACATCAATGGCAACGTGGCTGAGTGGTTATAGCGATAGACTAGAAATCTATTTCCTTCGGGAGCACAGGTTCGAGTCCTGTCGTTGTCGTTTCATTTTGCCTTTTGCGCGTCTGTTTGGTTAAAGGTTTCGGGCCGTCTCTTTAACTGAACATCTATTCATTATTTTTTTTGTTTTTTATTTATTTTTTGCTTGGCTGTGGATAGGGCCTATGGAATGGAAGGGGGAACTGTGGTAAGCGGTAGGTACTATGTTGGGTATGGGGATGGGGGAGGTGTGGATGGAAGGGCGGGATTATGGATTTGGAAGGAGATGTAGCGTGGAAAAAGGATGCGCGCGCTGAAAGATGAAGCAAGCGAATATGGCAATAGAAGAATCTAACGCGAGGAATATTCTGCTGTTGTATGCAATAGCACTGATGCAAGGGTTTGTTGTGCAGAAAATACATGCATCTAGATTCAATTTTTATGCTGATAGCTAAAAACGCATATAGGCTCACTAAAATTGCAGTATATTAACTCTATGAAGCAAGGCCTCAGATATTATGGAGCTTGCATTAGTGCTAACACAGGAAATACTGTAGGTAGACTTAAACGTAAAGTAATATTTAAACCCAGATCGCATTCTGTCTAGTGATATTGACTGTCAGCAAGCGGTAATAAACACATCCAGCCCAAGCGAGATGCTGCGCGCAACCTCACAAAAACCTGTTCAAGTATTTGATATCTTAAGTTAAAATTTAATAGCTGCGCAATACCATTGCGGCAGAGCAAACATACATAAACAAACCACATCTGATATGGTGATGTCCGCTACGACAACAACTATGAACCCATCCCACTGAAATACACAACTCCACAAACCACGATCAAAAGCTACAACCCGGAAAAGATCTCAACGCTATCGTCGCCACACGTGATCGGCAGCGCATCTTTAGTTAAGCGTGCGCTAGCTACACATAAGGAAAGGCGCCCGCTCCCACGCCAAGCCCACCGTCATCTTCCACGCGCAACTCCGCTGTCAACACGCAACAAGTCAATACCTCTCAAGTCGCTTCTCCTAAATTCACTCGTTAAGATGACGCAGATTGCAGCGGTAAGCCAGGGCTTATTCCAATACCACATGCGCCATGCTGACCAGCGCAGCCCTCCGAGACCCTCCAGCTCCTCACCCGCCTGAGCCAGAAGCCCGGCGTACAGAGCACCCTCTTATTGTCGCGCGAAGACGGCGCCATTGTCCAATCCTCCGGCTTGATCTCCGAGAATACTTCCGCGAACCCAAACACCACGCTGCCGGCCTCCGGTGAGAACGATGCCCCTTTTACCAACGGCCGAAGGGAGAGCGGTATCCACAGCGCCGAGGATGTCGCGCGCATGGTGCATGGGTTCGTGGCAGCCGCGGGGGAGCTGGCTAAGAACTTGGAGGATGAGGATGAGGTCAAGCTTCTCAGATTGAGGACCAAGAAGAACGAGCTGGTCATTGTACCTGGTATGTCTACTTCCGTAGGGCCGTGAGCTTGCGCTGACTATCCTCAGATGCCAAGTTCCTACTTGTCGTCGTACATGACACGCCCCCTGCGTAGATGAAGCCTTCTATGGTAGACAACCTCTCATAGGGAGGTTCGACAGGCACTTTATGAGATACCCCTGCATAGCCGGCGTTCAGGAGTCAATTCAAGACTACATCCACGATTATCCGAACTCAGAGTGTTATCTCAGAGTGCCGCTGCATCCAACGTCGACCGAGCAATCACCAATGCTCCTCACCAATTTGGACCGCATTCACGTCCACATCGCCTGCGAACCAGCGTTCGCCCTCCTTGAGCTCGACGTCATTCCCACTCATCTGCCGCTTACACATGCGCCCGTCCGCCGCAAACGTCCAGTCTTCGAGTCCGTAACAGCGCTTCCACTTCATACCATCATGCGCATCTTGGTATTCGTACCAGAATTGCACTGCGATTTTGTTGTCGGTGAATGCGAACTACGACCATCAGCTGGGAAATGGAGAGGGTCGCGGCATTGGGGAAGAAAGGGAAGGAAGGGAAAGAATGAAGGGAGCTAGAACATACCAATTCCTTTCGGAGGCGGTAATTCTTTTCCTTCTCCCACTTCTTGGTCAAAAAGTCGGTGATTTGGTCGTGGCCTTTGAGGAAGGTGGAACGGTTACGCCAGACGGAGTCTTCGGTGTAAGCTTTGCAGACGTTGGCAGGGTTTCTAGTGCATAGTGAGCATTTGCTCGAGAATGAATAGTGACGACGTACTGCGTATTCCACAAGTCTTGGGCTTTCTTGACCTTGGCATTTGCCGTCTCGGCTGTGTAGGGTGGTGCCAGTGACATTGTCAAATTGGGTTAGAGTCTGTATTTGATGAGCGTCTAGGTCTTGACTTGTGGATAAATGCGATGGGTAGTAGTTTTGATCGCTGATGTAAGGGCGAAACCCCACTTTGACCTGCCTGTGATGCTGCCCCGCTGGCGCGATGACATACAAGGCCATGACTCGTAATACAATGCTGAAAGCAGATATCTATTCATTCTATCCAATATTGATTACATCAACCATCTACATGATATCCGACTTGCTCGGCATCTTAAATTCTTCCTCAACAGGCCTCGACTTATAAAATGTATCCATATCGCTCCATTTATCATACCACATTTTCTTCAACTTCTCCGGTCCTGTCATGCCCAGCTTCTCATGCAAGCTAACGACTCCACCATCAAGATCCTTTTCGCTCGGCCACGTCGCGCTCCAGCGGTAATCCAGCTCGGTCCAAGGCATGGCGCCCTCACGGCGGAAGACGTAGTTGAGAAGGCTCTGCTCCATGGTATGCGGGTCGAAGCGGCGGTAATGCTGCATGACGCTCACAAACACGTCGAAGAGCTCGAGCGAGGGCGCAGCGAGCCAAAAGCCCGCGCTAAAGATGGACGTTTTGGCCGGCGGGAAGGGGTGCTCGCGCTCGCCGGTTAGGGCGTTGTCGGAGCGCGCGCAGAAGACGTACGAGGCCGGCAGCGGCGCTTCATCGCCTTTCAGCTGGTGCTCCAGTTCGAACTTGGTGCGCACTGGTTGCCGCACCGTGAATGGCTCATCAAAGATTTCGTCCAGTGGCCCGGTTAGGAACGTGTCCGCGTCGATGAAAAGGATTCGTGAAAATTCGACCATTTGGAAGAGGCGGAGTTTGGTGAATTGGTCTTTCCATCTGGTGACTCCAGTCGAAATCCACCAATTCAAGGGAATGTCATCGACGGGGACGACTAGAGCGCCTTCTTTTCCTAGTTGTTGTTGCTTCTGAAGTGGGACATCCTTGGTGACCAGCACTATGAAGCTGACATGCTTCTTGTTGCGAATCCTTGTTTTTTCGTCGTGGACAAGCTGATACGTCAAGACGCGTACGGCGTCAAAGTAGTAGTCTGCAGCCTCTGGGTCGGCATCCTTCTGTCCACTTAGGAACGTGGCAATGGCAAAGTGGGAGTCGGCCTGGAGGTCCTTGACACGGCCGTACTTGACATCTATGATCGGAGGTGGTGTGTGGAAAGTGTACAGTAGCCATAGCGTCGTCACAATGGCCAAAGCTCCTACGATATATTTGCGACGGAGCGCATCTTGTACAAAAGACAATAGCATACCGGCGTGTTGGATGGTTAAGGGGTATGCCAAGCAGCCAAGGTACGATGTGGGGCTTAAACGGGAACTACATAAGCGCTACAGCTAAGCCTTACGATCACCGTATCTGTTTCTTTGAAGGTCATGGGTGATGAAGCTGACGTGGATTAAACAGTTATGGTCTCAGGGGGTGGTACAACTGGGATTCACATGCAGAAGTCGTTTCGATCTTCATTAGGGTAGGGACTTTAATAACGTCACCTAACTGACAGATTTCTTTGCGTAGGATTGTTGGTACTTGGCGCAAATAGTCTGTCAACGCCAAGCGATCACCTGGATAATGACACTTGTACAATTAGAAAAGGAATCTAAAGATGTTTGTAGTTGTTGCGTTTATGACGTTTTCATTCAAGCCCAGACTCAGGCTTGAAAGGCATTCCATCTGATTGTATCCCTACTTGTCTCGCTGTTGACGGTGAGGGTGTTACTTATAGATAACTCTAATATTGATCGGACTTAGAGTGATCCGGCTTCCAGGCGCATGGGACGAAGAGCGATGTTGATGGCCTCGGAACATCGAATAGCGCCCCGCAATGGTTCGATTGTCTAGATTCCAATCATGACAAACTTACCACGTAGATGGCTCTTGGGCCATCTTCGAGCTGTAGACGCGTCCGTGCCTGTAGGATTGTAGTCGGATATCGGGTGCGTCGTAATCCGAGTCGTCCGATGTTTACAAAGTGTGAAAGGCCAGGCGTGGCCGAAAACAGAGGAAGCTTTCACTAATCAGGCAAACAGGGGGAATTCCAAATCATTCCATGTCCAATGACGTGATGCCCTGAGCTCCGAGCTGCCCCGCCAACGCCGTGCCCCTCCGTGCCCCTCCTCCAAGGTGCTCAAAACCACCAACTCTCCTCCAACATCTTGACAAGTCATCACGTCTACAACCTTCAACTTCAATCAACACCTCAATCAACACCTTCAACCAACAAACACTCTACAACCCAATCCCATACACAATGGCTCCTCTCAAGACCGGCGACAAGTTCCCTAGCGGCGTCAAGTTCGAGTAAGTTCAAGCTCACCTCACATTCAAGCTCCCAACAATTCAGATTACTGACAGCTTGACAGGTGGGCTCCCATCGTTGAGGAGGACCTCACCGTCTGCGGTCGTCCCCAGGAGTACGACGCCGACAAGGAGTTCAAGGACAAGAAGGTCGTCATCGTCAGCGTCCCTGGTATGTAACTAATTCTACCATTGACGGCCCATTGCTTACAATCTATGCAGGTGCCTTCACTCCCGGCTGCCAGGCCTACCACCTTCCTCCTTACATCCAGAAGTTCGACGAGCTCAAGAGCAAGGGCGTCGACCTCGTTGTCGTCATCGCCAGCAACGATGCTTGGGTCATGAACGCTTGGGGCAAGGCCAACAAGGTTGTCGGCCGTAACGACATCGTAGGTGGACACTAGCCAATGGCATGGACATGACTGACGGTCTTAGCTCTTCCTCTCCGACACCAAGACCTTCTTCTCGAAGAACCACGGCTGGGCTGCTGGTATGGGTGACCGCAACGGCCGCTGGGCCATGGTCGTCGAGAAGGACGGCACCGTCTCCTACGCCGAGAACGAGTCCAACCCTGGACAGGTCACCGTAAGTGGAATCATTGGTTTGGATGTTCGTCAACTAACACTTCGTAGGTCTCTGGCGCTGACGCCGTCCTGGCCAAGCTGTAAATTGGATTTTGCGATGGGATATACCCCACTCAAGCATAATGCTGGAAGTGATTGACAGGCGTGAAAGGTCAGCTATAGGACAGCTATATACAGTTGCATAGATAGCTTAAATGACTTGATGACAACTTGCAAATGCATACGTGCAGTGACAATGTCCGCATCTTGACGTTAAACAAAATTTAAAGCAAAAATTATCAATATGTAGCGTCACAAACGAACCGCTTCTTTCAGGTAAAATCCAGAGCAGCAGATACAGGACGATTCGTGCTTCTCACGCGCTAAATGGCATGCACTGAAGATGCCGGAGCTTCACGAGCACGGCATGGGGGCCATGTTCGCCAGCGAGCGCGGTTGAAGAAGAAAACAGTCGGCGCGGAGAAATCAATTTTCTTCTACGACGGCTTACATAATCGCTCTAGCGACGCTCCTTCTCTCCACCCCAGTGCGTTGGCTTTGGCTTCAACCACTGAGCCCAACTTCATCATGGAGAGCCTCAGTGAGACCGAATGGGATGTGCTTATTGCCGGCACCGGCCTTGAGCAGTCTCTTCTCGCTCTGTAGGTTCGCTGAGCGGTCAACATCCGAAGCCTTGCAAATTCTGACTGACGTAGCCGTTCTTGAAGAGCTCTGTCTCGCTCTGGGAAGAAGGTACTGCACGTCGACAAGAATGATTTCTACGGAGGCTCCACGGCTGCTTTCAGCTTGCAGGAAGCCGAGGAATGGGCGCAGAGGGTGAATCAAGGTATGTTCTTCCCTGACTGGACTTTGGCTTTGCTAATGCCTCTTAGATGAAGCCAAGTCGCCCTTCAAACAAGTCGCCGTCACGAAACCGGATGCGGTTGATGGTCCAAAGCTCTCTGCTTCACGCACCTACAGCCTGTCGCTGTCTCCGAATTTGGTTTATACTCGGTCCGCCATACTCCCAACCTTGGTATCGTCGAAAGTCTATCGACAACTGGAGTTCTTGGCCGTGGGCAGTTGGTGGGTTTACTCACCAAATGATTCCTCACCTGAAACGGGCACCGGAGGCGGTGGGCATTTGAATAAAGTGCCCAGCGGACGCGAAGACATCTTTGGTGATGACAGCATCGACTTCAAGGCCAAGCGCCTGTTGATGAAGTTTTTGCGATTTGTCGCCGACTACGAGAACCAGGAAGAGGTGTGGCAGGAATACCGCTCGAGGTCGTTTTCCGACTTTCTTGAGGAAGTGTTCAAGGTTCCGCGCACTCTGCACGCGCCCTTGCTCGCTCTCACGCTCTCGCTCGACACGCCACAAAACACGACAACCGAGTTCGCGCTTCCCCGCGTAGCGAACCATCTTCGGTCCATCGGCGTATTTGGTCCGGGATTTGCTTGCGTCATTCCGAAGTGGGGCGGGCTTGCAGAAATTTCGCAAGTCGCTTGTCGCGCTCAGGCCGTCGGTGGTGGTATTTATGTCTTGGGTCAGGGCATCACCACCATCGACAAACCTGAAGACGAAACGCCTGAAATCACGGCTCACCTGAAAGAGGGTGATACCATCAAGACGAAATGGGTCGTCGGTACCGATGAGGACTTGCCTTCGCAAGTCGAGGCGACCTCGGACGTTGCCTCGTACTCGAGGAGCATCTCCATTGTGGCTTCCAAGCTGGAGTCACTCTTCTCACCACTCGCTGAAGGAGCTCCCGCTCCTGCCGGCGCAGTGGTGTCATTTCCTACCGGCAGTTTGACTGTCGAGGGTAGCGCTGAACACCCGCCAGTGTACGTTTTCGTGCATACGAGCGACACTGGCGAGTGTCCAGCCGGTCAATGTAAGTCAACTCAACTCTTTCAACCCTTCAATTCAAGCCAACAAGATGATCAACATTACGAATACTTATCTACATTGTCTGTAATTACATTGAAGATTAAACTCTGACAACCTGACATTGGCATCACAACACCTTGTTTATTTATAAGCTATTTGCACCAGTACAATGCTAACAGCTTCAGGCGTCCTCTACAGTACCACATCCGTCTCCGGCGAGCTGGGCGTCGCGCTCCTCTCTGCCGCCGAGCACGCCCTACTGCACAGCGTGAACATCAGCGGCAGTTCCTCAGCACCCCATACCCTCTGGCGCATGCACTACGAGCAGCACGCAGCGAAGACAGCCACCCCAGCCTCGCTCACGACGTCCAACGCGCGCATCCTGGCCTTCCCGCCGCAGCACATGGACCTCAAGTTCGATGGCGCGGCTGCGCTCGACTTGGTAAAAGATATTTGGCAGCGCATGGAGCCGGACGCGGAGAAGGACGGGTTCATGATGTTTGAGGACCGCGAGGCGGTGAGCGAGGAGGAGTATCTGGACGATGAGGCGTGATGATTGACGAGCTTTGTGCTTCGATTGATGGGGCGTGGCGTTGGCGGAGTTGGTGTAGATTAGTGTGGAATGAATGGATGCTTCATGAAGATATTTATCTTTGTCAACATCGTCTTGTGACAATGTCTGCATAGGTGTGTGACTTGCTCTTGTACGATTCCACTTCTGGGCCTCTTGCTTTGGCGGGCCAAGAACCGTCGCGTCTTTCTGCGTACAATGCCATCTCGCCCATTTGCACTTGAGCTGTGGCGGGTAAGCTTAACGTGTAGAGAATGGAGACAGCCGCTCACGACCACCAAAGGAGTGCTCCTAGGTCTAGCAGACCCAACCTAAAAAAGAGCTGTTTATACCGGATCTTGGATGGTTCGTTCATTTCACTAACTACTTGTTTGTCTCAAGGGATACACCACCACACAGCACAGCACAGGACTCACGCACTCACAAAGCAAGAAGCAAGGCGTTTCGGCAGCGCTCCAGGCACGGCAACTATACACAAATTACGCAGCGTGCCCCTATCCAAGCAGCGGCGCAAGCGCTCGACGCCCTCGCTGTCTCGTCTCGTCTCATCTCGTCTGATCTCCTCCCCTTCATCACCCGCCCAAGAGACAGGACAAGACAGAAGTGTCTGCAACAGTCAAAAACCTCAAAGAAAAAGCAGAATAAAGAAAGGGAAATCGGGAAGTCCCGCCCGTTAATGCAACCCGTCGACCTAGGTTATCGTCGCCGCGAACGCCTTCCAACACCCGTTTACCCCGCCAGTCCGTCCCGTCCGTCCCACCTTCGGTTTAGTTGATCTCGCGCCTGGAAGGAAGAGATGCAAGTCGCATGCATGCATGCAGAAAGAAAAGAAACAAAAATGGACGCCGTGTGTATACGCCCGAGTATTGCATCGAAGAAGGTATAAAGAGGCAGTAAAGAAGAAAAAGAGGAACAGCAACAAAGGCTTGCTCGTTGCTGGCCTCGCTCGCGCCCCGCTCGCGCCCAACACTTGGGGACGAGGCGCTTGCTGTAGGAAATGTATGGATGGGTAAAGAGATAGGCCGCACTCCCCGGTTCGTCGGGAATGGCGTAGAGTAGCAACAGCGGCAGCAGTGTCGTCGCGACTTTGCTCCATGAGGCTTTCTGTTGACCCGTTCGTCATCGTCGACATAAGGAATAGTACTCGTAAGGAATGGACGCCACTGCTGCCGCTGGTGCATACATGGCCGAAGCTGAAGAAGTTGAGGGCATGTCGCAGACTACGTGCCAATTACCTCAACCCCACAACGTCAGTCTTCTTCCGCAGGAATGGACTCGGACAATCCGGGTCTTCAAGCTCCCACTTCGCGACTTGGCTTGCATACGAGATCGTGCCCTTTCCAACAGGCTTGGCATTCTCGCCCTCGTCCGACGACGAGCCCGTAGACGGTGCCGTAGCCCGGCCCTGCGCAAGCTCCACCAAGGTCCGTCCCGCCAGTTTGTTGTTGTGCACGGCCTGCTGGCGCAGCGTGTTCATGTTGCCCTTCTTGCTACGCAGCGCCGATGCTGCTGTCTCGCGTGAGAAGTCCAAGCTGCTGGTACCAGTGGCACCATCGGAGCTGGATGAAGTCTTGCGGCCGGGGCTTTCGACGCCAGGGATCTTGGTGCTGCGGCGACGCGCCGGAGATGTCGCGACAACGGGCACGGTGCTGCTGGGCCTCTGGCGCGTCGTCGGGCCGCTCGCAAAGCGCGCATTCGCGGGCGCGGAGGGGTTGCGGTTCGGTAGTGGCTTGATCTGATTGTGGCGGGCAAAGACCGGCTTGTTGGAGTTGCGACCCTCGTGGGCGGCCAGAACCTTGAAGGGGTCATTGTCCGGGGACTTGCGAATGCCGTTGGAGCTCCTAGCGCGCGTGGGGCTGGGTAAAGCGGGTATATCATCGTCTTCATCATCGGCCGATATGTCGGCAATGGGAGAGGCGGGCAACTCGGCCGTCGGCGAAGCTGGCGGAGACGACATGTTGGTCGGCTCCCAACGAGTGGCAGCCTTGGCGAAAATGTTGCGACGCGTCCTGGGTTCGGCGGTGGCAGTCTCGCGGCGAGGAGATAGGGACAATCCAGCCAGAGAAATGGGAGATTGGTCGGACATGTGAATGTCCATGGGAGACGGTGCGTACTCGTTGAAGGCCGTGGTATGCGCACGCTGGAAACCTGTCCTAGCTGGCCGTGCCTTTGCGGGGGTGGCCGCCTTGGGCTTGGGCTGGGGTTGAGGGACCTGCTGGACGGGAGATTCGAGGTCGAATGAAGAAATGTCCGTCTGAGAAGGGAATTCGGAGGACTCGCCGAGGGTGCTCGTGCTGGAGTTAGGGTGGAGCTCGGCCTCCATCAATGGGGTGGAACTCTCGATGTGGCTTGTGGTGGACAAGTTGGCGATGGGCAAGTTGACTGCGGACAAGTTGAGTGCGGGGGCAACTGGCGCAACGGGCGCAGCGGGCGCAACGGGCGCGACTGCAGGCGCATTGGTGTTGAGCTTGATGGCGTGCAGACGCTGGGCAACTTCCAGTTCGGAGCGGCGAGCGACTTCATCTTCAAACGTCTTACGCAGCTTCTCTAATTCCAGCTGGACTTGGCGGTCGATTTCCAAGCGCGCCTTGACTTCCCACTCACGCCGGACTTGTGCGTCAACGGCGATACGAATGGCCTCTTTTTCTTTTTCCATCTCGACCATCTTCTCAGTCATCTCCTTGGTCATTTGTTTGGCCAAGTCCTTTTCCTTCTTCAATTGTTGACCCAATTGAACAACCTCTTGTTCCTTCCTCATCAATTTGACAATTGGCAAGTTCATCAGTTGAGCCGTCTCCGGTCTCCTGGTAGGATTGACCTGAAGACAGCTGTCCACCACCTTTCTCAGCTCGGGCGAATATACGGCGGGAAGTGGGTCGAAACGGCCAAGGCGAATCTTTTGAATGAGGTCGTAATGGGTCTTTGCGTCGAATGGTGGCCGCCAAGTGCATAGTTCGTACATGATGCAGCCAAGTGCCCAGATATCGGAGTAGAGCGTGTACTTTTCCGACATACAAATTTCGGGCGACATGTAGTAGGGAGTGCCGACGTAGGTTGAGGCGAAATCGTGAGATTGGAGGATTTTGGACAGACCAAAGTCACCGAGTTTGACCGAATTGTCCGCGCCGAGGAAGACTGATACGTTAGTATTTGATGTCGAAGGTGTCTAGGTACTTACCATTTTCAGGCTTCAAGTCTCGGTGCAGAATCATCAGCTGCTTCTGCTTTTCGCGCATCGGAACGGCATCATTTCCCAATCCCATGACATTCTTGCCAGCCTCGGGTGCGTCCTGACCATAATGGCATCTGTAAAGTGCGGTGACGAGTTGGGCGAAGATGCTCCAAACAAACTCCTCGTCGGCGTATTGCCTCTTGGTCTTGAGCTTCTTGATGACTTGACCCAGATCGCCATTGCCGCAGTATTCCATGTAAACGTGTAGGTCATGAGTAGCCTTGAGATGGATTTTGTCGATGTAGGCGACGATGTTGGGATGACGCAGTTCCTTTAGGATGGATAGCTCGGCCTGGAGCTGTTCCTTTTCCTTTTGCGACATGCGCGAGTAGCTGATTTCCTTGCGGCAGAGGACCTAGGCGGTCAGTAATGATTGTAATGGATGGTAGTGATGAACTCACATAGTTATCAGTCTTCCTGCGCACCTTACGGATGATGCCAAAGGAGCCCTGGCCTGACAAGCATCAGCAGAGGATCGTCAATTGTGCATACAGACACCTACCAATCTTTTCAAGAACGTCGTATTTATCGTCGTCAGCCATGGTGGAATGCTGCGTGGTTAGTAAGGGTATCTTTGGTTGTTGTTGGGAAGTCAAAGCATGCTGGATGGAGGTCAATTTGAGAGCAGGCGGCCGATGTTTTGGTAAACGAGCCGTCGCCGGGGCAGCTAATGACGCTTGGCACGTGATTGTCCGTCGTCCCAGCGACGGCCTCCTCGCCACCATCGGAGATAGCGGCTTTTGCTTCCTGACAGCCTCGGTCTTCGATTATGTCATCTTGCTCCCACTCCACCAACTCTCCAAACGCCAACGCCACTCGCCTTGCTGCCATTTCAAACCATCATGGTCGTCCCAAAGCATCAGCTAGAGGCTGCCTTGCACGCCGAGAACCAAGCCATTCGTGCTGGTAAGCTCAAGGAAGAAAATCCCCTCGACACCAGCGAGGACTTTCGAGTGCTCTGCGAAGCTTGCCGTCGAGGTGATCTCAAGCTTTGTCAAGAGCAGATTACCAAAGGTGTTAACATCAATGCCCGAGATCGTTATGATTATACTCCTCTGATCTTGGTAAGCGCGATGGTCCTTATTATCAGACGGAGGTTGACGGCGTGGTAGAGAAATATGGGCTAACACCTTCAAGGGTAGTTTGTGTGGCCACTATGAAGTAGTGCAGCTCCTTCTTGAATCGGGCGCCCTCTGTGAGCGTGATACCTTCCAAGGCGAACGATGCTTGTATAATGCCCTCAATGACCGGATACGAAATCTCCTCCTACAATATGATTATTCCAAATCGACGGATCCTCTACAGCCGCTGGCGGCACACATCACCTCGATCCTTGCCCGAGACACGCCGGATACATCAGATATCACCATTCAGACTCATGAGAGTTCGTTGCGGTTGCACAAGTTTTTGTTGTCCGCACGATCGCCATTTTTCGCGAAGAAATTCGCTGAGAATCCTGAGATGAAAAGCATGAAGCTTACCTCAGTGGCGTTACCTCCAGAATCGCTAGAAATTGCTGTTCGTCATCTATACTTGGCCGAGGTCAATGCGGATCTAGGCGAAGGACAGGAGGAACAAAACATTTTGACAGGCATTGATAAATTGAGCAAGCAGCTTGAGATAGAGCAGCTGTTTGAAAATATCTTGGAAAGTGGCGACAGACGGCAGGCTCGTCAAAGACGACAGGACGAAATCCACAAAGGACGCGGTCAGCTGGAGAACTGGTTCCGGGAGAATGTTCTCAAGCACAAGATTCACATCGACACGACCAAAGCCGATAGTGTCCGCTGGGATCGGGATAATGGCATCTTCGCTGATGTCCTTTTGCGTGCGGATGAAGATGAGGATGAAGATGAAGATGAAGGCACACCTACGCCATCGTCGACCGATTCAGATACCCCACGGTTGAGAAACACCCAAGGTCCTCTAAACGGCATCCCCATTGGTCCTTCCCACATTTCACGTTCTCCTAGCCGCGTTCGCCAACCCCGGAAATCAGTCCTTTTCCCCGCTCACCGCGCCATGCTCATCCGTTCCGAATTCTTCCAAACCATGTTCAGCTCCGCCTTCCGCGAAGCGCAACAAACTCCTCATCTCCAGATCATTTCGATTGACTGCTCTCCTCGAGTGCTGGAGATTGTATTGACTTTCTTGTACACCGAGCGGGCCGACTTTCCGCTTGATGTTGCTATTGATGTGTTGTTTGCCGCCGATCTTTTGTGGCTGGAAAAGCTCAAGGTTCGGGCGGCTCAGATCATCAGCACGTTGGGCAATGCGGCGTCAGTGGTGGAGGCGGACAACCCGCGCGGTGAGACAGCGCTCGAGGAGACGATTGATATTTATGATGTGGTGCGGGCGGGGTGGGACACGCGGGTGCAGCGACTAGAAGAGTTTGGTGCGCGGTACATTGCGTACCGGTTGGAGAGGTACATTGATGAGGAAGAGTTTGCAGAGTTGGTCAAGGAGAGTGCGATGCGAGTTAAGGGTCGACAGGAGACGGACACGGTCGAGTTGGTTGATGATATCCGGTACTACCTGAGCGAGCGCTTCCGGTTGCGCTTTGAAGATTCGGGACTTGAAGAGATGATGGAAGACAATGGCGAGTTGTCACCAGAGATGGCGGCGGCGCTGGCGCAGAAGGGTTCAGAGGCCGTGGCGAACCAGGCGAGTCCGGAGCAGGTGGCAGATGCGCTTGGGGGCATGGATATTGGTGTTACGGACGAGCATGCGCATTTGGATGAGGAGGAGGCGGAAGCTGAGAGGGCACGTCTCGCGCAGGGTGCGATTAGGACGTTGGATGGGGAGCTTGCAGGTGATGAGTTTGCTCAAGATGCGATCAACTACCAGATTTTGCTGGGTAAGATTGATTCGCTGTTGGATAGGCTCAAGTTGGATGCTTAGATGTTGGAGGTGGAGGGTGATGGAGGGTGGTGGAAGATGGTTGAGTGGTGTTTGAATTCAAGACGACGTTGATGTATACAGACGGAGGTCGAACTGGAATTTTACCTATCTCACTGATAGTTACGAGACACGCGCATGTACAAAGAACAAGAACAAATTAACCCTTGTATTCACAAAAACTCATCTCTCCGGCATCTCCTCCGACCCCGGTCGGCCACACCCATATTCGTCAAAACCACCGGAAATGACATCATCGCGCTTCGACGAGTCGACCTCATCCGCACAGTGGAGACAGATGGAAGTGATGGATGCGCATACGCGAGCTGCGCGTGCACCGTTCGTTGGGTTGTTAGTCTCCGAAATGGAAAGGCGGGGAATGTACTATGCTGCTCTACTCGACACCTGCACATCCAACTATCGGCTAAGCCTCCAACAGTATTTAACACGGCTACAGAAAATGACAGCGAAATGGACGAGCAGGTCTCAATCACCGTATGAGAAGGAGAAAAGAGGGAGAAAAGAGATAGCAAAAGAAGTGCAGGTGCAGCAGCCAAGAATGGCGTGCTCTTGCATGCTCGCGCGGACCCACGTCCGCTTGCACCCCCGCTCCTCAGCGGCACCGGGATCGCGGCCGCGGACATCGTCGAGCGAGCTTCGTTGTTAGATGTGCTTATGCGGTACTGACTTGGGTATCTGGCCCTAGACTCCGAGCCTAGTGACATGCGTGCATAGCGGGTCTGTAAACATTATATACGTAGTGCAGGTACTTAACCCTGCTTTTCCTGTCTCTCGCATACGCTCTAACTGAACTTCTTTTTCCTCATCCCGTCTCTCGTCTCTCATCCTTGTGTGTTTGTTCAGTTATTGTGTGTACTGCCAGCGAGACACCTCTCTCGTAGAGAGCACAACACCACTCCAATGTACTTCCCCCTCCATGTGGCCGCCACCACCTGCGCAGCCGCGGCCGCAGTACTCAGCCAGAGATGCGCAGTAGCGGCAGCAGCGCTCGCTGCGCCCGCGGCTACTACACCTGCGGCAGGCGAGCACTACGCGCTAGGCAGCTACACGGTGCTTGTGGACCGCGGCGGCGGAAGCGTGGAAGTGCGGGACGCGGAGGGCGAGGGGGTGTGGGTTTGTGAGTTGAATTTCCTTCTTTCTAGCTTTCTCGGGCTTGTGATACCTCCCAGCTTAAACAGCGTATAAATAAAGATTCATTATCCACTGACAACCCACCGCCACCAACAGCACACCCCTCAACCCCCCTCATAGCCGCAACAACAAACCTGACGACCCTGTCCTCTTCCTCCGGAAACATCGAGATCGACACCTCGCCCCTCGCGCCGCCCTACCAGTCTCCGGTCATCGAGCGCGTCGTTGTCGTCCATGGTTCCAACAACAGCACAAATTCTTTACCTACAACCAACAGCAGCAGCACGCTCACGCTCGCGGGCTCCTTCGCCGACCACGCGGCCTGGACCTGGGAACTGCGCTTCAGCGTCAGCAGTCCAGACAGTCCCAGCAATCCTGACGAAGGCATACGCTTCGAAGCCAGCGTGCAAGGCGCAGGCGTCGCGAACGTGTTTCTGTCGTTTGCGAGCCCGAGGGGGGAGCAGTGGTTTGGGTTTGGGGGGCTGGCGGGGCTAGGGGATCTGAGAGGTATGTTTGAGTTTTTTTCCTTTTTCTTGTTTTTAGTTTGTGGTTTGTGTTTGCTTGTTTTTTGTTGTGTTCTGGGGGCGTGGTGGGGTGTGGTTTGCCTGCTGCAGATACATGCACACGCACGCGCCCGCTCGCCAGCCCGCGATTGAGTACTTTCTTGAGTAGGCGCTGGGTGGGTGCGGGTATGAGAGTGAAGATATACGGGGAAATGGTCGTACAAGAGCAAGGATATCCATCAAGACTCCATACCGCAAAGTCGAAGCACAACCCGCACTCCCAGCCACACAGCACAGCCTAACCATCATCACTTACCTTCCCTTCCCCACCCAACCCAACACCTCATCCTACCCCCAAAACAACAATAAACAACCCCAACTAACCCTCCCCCACCCAGGCCAGCGCATCCCCATCCTAACACGCGAAGCGGGCGTCGGCCGGGGCGCCCCGCCCCTAACACACCTCCTCAACAGCAACGCCTCCCTCAGCGGCGCCTTCGCCGGCGGCTCCCTCCGCACAGCCTACACAGCCATCGGGGCAGGCACGACGTCGCATGGGCGATGGCTCGCGCTGGCGGGCGCGCCCGCACTCACGGTCCTCGATCTCGCGAGCGCGCGGTCGGTGCTGCGGTGGCCGCTGGAGGATACCGCGGATGCGCAGCAGGACGGGCTGGGGCAAGATCATGAGGGCGAAGGGGCGGAGGGCGAGGTTGTGCGGGTGCTGGTTGAGGGGCAAGGGGCAGGGGGGTGGATAGGGCGGGCGGGGGCGAAGAAGAAGAATGGCGCTGCCAATGCCGCTGTCAATGCCACTGCCAACCCCGTCCTCAGCGCCCTCACGGCCCTCAGCCGCCGCACCGGGCGCCAGCCGCGCCTCCCCGCCTGGACGGCCCAAGGCAGCATCCTCGGGATCCAAGGCGGGCAGAACAAGACGGCCGCCATTGTGCAGCGCGCCCTCGCGGCCAAGACGCCGCTCGCGGCTGTGTGGCTGCAGGACTGGAGCGGCGCGCGCCTGCAGCCCGGCGCCGACTACGCCGTCCCCGCCAGCCGGCTGTGGTGGAACTGGGAGGCGGACGCGGAGCGGTACCCGCAGTGGGCGACGTGGGTGCCGGCGCTGCGGGGCGAGCATGGCGTCCGAGTTCTGAGCTACGTGAATACGTTTTTGGCGGATGTGAGCGCGAAGACGAGTGGATGGGAAAGGAATCTGTTCGAGGAGGGTAGCGCAAAGGGCTTGTTGGTGGGGAATAAGTCGGCGGATGATGGCGCGCCGTGGAGGATTGAGAGCGGACCCGGCATCGATGCGGGACTGTTGGATCTGTCGAATGAGGCGGCGGTGCGCTGGTTCAAGCAGGTGCTCAAAGACCAGTTCTACAGCGTACCCATCTCAGGCATGATGCAGGACTTTGGCGAGTACCTTCCCACCGACGCTGATGCCCAGCTAGGCGGCGACGTCGACCCCCGCCTCTTCCACAACGCGTATCCCGCGGCGTGGGCGAAGCTGCTGCGCGAGGTGGTCGAGGAGCTGGATCTTACGGACGAACAGCTAGGCTTCCACCGCAGCGCGACAACCTTTTCAGGCCCGCACACGAACCTCTTCTGGGCCGGCGACCAAAACGTCGACACGACTCGCGAGGACGGCATGCGTGCGGCCGCTAGCACTGCCCTGCAGATGGGCTTCAGCGGGTGGGGCCAGATCCACTCGGACGTCGGCGGGTACACAACGACGCTGTCTAAAAAGGCAGGCAATGTCACGCGCGACGCAGCGCTTCTAGGACGATGGGGGGAAATGGTCGCGCTGACGGACGCCGTGATGCGTTCGCACGAGGGAAACATCCCAGACGTCAACGCCCAGGCCTACGACAATGCCTCGACGCTAGCTTACTGGGCTTACAACTCGCGCTTGTTCGTCAGCGTGGCTCAGTACCGGGCGCAGCTGCTCGACGAGTACCACGATCGCGGCTGGCCCGTTGCGAGGCATCCTGTCGTCTATGCACCGGGGGACGCGCGCGCTCAAAGCGTTGTCGACGAGGCGTTTTGGGTTGGCGAGGCACTACTGCTGGCGCCGGTTTACGAGGTTTGGGAACAGAAGGTTGAAGTTTATCTTCCGCATTTTCAGATTGATAGCGAGGGAAGGGCTGTGCCGGGGGAGACAAAGTATAGGCATTTGTGGTCAGGGGAAGAGTACGCGCCAGGGCAGAGTGTTGTCGTGGATGCGCCGTGGGGACGGCCGGGCGTATTTGTCAGGTGGCCATTGAAGGAGAGCGAGGAGGAGACATTGAAGGGGTTGTTTGAGTTTGTGGAGAAGGAGAGGGAGACGGTGCTGAGCGTGTGATAGCGACCCGGCAGCTCGGGCGTACCGGCAGACGGGAACAGGCGACGATGGATCGCCCGATTCGCGTCAACTCGTTTCGCGCAGATGAAGGTTCGGAGAGTGGGCGTTTCACGCGCGGCGCGGCGGATGGTGGTCGGGGCTCGGGGCTGTGGTCTGGCTGTGGTCTGGCTGTGGTCTGGCTGTGGTCTCGGCCGATGGCACTCGCTTTTGGCGGGGAAGATGGACGATAATATAATCACCGGTCAGCGTTCGGGTGAGCATAGCATTGATGGTGGCCCTGATGGATGAGAGCTGCGGCCGGTGAGGGAGGAAGGAGAAAGGGGGTCGCAATTCGGCATGTCCGTCTGACGAATTTGGAAGGTTCGCGTGGGCCGAGGCGATGATGTGCGGCGGGGATTCCTGAAAGAGACACAGTCCATGACGCCACTACTGTGTCCTTCTTGTCTCGCGTCAGGGTCCTCGCGAACCGTGGCTGGCTGTCGACGGCTCGGCTCTGACGGGACAATGGCGGGAGCTGACTTCGAAAATCCGCAATCCAATATCGTGGCGTCAAATGTGTGCACGTTCGCCCGTCAATCTTTAGATCGAGTATGCATTCTACTAGAAAGAAAAAAAAGCCCCCCCCTGCTTCCCTTCTTCCCCTACTTAATCCATCCTTCCCTCGCTCCTTTTTCCCCTTCTCGTCCGTCCGCCGCCATGTCTCCCTCCTTCTTCCGCCGCCCGGCCACGCGCCCCTCGACGGCCTCGTCGTCGCCCACGTCCTCCCGCTCGGGCTACTCGTCGCACCCCTCCGAGTCGACGGCCCCCTCCAGCCTGTCCAGCATCGCCTCGGCCAGTGACTCTTGCTCCGACGCCGACAGCTGCGCCTTTGACGTGCACGACTACTTTGCCCAGCTGCGCGAGGAGCTGCACGTATCGGACGACTGTCCAGGCCCGCAGCAGCTGGCCGCCGCCGGCAACATTCCCATCTACGATGGCGCGGGGAATGCCCGCCCGTTCCGCTCCATCTTCGCCGGCGACGACGTCATCGGCGAGCGCCAGCTCGTCCTCTTCGTCCGCCATTTCTACTGCGGCGTGCGCCAGCCCCGCTAACTCCCGCATCCACCCCGCGCTGACCCCCTTCTCCAGGCCTGCCAAGCCTACCTACGCGCCCTGACGGCCAATATAACGCCGCAGACGTACTTCACCATGGCCGTGCCGACCTCGATCGTCGTCATCGGCTGTGGCTCCCCGCGCATGATCAACGCCTACAAGCAATTCACCGGCTGCCCTTTCCCCATCTTCGCCGACCCCACGCGCCAGCTCTACCGCGCCCTCGGCATGTCGTGGACTCTCGACATTGGCCTGAACAAGCGCCCCGAGTACATGAAGAACATTGCGCCCCCCGCCTGGCTCGCCGGCCAGCTCAAGCAAATCTCAAAGTCGCGCGGCCGCGACGGCTTCCGCGGCGGCAACTGGCTCCAGATCGGTGGCGAGTTTCTGTTCGAGAACGGCGACGTCGCCTGGTGCCACCGCATGCGCCACTACCGCGACCACACCGAGGTCGACACCCTGCGCAGGCTGCTGGACATTGACGACGACTGAGCTGTCTCTGTGCTTGTAGAGTAACCTTCCTGCCCGGGCGCCCTGTCCGCGCGTTTGCAGTTTGCGCGAGGTTGCACCGCAGGAGCGGCTCCGAGCAGGGGCTGTTCTGCTCTGCTCCGCGCAACGCAAACGCAACCTCCACGGCAGTCGCGTCGTGCCTCGCCGCTGGTGGCGGAGGTGTGCCGCTGCTGCCACCACTGCTGTCAAAGCCGTGCGCCGTACCACCCAGCCGTCACAGCCCGCAACGTGTCACCGACCGTGGAAACATGCGCCGAGTCAAACAGACCGACAGCCAGACAGCGGGTTTGCGCAACGTCCGGCGCGCGGCATGGTTCCGCCAACGCGCTGTCACGGCGCTCGGCAGCCGTGGCAGCAGGAGCACCCGCAGCAGCAGCAGCGAGAGCTCCTCCTAGCGCGGTTCATGCAACGCGACCCGTGCACCGCAGCGTCTGGCACGCAGACGAACAAACAGACGCAGCATCGAGCGGTGGGCGCGCCGCGCTGCATGCCGTCCCGCGCCATCCCGCGCCGTGCCGTGTTGTTTCGTGTTGTTTCGGTGCCCCTTCATTCCTTTCTTTTCCTTTCCTTCGTCACTCCTTTCTTCGTGCTGCGTGTCTTTCCTTCCTTCCTTTCGCCGTCCCTACATACGTACACGTACACGTCCATGCGGCCTGCGCATGCTGATGTAAGAGCCGGTTTCTTGCTCCCTCGTTTCCTTTTGTCTCATACCCACCACGTACTCCTCGGGCGGTTGTGAGGAGCTGCATTGCGGCGCTTGGTGCTTGCTGTGTGTAGTTAAGGATGCAGAGAATGCGGGAATATGATGCTGTTTTATGGTCGTTTAGGTGTGCGGTGTGCGGTGTCTACGGAGTGTGTTTTCGGTGGTTGTGGGTGACTGTGGTGCTTCGTGCTGTGGTTGCTGTGTGTGGTTTAGGATGCAGAGAATGGGGGTATACGATGGTGTTTTTTGGTGGTTTGGGTTTGCAAGGCGCGGTGTCTACGGAGTGGGCTTTCGGTAGTTGAAAGTAGCTATAACGCTTCACGCCGTAGTCACTATGTAGCTATGAAGAAAATGGCAAGGAGAGTACAGTATAGATTCTTAAGTGTATAGAAGTGCGAAACGCCATACCTATCAAGCAGTTTTACAAGAGTACTGCCTTCTTATGTATGCGAAGTACTTCTTTGGTGGTTATAAGTTGCTACAGCGCTACGCTTGGTTGCTACTGGGTATTTAGGAAATAGGATAATTAGATGTGTTTTAGAAAAGCATAGAGTACAATGATAAAAAGACAAGGAGTAAGTTATATATACGAAAGCACTTCCTACCCTTTGCACTTCAGGCTCCCTTGAACAGCACAGAAAGCTACAGCGTCACCATAAAACAAACATCTCTCACGATAGAAGAAGCAATTCATCAGAATACAAAACAACTAAACCTCTTCCTATCACCTTGCGTTGGAGCATTAGAAGGCCCAGAGACTAGATTCTAGAACCCCTAGCGTGTTGTCCTAAATCAAATGTATGGACGCTCCTTTGTTTCCGCTTTATATCAGGTATTTGAACCTTTGAAGGAAGACAAGTTGTTTTGTGCATAAAGCATTTCATTGGATTTACTACTCTCTACCTCTGACCGTTTGAGTGCGCAAACCTATACTGAAAGCAAAGGCAACTGTAATTTTGCCCTTTGTTAAGGTGCCTACTAGCCTGCTTTTGGCTCAGGTACCCTCAGTGTTGCCAGAGTTGGTGTCCTCGCCGTCATCCCCTGCACTGGTATTCTCACCATAGACTCAACTGCATTCCTCAATGGGTGAAAAGGCAAATAGGTAGTTTTCCCACCAATCGGTCTCCTAGAGGTTGTCTTCTTCTTCAAGGTACCATGGTAAAGGATGGGGAGCTGGGTTCACGGAAACCATCCGTATAAGATCGTTGTTGCGAAGGGACGCCTTGTATTCGAGGATTGCACAAACACGCGTACGGTTCCACATCTTACGTTCGTTTTGGCGCCCCTCCATTGGTCCGCCTACCATTATGAAAGCCTTCAACGCACGCGTGAAAGCCACACACGCGCGCTGTTCTTCAGCCATAAAGCCGACGTCAATGGGACGATCAGCTTCCGTATTCACGAGGTCGAGGAACACGATATCTCCTTGGATTCCATGAGCTGAATCTACCGTGTAGATGCGCGGTAACATGGACATATTAAGCTCCATGCCAGGATAGTCGACTTGGAACTTCCGGATAAATCCAGCTACAAGCTCTTTACGCTGTTGACCGTACGGCGTCAAAATCAGTATTTTCTTCCAAGTTCCGGCTTTTGTAATGATCTTGTAGCTTGTCGACAGCATCTACGATCCATGCCACGTGCTCAAGGTTGGCCCTTGAGCGCGACAGCTTCGACTTGAGTACCTTGGAGTTTATGATTTCAACATAACTAAAGGCTGTTAGCGGCACTCGATGCTTGATGGTAGTGAGTACTTACTGTAGACGGGCCTTGTTATCGGGTTCACTATGATCAAGCCCGATAATGTCTTTGAGAATGGTAGCTACCGCAGGCTTGAGGTAGTTGTTGTGAATGGTGGATTGATCTGAAATCATCTTGTTGCCGTAAAATCTCTCATTGGGATACGCGAAGATAGTAGGGTGCATGCGAAACTGGCGGGTAAAGGTGATGTAAGGGAAACCACCAGCAATCAGTCGAGCCATCAAAGAAAGTTCGCCTCTCGCCCTGAATTCGTTGAAGTTGCCAATAGAGAAGTGGAGGGATATTCCCTGCTGTATGTCACCAAACAGATGCATCGCGACGACGGTTTTGTCAGATGCTGCAAGAGCAAAGTAGCTGTCCACTTCGCGATCTCTGCCCGCTTCATCTATCATGACAGCGAGACCTCTGGATTCTCTGCCGACGTTCTGACAAATAAGTTTTGATCCAGCATTGGTGGTGGTCGTGATCAGCACCTTGGCGTGTGCGAGAATATTTGCCATGACTATCTCTTTTGACTGGTTAAATCTGGCTTTATCCTCGTAGTTCCAGTGTTTGAATGATTTATCAACTGCTGGGTCCTGAAGGCGCACCAGGAAGCCTCGGAGTTCCTCGGCCATGTTGAAATTTGCGCCATGGGGCTCCCCTTTCTCGTTACTGTATTGTGTGATCACAGTAAGGGATCGGTCCATACACCTGCGGACTGTGACAGATGATAACTCGTTATCAAGGGCCGGGCGAGGGAGCTTCCCTTTGGATGCCTTCATGAGCGCGATGAGGCTTATCGTTGTGATATCTTCGATGGTATCCTGGATAGCTGATTCATCGGTGTTATGCATCAAGGCCATCACGGAAGTATCAAGCCCATTTGAGATTGAGCTCGCAAGGACTCTGATGGGCTCCACGTCAGTGATAAATTTCGAAGTAAGTTCATCGGCAATTTGGTCCGCGGCGGTGTTGTTTGGGGCGGTAATCAGAGTTGCGATGCCAGCATCGCCATACATTTGTGCCAGTATGGCAGCAAAGCGCGTCTTCCCGGTCCCACTAGGGGACTGCATAATCTGCATTTTTGCCCTCATTGACTTGACACCTTGGATGGTTGCTAGTTGATTGCTGTCCAAGTTGGTGAACTTGACGACTCTGTGCATAGCACCCCGTAACGCCTTGTCAGCCTCATCGTTGGGGACATTGGCCAGTTCAAATGCATTCGTAGATGGCAACGACTCCGGAGATTGGTTGAGTAAAAGAGGCCAAAGGTCTCGCTTGCCGTGCTGGAGGTCCCAGATAGTATGCGTGATACTAATGCGGCGCTTGTAAGTGGTATCAGCGCTAACGACCTTAAGCCTCATAGGCTTGTATTCCACCCGGTCGATTTGAGTATAATCAACTGCGGAGCCATGGAAATAGCCAACGTCCTTGTTTTTGCATACAAGGATGAGGTCTGCGGGAACCCCAAGACTGAACACGTTCTCAACGACGAGAAACTTGGCAGACTGTTCAAACTTGGCCTGCTTGTTGCTTTTCCAGTACACGAGCACGTCTGCTCTATGCTCGAGAAGAATCCGTGCATCACGGATCTTGTCACGATTGCCTAGATTCACCAGTGCGAGGACATTAGCGCCATACGAAATGAACCGAGCTTGATGTTCTGCAGTTTCAAATTGCTTGTGGAAAAGAAGACCCTCCTGGTGCTCTCTGTAAGGTAATGTTAGCAATGAACAATCATTTATTTGTAGCAAACAAGTCGTAGAACTTACGCATCAACATCATATGAAAGCTGAACTTCTGCCTCCAATGGATCCACAAACTCATTGAAGGCCCTGATAGGTATGTGCGGTGAACCATCTTTCAGACGATGGAAGACTCTCTTCATAGCATTGGGCATTGCCTGCGCACATCCGTTGACACGCAAGTAAGGTGCGTATAAAGGTTTGTTTCTGCACGAGAGCGTTCCAAACTCGTCAAAAAACCTCTTAATGTCAATCGTGTTACCGTTAGAGAAGGATGTTATGTCCTGCTTAGACAAAATGACTCTCAATTTCACGGTCTTAGTTGAAGGGAGTGCCAACTCGCGAAGACAGGCGAGCAGATCAAGCTCTTCTTGAACAAGTTCAACATCGTGTGGAGGACCCAGGTTAGATGTCACACCAAAGGTGCAAGTGAACTCCAGGTCGAAGTAGGCATTGTTGACAATCTCGCCTGCATGGACATTAGAGATGCCGGCATGACCGACATTCCACTCGTACCCATAGTCTCCACTAGCCTTTGATCTAGTTGTTGTAGTGTAGACTGCGCCAATAAACCAGCGTATGTGTCCAATGTGTATGCGATCCACGGAGCCATCCGTTTCACGATGGGTCTGACAGGTTAACTGAAAGGAGGGGGAGAGCTCTGTGCTGCCCACAGATAACGTCAAGCTTGAGGAGTTGCTGTTCCCGAGGTAACCAAATGGGTAAATAGGGCTCAATGTCTTGCCATCGGTACCGGTGATTAACTGTGCTTGGTGCCGCAATCCGTTGCGTATTTTGAGCCAGCCGGCCCTGTCATTCCTGCGGGGTATGTTCAATTCGGCTAGGGTGGACTTCTCCGTTACCGAATTGCCCGTGGCATCGATGTTTGGAAGAGCATATCCATCGTCAATGGTTGCCGGATCGATACCACTGACGCGGACCGGCATCATCTAGAAATTGATGTCAGTGGACTGGCTATGTTGAAACCTCACTTGCCAAGGTCCTTACCACCAGCGCCAGGGTCACCAGGCGAGCTCGGGTCGTCAATAGGCTTGTTGACAAGCGCTTTTGGCATGTCAGTGTGGAGGCATGGTTGCTCGTTTTCGGATACCTACTGCTCATATTTGCACGTCAGTGCTGTCGAATGATTGAAGTGCGGCGTGGGTGGTGGTGGAGTGTGATGAGGAAACGTCGAGAGATGGAGGTGAAACTGTGGAAAGAATAACTGCGAGAAGCAGAAGAACGGAGGTGTCTAAATGACTGCGCTAGCCTGATCGGTCAAGTAACACACCGACTAGGTAACAAGTGAAAAAGTCCAAGCAGCGGAAAACCCATTTTCACGAAAAGTGTGAAAGGTCAAAGTAGATGGAGGATAAACAAACCCATGCACAGGGCGGGTAGAAAGCCGGGGAGAGATGTATGTCTGCTATCCTCCCGGGGCTCCAGTTAGATGTCTTTCTCACTATATAGATGTTAAACATGTATAGGTATGTAACTTACTATTATACCCTTCTGCCTTCGCATCCTCATGCCCCTTTTAATGCACGGAAGTGTAAGAGTCGAAACTACCACTAATTACAGAAGGAGTACTTCGCAGGTATAGCAGACTTGGTTTGATGGATGCTTAGAGAGAGGACAAGCAGTCAGAATTATGAGCAAATTATCTGGCTGGGGCTTTCGGGTAATACTCCGGGCGGGCATCTTTGGTCCCGCTCAAGATAAGTTCTTGCCTATCGCTCTTTCCGGTGTATGCCGCATCCTACGATGCATCAACTGAGAAACCACGGTATGATGTACGAGACCGTCGTCACCAAGATTCAGACGAACTTGCACGTCCACCACGTCCAAAAGCTCATCGGGCTTCCCCAGGTCCAGGTTCCCAAGTCTTGCATCAAGAATGCAAAGAGATTGGTCCAAACATTGGTATTTATTGATACTGACGCTCGTCCTGACTGGAATGTGAAGCCTGTCATCAGTACCGTAAACCGATATCCATCATCACCACGTAGTCCGGCGCTGAAAGTAAAAAGGCGGAAAATTTATTCAAAGGAGCTGGCAAATCGCACCTTGAACGAAGTTCCTCTGATGTCGATTCCAAGAATTCCTTCATGGCGATTTCTGAAATGCCATTGCATATGGACGAGAATCCGCTGATGTGTTGTACACCGGCCATGTAGAGAGGGAGAGGCCTTTAAGCAAACACTGTGGAGCGGGCATGAGGCCTTGGTAATTACGTCATGCCGCATCCTCCCTTTCAAGCGGACATGGAAACATCCGTTGTCTGCCGTCATTCATACCTGCAGAGTCGCGGCATCGTGCCTACTCAGAGCGACAAAGGAGCCCAGTCTCTGGCTGAGGAGGGCACTACAGGTTGCTCTGAGTTTACTACCAACCCAGCCAATCATACGGGCTGATTTAGTTGTAAGGATACGGGAGCGATGGCGGAGCAAAGAGGCTTGAATGAGTAGATACCAGCGCTTGCACGAAGGTGCGCATGGTGTTGATGAGACGTTGTGGGTCCGTGCAATCGAGGTGTGAGTAGCGCGCAGGGTTAGTCAGCACTGCGGCGACCACGTCTGTTGCGTAGGTATCGCTCAGCTCCTCGAGCCATGAGCATGTTCCAGCAGCACTCAACTGGCTGGAAAGACATTGAGAAGGAGAAAGCCGAGGAGATGACTCCTATCAGGCCACCGCATCCCCCTACCGAAGTAGCCATGCCACGGCCAGCGCGACCTTCCCCTCACCCTTCAGTCACGTCGTTGAAACTTGTTACCACCATCTCTTTACGATTTCGCTCTATGTCACCTGCCTAGCATCATTGTACTGAGTAGATGAGAAACAGATATTAAAGCCCAAGCGTCTTCGAGCTCAATGGTATCGCGGCAGTGAGGGCATTCCCTCGTAGCCCTTTTGTACTGAACTATCTCCGTGCAATTCAATGGACCTGAAAATATGATTGCAAGATAACGTCCATGTTTCTTGCTGGAGTAGGGCATTTTGGCATATGTTGCAAGCATCCAGTGTCGGCATGGCGCAGCTAGCATCTGGGGTGCAGCGCCGGCACCGTCACAGCACGTGCCTTGGTGCACGGACCATCGACGACGCTTGATATCTTGGACCGCGACTCAACTCTCCTCTTCTCTTCTTCACCCTCGGGTCACAACCCTTCGGGACCTGGTTGCAGGCGCCCACTTCTTGCTTTTTGAGCTCTGCTTGGCAGATGTCTCATAACCAACCAAGCCGAAATGATTAGCTTCACGTAGGCATGACAACGCTCTCAAGCAGCATTGCGCCCGCCAACCTTGGCAACTGGGACATCGCTGTTTCCATGGAGCATCAACTTCGTCCGCTCAAGCAGTATTGCACCCGCCAACTTTGGCAACTGGGATAGCATCGCTGCTTCCATGGAGCAATAACTTCATCCGCAAATTTTGCTCACGGCTTACCTCGTGGTATGTACAGTCGGCTACATAAAATGAAGAGCCGGGGCAAGCGAGCGACCGGGGTCAACACCCACTGCAGCTATTTCAACCGGCGATTTCTCCATAACCTTCTCCTTCAGACACATAAAATGGGTCGGGTTTACAAAACAGACAGGCGAGAATGGCCTGTGAACGAAATTCAAGCCATGTAGCTTTTGTTCAAGCACGGAGTCTCCACTCAAAAAATTCGAGCAGAATTCGGCATCCTAAAGTCGTTACTGAACACGATTCTTCGCAAGTGCAGGAACAACAATTGGACTGCTATCAGTAAGTAAAAGCGTCCTGGGCGACCTACGAAGCTAGACGAGCGAGCTAAACGACGTTTTATTCGAATTATTGCGAATAATCCATTCGAATCAATCGCCTGCCTGGCAACGCCTAGCAAGGTCGGATCTCGCATTCATATCAACACAGCACGAAAAATACTGGCTAAGCATGAGGTCTACGCTTTTAGGCCACGCAAGAAACCCTATTTAACCTAGAAATATAAGGAGGCACGGCTTCGTTTCGCACGAAAATAGGTGAATCTAAAGGAGGAGGATCTTCGCCTAATTTGCTTTTCTGACGAATCAACCTTCGAGATCGGTCTTGATATAATTCACAACTACGTCCGTCGCTAAAAAGGCTAGGCCTATGAGAGTCGCTTTCTTAAGCCTACCTTTAAGTCTAGCCGGTCCTCTGTCGGTGTCTGGGCGGTAATTTCGCTTGGAGAGAAAGGCGACATGGTTATTCTTACGAAGGGACAGCGCATAAATTCGACTATCTACTATAGAGACATCCTAAATAGCCCTGCCTTCTCTTTTTACGAAAAAATTACTAATCTTTACGGAGACGCTGTCTGGCAGGAGGACGGTGCGAGATATCACACGTCTAAGATATCTACAGCTTTCCGCTCGGCTCTTCTCATATAGATACTCGACTGGCCAGCGCAGTCGCCTGATCTAAATCCGATTGAGAACGTATGGCGAATTATCAAGGCTCGCATTTGCCAGCGCAGACACCGAATAAATTCGATCCAGGAGATAGAGATAGTGCTGAAGCAGGAGTGGGACAGGTTGACTCCTACAGACTGGAGAAGGTGTATTTTAAACTGGCAGGACCGCTGCAGAGCGGTGATCAAGGCGAAGGGAGGATCAACTCGGTACTGAAAGTATCTCTACTGGATTCTCCAGTGTCTGTTGCATAAAATTCGAATTTCTTAAATGTCCTGGTGTTGAATTGATCGCTGAATGGGTGCTTCTTCGCAGCAGGGTAGTTGACTCAGGGTGAGCAGGGACCGGGGTGGCTCTTCATTTTGTGTAGCCGACTGTACATCTCACTGTACGGTGGGCGCATTTCGTGTCGCTTGGTGAAGTCACCCATTTACTGCTGCCCAAATGGACAATGTTCGCCCTCTCTGAAAATCCTCGCACTGACTCTTCTTTCCTTTTAGATTCCTTCTTTCAACTCACAATCTCTCCGCTCGCTAGACCCCAGTCCCTCGTCTTAAACTCGTTTTCTGTCTTCACAGTCAAGGTAAGCCTCATCTTCGCTCTGTTCTTGTTCAACTCTAACGGTCAATGTAGCCACCTGTACAGAAGACCGTCGACTCTTTCCTTGCGCGAAAGCATGTTATCGAAAAGGAACATGACGTACATGAAGGCCAGCCTTGTGAGAAGCGACTTCGCCGAGAGCCCCCTCAATGGCGCTTCGACCGACCGTTAGTTCCTCCCAAAAAGGGCAAGCTTGCCGTTTTCTACCGCCCAGTGCTCCGTAAGGACGACGGTTGTTGGACAGAGATCCCTGACGACTTGAGACCCGCGCGACCTATCTATCATTCGCCATCCCATGACCGCTCCAGAGACAAATGTCTACAACTGTCAAACCAGTCAGAGGAGACGTGAAAAAGTCAAGATGATGTCTGCCGGGTACACGTATTCACAGGCGGCTTGGTATTCGCTACGGATTCAAGCTCCCGAGACTTTTGCTTCGCACAAGACCAAGTTCGCTTCCAAGAGTTCTTCCTCCCGTAAACATTCTGTCACTAAAACATCTGCCACCGGCAATTTTTTCAATGTCTTTAAGGCCACTGCCAACGTCAAGGTATCCGCCACTCCCGAGGCGCCTGCCGATAACAAGCTGTCAGTTACTCTCAATACACCAGCTGAAGTCATCAAACTCACTGAGCAAGATGACAACGATGAGACAGAAAGCTCTGCCAGTCAACGCTTGATGACGATGGACATTCATGACATAATCCATCCACCCAAGGATGACGAACCAGAAAGCTCTGTCAGCCAACACTTGTCAACTGCTTGTCGCGACACCGGGGACCTTCATGACAAAAATACACAGACGACAAGAGCAAGTTCCTTCCGCCAACCCTTGACTAAGGATGTAGTTCTATCCAGGAAGTCATGTCTATCCGAAGGAGGCCAGGACTGTTAGGACACCGCTTACTCACTGCAAATGTTTGGTCCGATCAGAAGCATTGGCCTTCCCAACGAGACTCGAAAACCTACATGTATCCTAGGCAAGTTCACTCGGTCATGGTACATCGCTCACAACCAGAATACTAGGATGGCGGAATGGTCTCGTAGCATAGTTACTGAAGGGTTGGGGTCACAAGCAAGCGATATCAATGACAAGGATTCATTTTTGCCGTTACTAAATACAAGTCCTGTTACTTCAATACGTGCTTAGCTTGGTGATTGCGCATACGTTTTCGGGTTATACTACAGTTACAGGGATAGGTATCGTCGCATCCCCACAGCGCATGGTACTCCGCCGAAGTGAAAATATGTCAAGTCGCTTCGAATTCATTTAGATACTAATCCTGCCACCTTATCTATATGCTCCTGGAAGAAGATTAAACCGCTCCCCATGGGTCATTCCTTACACAGGCTTAGCGCTTGCATTTGTAGCTAGTATTGTTCCTCATGAGGGCATGTGAATTGAAACAATATCTCCCCCTTTGACTGTTGTAGTAGCTAGACGAATGCATTTCATACGGGTCTGATTAAGACTCTCCTCTCTCCGCAAGGAACACAATGCTCTGCAGTTCAAAGTAGCCTTTTACCTTCAGTTTGTCGGATGCATAGATTGCTTAAGACCTCTAGCTCCTCGGCACATAGAACAAGGCAGGCGCCAGCCCGCCCGACCCCACATACGCATAACGAGTAGTTTCAAAAGTATCTCTAAAATTTTGCCTCTCATATAGCAGCGGGTCGACGCCCCCAATGCGGGCACAATGGTGCCTTCTTCCTAGCCATGTGCCAGCACGGCTCCCCAAAAGTACGGTGCTGTCTAGACATGTCCGGCTTCCTGCATCAATCCTTAAGAACCTGACCACTGCGATAACCACACGAAGTTCTCATCCTGCACTATCCGCATTCTATTTGTCCTGTCCCTACTTCATGTATCTCGACACGGTGCGGGTAGATAACAGAGCACGGGGTGCTCGGTGGGGTGGTGGTAGAGCCGGCGTTGAGGTTAGCGAGTGGATCGCAAAACCTTCCACGCTTCCATTTCGCACCACCCTTGAAAGCCTCCCCCCACTGCAAAAGACAATTTTCTAAATTTTTTCGTTCGCAGAAAAATTAATTGCAAAAGAAAAAAAACGAGACGCCCGACGTGAGGCTCGAACTCACAACCTTGAGATCCCTTGAAACCCTGTTTAGGGTTTAAAAGTCTCACGCGCTGACCAATTGTGCCAGCCGGGCAGCTGTCTCATTGTTGTGATTGGCAAACAAAATTTGCGGAATATAAAGAGACTATGCTGACTGACCGAAGAGATGCCGGCATTGAGAAAACACGATCTGGCAGGCTGACCAGCCACCTAGTATGAGGTAGGTGCAGGTGGGCAGGTCGACGGCCCTCAAACCCAGAATTCCAATGTGTGAGTCCAAGCCTCAAACTAGGAAGCTCATTCTTTGCTCCCTTGCATGCGGGCAACTTTGTGAAGAGTTGGAGCTGTTTATCAAAGCACCTGGGCTCAGTGAGAGTTTGGCGTTCACGTGATACTGTACGCACACGTCGCTTCAGCCCTTACACTAAGTTAACCGCACTACACCCTTCTCAAGACGACCTTCATGTTGACCCTTGAAGCCTCGGCGAAAAGCCATCTTATATCTCCAGTGATTCGCCGGCGATTACATGCCTTAAGCCTATCCGACAGCGATTACGCCCTCGAAGCAACTTACATGCGCCGACAGAGCGCTCCCTCAAACATGTTCCTGAGCTACGATTGGTCGCCAACAAGAGCCGACACTCGATGTCATGTAATTAAACAAGGTTGTTGTTACGAGCACAGCATCCAGTCTAAGAAGTTATTACTTACTTCTAATAGTTACTTAGCGCGTAAGGCTCTTAGAATTGTAGTAAAGTTATAAGGGATCTTAAATTATATATTTAAACCCCTTATTAAGCGCAATATTCTTTTTCCTTTTTAGTGCCTTTTTCCCTAGATGAAAAAGTAGAAACAACTACATTTTGTAATAGCGGATGTTTTTAAGGGTAGCACGAAATAGACGCGTGGAAGAAGATTTAGAGCGGTCTACGATTAAGGCCAAGTACTCCTACCTTTGCGATCGTTATGTTCAGCCTAGCAAACCACGACTTACTTTTTTCGATACTATTGAACACTATAGCAAACTTCATTGCTTACTATCACTACACTAACTTTCAGTCCCGTTTTATAGCAGGGTTTTCAAATTAGAAGCTGTGGCTCGTGGATCAAAACTGATGTATTTGTTGTAGTAACTACTTATAATGATTGATTAGTAGTGCAGTGAATTTTACAAGTAGATTCAACAGCTGAAGGGTAGCTGCCCATGAGCCATGCTGCATGCGACTGCCTCATAGGGATTCAGCATGGGCCCTTTCAACAGCCTAAGGCCTCACAGGCACCGACGCTCAGCTCGCACCTCCCCCTTTCTCCTTCATAGGCTCTGTGCTACCAAACTCTGCACGTCGCAATTACACCGTTTCACTCTCGCGCTCTAAATCGGTCAATACTGTCTCACGTACGCTACACGCTGCCGTAAAGTCATCTTTCTACTCAATGCTCTCGAAGCCGGATCACTCAAAAACGGTGTGAAGCGATACGCCCAATCCTGATGGATCCTGACAGTAAGGTGCTCGCCAGTGATCCTCGAGTTCTTGCCTGACTACCCACAGTTATCGAAGAGCTAGACAAGATCAAGGACTGGGCGCCACAGAAATGTCCCGGCACCGACCTGTTATGCGGTATCTGGGCGTCAGCCGGTGTCATTGCGCACGCTGAGCAGCCGAGCCTCAAGAACCACAAGCTACTCAAGTACAACCAGTAGGTGATTTATCAGAAACGTCGGAGGTGGTTATTACTGACAAGCCATGTTCAGGTTCGTTGCCTTCACTTCTCTTCGTGACCTCTTCGGCGGAAGTGCCTACCGGGACGCCGTCGAAAACCTTGGCCTTAGTGGTGACGAGAAAAGCGAGCTGCTTTCAATAGAATTTCTCAGCGACGATCAAATCATATTGCTCATAGAGCTTTACCGTCAAAAAGTCGAACAACTTCCCAAGGACTTCCGCGTCGGTATTCGCCACTACCTTGAACCTGAATCTGCACATCCGTTCTCATACTTGGCGAAGTCTGAACCTCAACGCGCTCCGATTTACTGGTTTATGAATCGGTGGGGAGTTCATTGGGAGCCAATCACTCCAGTCCTCAACTCGGTCGACATCTCCGAAGATGGACGTGCCCTTGACCTCGACGAGGAAGACCCTTGCAAGACCGGCGCTGAACCTATCATTTCTTACGACCCATTACCTAATCTAGTTGGCATTGATGCTGTGACCATGGGCAAAATCACCGAGGAGACTCGTCTCATGGCTTTGAACATCCCGGACTCGAAAGACAAATCGGCCTGGTCAGCTACTCGAGATATTCATCACCACAAATGCCAAATTATCTCAGGCCATGACCCTAAGGGTCCGGTACCTACATGTCCTGCCGGAAGCACCAGAGATAACAAGTCCATAAACTTGTCAATTGCTTTTGGATCACTGGAACTGAACCTGTATATCCAGCTGAAGATCATGACGTACCGTACAATTCCATCTGCAGAGGCCACATTGTTGCATTCAGGTACGGTGAGGTTTCCGTTCGGAAGGCTCTACAGGCAGAAAGATGGTTCTATCGAGGCTAGAGACAACAACACTGGAAAGTACGAGACCATACGTGGTTGCTTAGGAGTCAGCATTGGTCCACTTCAGGACAACAAATCGATCACGGTCAAATTCACTGCGAACTTCGGAGCCATGGATCATCTCAATGTCTCTCCGAGCATCCGCTCTGAAATGTTCGAGAAGGAGTTGCAGCTCATCAGTTTTCTTCCACGACTCACGCGTCCTCGCTGTCCCATTGATGTGACTCTCAGGGTTTTTCTCACCGAAAAAGAGAGAGGTACACTAAACATGGGTCGGGTCCCAGATTTCATCACTTTACTCAAATATATAAATGATTTTCCGGCCATGCACGAGCCCCCCTACAAACCATACCTTCGGGAGTCTGGGTTCCCGGAAACATCTGCCAACCTCATGAAGCCAATCTTCCATAGGCTTAATCATGGCTCACCGCACATGCCAGTGAAAGTGTTCAATCAGTTTCTAGACCCGATCGAGGCAGAGGTCCACCTGGCTTTTGATGTAGACACGTGAGTAGTATATTTGATCCAGTCAACAACATTTCACTGACATGGGTCTCCAGCGAGCACGTAGAACAATAGATACTCCTAGGGAAGTTTGAGAAGACTAGCCATAACGCTCTGTTTGTCGTAAACGGGCCCGAAATCTTAGCTCTGATCACGCTCTGGAATCGTGAGAAGAGGCTTGGTCAACACCGTCGACTACAAAGTGGCACTGAGGTCATTTTGACATGGAATCAGTCTCGGTGCATGACGCCAGTGGAAAAGAAATGCCGTTTTCGAGTTGCTAACGATACTGTTGGCTTCGATGATGCTGATATATTGCTCGTAAGCAAGGCCAAGAGTCTAGATTTTTTTAGACCATTCGCCGTTCAACCTCACCAACGGTCACGCGCTAAGTCGGTCGACGTTATCTTAAGGTTTGTCGAAAATGATGTCACCTACCGCCGGCGTATAACAGCCACTAGTAATGTCTAGAGTATTTCTGGTGGCCGTCCCGAGCTTTGGGATCTTCTACTTAATCACAACCCGCTTGCTTTACCGCTAGTAAACCCATTCCAATTGGCCGGCGTCTCCAAACACGATGCGCTTCAGGCTATAGCAAGAGTTAAGAACATAACGCAAGATCCACTGAACACCGAACAAGCTATTGTCATTAATAGAGTTCTAAACCTCCCTTCGCGTCTGCAAATTATCCACTCATATGGTGGCATAGGAAAGAGTTACACCGAGTATCTTCTTGCTACCATGTATGCTCAAGTAAACGTGGTAGTGGTCTTGTCAGCACCCACAAATGCGGCTGTAGGACACATTTGTGAAGAGTTTCAATCTAGTTTACCCGGTGAAATCCAGCCACTCCAGGTATTGTCGAACATGGTCAGCGAGGACAATGAGCGACTGGGAACGGATCGAAAAGACATGGATGATAGCCTTGTAAAGGCAGTTCTCGATGACGGTTCCCTTACCGCTTTTCTCGCACATTTAAAGACCACTACCAAGCTTCAGCGCAGCTATCGGGTTGGAAACGTCTTGCTGTATCAGACAATACATACATGTCAAACGGGATTTATCGTTGTTATGGCCCAATACTCGATCAAGGGTCGTCTTGTAGGCCCTGAGCGCGACATGGCACAAGAGCTAAAGAAGTTTCTTAAACAGCTTTCCGATCCGACTGCGACCCCTTACGCAAAATTGAAACTTGAGACGATGCAGCAGTTCCGCCAGGCTCTCTGGCTCGTTCAGGAACGCATTGTGGCCACAGCCCCACTGGTCGCATGCACAACCGTCACCGCTGGATCCAAGATAGTGCATCAGAACGTCGGTCGTGAGTCCAAAGGCCTAGCCATAATAATCGATGAAGCTACTCGGGACCGTGAAGTCGACACATACATCCCACTCACTGCGCCAAGCACGAAGGTTGTCGCGATTCATCTTTTCGGAGATGTTGGGCAAGGCCAGCCTATACACACATCAGCAGGTGGATACAACCAATCCGAAGCATTTAATGAGTTCTTGTTTCGCGGAAAGCTGTCCTTGATGACACGCCTGGTTGACAGTGGGTTTCCTCATATTGTCCTCAGACGAAATCCCGCATGCATCCAATCATCTCTTCATTCCCCAACAAGACGTTCTACGGCAAGCAATTGTCTTCAGATTCAAGTGTCTTTCCCCTGCTTCAGCTTAAGCTTGCTGTTGCTCTAAAGCGCATTCTACACCTTTCTCCTGACGCTCCTGACGACAAAGCTCGTCTTCACTATGTCGAAATACAAAGCTCGAAGCTGCGTAAGTCTAGCCAATCTTACTCTCGCGCAAATCTGGAATATGTCGAATGGGTTATGAGAGCGATCAATGACCTCCACCATGTTCTCATGAGTAGCATGTCGAGGAATGTCATGATCCTCACACCTTACAAACGCCAGGCCGCTGAATACTCTATGGCATTTATCGAAGCATACCGACGGTGGTATCCCAGTGCTAAGGATATCAACATGGACATGGTTCCTCGTGTCTTCACCGTAAGCTCGGTTCAAGAGAACCAGTCCCGGATTGTCTTCTTGGACCTGGTGAACATCAGTGCAGAAAACAAACGCGACTTTGGTTTCTTGGCTGACGAGCACCGGACCTGTGTGGCTCTTACAAGGGCCCAGGAAGTTTTCATCATTGTCGGTGGTCCCTTCGAGGGTCGGAAGGCCTCGAGCTCTTTTACTCTACTTGAATATAAGAGTCTTCTTTCCTCTGACGGTCGACTTCTATCGTTGAAGGCCCCGCCACTTTCTCGTCCAGTGCCGAAGGACTTGCTTGGCGATACTGACAAGCCGATTTAGGCAGTACGGCCTGTAGGCGGTTATGTAAAACGGGTAGATGATGATTACTTGGGAAGCAGGGGGGTTCAAGCTTTGCTGTTATATTTTCTTAAGGGGCTAATATCGAATGCATGGATTTGAGATTACCGTCGTTGGCTCGTAAGCTTTCTTTCCGATCCGTTACCGAGTTCCGAAAGTGCCATTTTCCGGAGTTGTTCACTTCGCAACCAGCGTCCCATACTGCGGCGCCTCGCCCACGACCCCCACCTCCTGCACATATGCCTCATACTCCTTCAACAGCTCCTGTAGCCTCTCCCCCTCCTCCGCCGCCAGATCCCTTGTCTCGCCCGGATCCGCCTCCAAGTCATACAGCTGCCACGCGCTCGGTCCATGCGGCTCAGGCACAAATGCCGCCTTCCACTTCCCCCGCCTTACCGCCATCCGGCCAAAAAGCTCCCAGCCCTGCACAGCATCCTCGGCGTGGATACGCACGTCCGCATCGGTGGGGTTGCGCGTCAGGTACGGCACCCACGAGACACCACGCAGGGGCGCGACCGCGCGGCCGCGGAACGGTGCCGAACCGGGGTGAGGCACGTGTGCGAGGTCGAGGAGCGTGGGCGCAATGTCCATGACTGTGGCAAAGGCGTGGGAGATGCAGGATGCGTGGTCGTTGGTTAGGGGCGCATAGGAGAGGATGAAAGGGACCCGGATCCCGCCTTCAGTCGCGAAGAACTTGTATAATCGGCTCGGAGCTGTCGCGGCGCTAGCCCAGTGCGGGCCATACCAGGTGTAGCTGTTGTGATTGCCGATATTGGGGATGCTGTTGTCGTCTGTTTGGGCGGTCTGTTAGCTTCCATTGGTAAGTGGTCAAAGGGCAGACAGGAGCTCACAGTATTTCCGGATGTGGTCGAAGATGTTCTCGTTGATGACGGGGATGGCTTCTAGCAGAAGTCCTTCTGCGCCGTTGTCGGACATGAAAAGGACGAGAGTGTTGTCTAGCTCTCCCGTCGCCTCCAGCTTGTCAAGAACCTGTCCGATGCAGGTGTCCATGCGCCGCACCATGGCGGCGAATACTTCCATTGTGCGCGAAGAGTAGGCTTTTTCGTCGGCCGAGAGCGTCTCCCACTCTCGCGACAAGAATCGCTCTTCCTTTGGCTCCAAATCTTGATGCGGCGCCACGACGGGATGTGGCACGACATGCTCAGGAACGAGGCCCATTGCTTTTAGCTTCTTGATGCGCGACTGCCGCAACGCTTCTGGCCCGGCATCGTATTTCCCACGAAACACGTCAATGTCCTCTTGTGGCGCTTGCAAGGGCCAATGCGTGGCGGAAAATGGCAGATATGCGAAAAAAGGCTTCTCCTTGTCTGCGTCGGACCGCTCGTCGAGGTATTGCACCATCCTGTCTGCGAAAGCGTCGCTGGAGTAGAAAACCCCGTCCCGCCCGTACCTCTCTGCCAGGTCCTTCGGCGCTATCTGCTCGTCGTCCTCGACGTACAAGACAGTGGTTGACTTGAATGGACGCGGCTTGCCGTCTCCATCCTCCAGCTGTGGCTCCCAGCCGTAGTGATTGGCGGCTCCCTGAATAAGTCAGTACGCGAAGTCGGAAGCAGAGCGTAAATTCGTACAGGAAGCAGCGAAAATGAACGATCGAAGCCACGCGCGCAAGGCCACCTCTCCCGCGGCAGTCCGAGATGCCACTTTCCAGCCATCAGTGTCAAGTATCCAGCATCGTGGAGCAGCTCTGGAAGAGCAGCCACTCTATCATTGAGGTATCCTTCGTATCCCGGCTTGCCACGTTGGAACTCTGTAATGTTCTCGCCCATCGTACCGATCCCAGCAATGTCTAGTGCTTCTGTCAGCACGAACAACAAGGTAGATCCTATGGCACGTACGGTGGTCGGTTCCAGATAGCAGCATAGACCGTGTAGGCGAACATGCTGCAGCTGCGTGGAAATCCGTGAAGCGCACTCCGTTCTTTGCTATCCGGTCGATGTTGGGCGTCGCGATCTCGCTGCCGAAGGAGCTGACGTCAGAGAAGCCCAGGTCGTCGGCGACAATGACCAGGAAGTTGGGTCGCTTGGGCGCATCCAGAGAACCCATAGTTGAGGTTGCGCGATGCGGGACAGCAGAAGGAGGAAATTGGAAGGAACAACCTAAGAGGTAGAACGGGGAGCTGGCTCGGTATTTACGGGTGCCGGATTGGCCTCGGCGGGTTCCTCAGCATGGAGCAGCCTGTGTGCTCGTGCATCGCGTTTGCAGTCAGCTTACAGGGTCTTGGTGGTGGCACCAACACACGAAAACGATGTCACCATTGAGCTACCTACCTTGGCCATTTTCGGCAAGTGGGGTGGGCGGGTGCAAGGTCCAGGGCCGGCCTATCAGAGGGCACGGGGTTTACCCCATTGCGCCTCGCTAAAACCCGTCAACGACCAGGATTCTCTCCACGGCTCCGTGCCCCAATCTCAATCACATCATCGGAACTTCAGAAGATGCAATTGTCAATGCTCCGCCTCTTTCGCCCACCCGCGCCCAAGACGCGTCACTACCTCCGCTTCAAATGCCGGAGCGCTCCATGGCAGGGTCCGTTTTGACATTTGCCAAGCAAGCCAGAAAACCGCCGCGTTGACTTGTCTTCCGATGGCACAGTGCGTGCGCATCGCGGCGTTTGAAGTCGCTGCCACGATGTCGTCCGAAACCAGAAAAAGCCCATCAACAGCTGTTTCCTATCTCAATGTCATCTCCTTTCGTCTTGTTTTTTCCCAGTGCCTTGCATGAAGAATCCAGAGCGCAGCCCTTGCTCAGATCCATTCAACTGTCGTACTCCTGCCAATCAACGTGAGCTTATATCCGGCGGATGCTCCCCTATCACGGACGTTAGTCTCAAAATCATACCGCCGCAACGTTGCTTGGAGCACGCCATCGCCCTGGTCCACATTTGCCGAACCTCACACTCGGCTCTTGGAAACCACCATCAGGATCGAGTCGCATATTCGGTGTGATCCTACAAAAAAGCTTGCATGGGCAGCCATGCAGCCGGTCGCGAGGTCTCCACAATGGTGCATGGTCTCGACCGATTGTAATTACTTCAAATATTTCCCTACCACCGTACTACCAATCTCATCCCTCATTCTGCTCTTGTCATTCCTGCAATAGCATCGCTGCACCATGGAGCGAACCACTAATGCAGGCACCCCCGACGTAGAGAACTACCACGTATATTACGAAGATGGAAAGCCTGCCATTACCGACAGTGACACTTCTTCCAATCACAATGTCGACTGGACGCCCGAGGAAGAGAAGAAGCTCATCAGAAAGATTGATCTGATCTTGATGCCATTATTGATCCTCCCTTTCATGGCTCTTCAGTTTGACCGAGGAAATATGTAAGTCCCCTGAAAATCGAGAATGCGACGTCTGCTGACCATTATAAGCGGCAATGCCGTGACGGACAACTTTTTCGTATGACGACCCCACCCACCTAACCGTATAATATTGACCATTTTCAGGAAGATGTCGGTATCACACAGAACCAATTCAATGTCGGTCAGCAGCTGCTGTCAGCCGGTATCGTCATCTTGGAGGTAAGCAATGCAAGGTTAATCTAGCGGACCACCCTCGTGGGACTAATGCGCTGTGTAGATCCCCAGCAACCTGGTTCTCTACCGGCTCGGCCCTCGTATCTGGATCAGCTGCCAGATCTTCGCGTGGGGGCTTGTCGCTACGTTTCAAGCTTTCCAAAAAGGTCTGGGTGCATTCCTGGCCACTAGGCTCCTGCTCGGGTTAGTACGTCCATACTGGCAACTCAACATACTCTAACAACAGCAGATTAATGGAGGCTGGCTTCATTCCCGCTTCGCTCTATGCAATTACGACATGGTACAAAACGAGCGAGATGAGCACACGGTTTGCATGCTTTTTCTTCGGCAATTTCGTCGCTTCAGCCTTGACAGGTGTCCTCGCTTATGGGATCCTTCACATGCGCGGAGTTGCCGGCCTTGCTGGATGGCAGTGGCTATTCATCGTAAGTCACCTCCTCCAACGGCATGAACCAAGCTGACCAGTCGTAGATTGAAGGCCTCTTCACCATATGCACGGGCTTCCTGTACATTGCCTTCTTTCCGAAAGACAGAGACCATCCCATCCCATTCCTCAAATTACAATACTTCACTGAGAGAGAGCGCCACATAGCTGTGCAGCGGGTCCTAACGGACGACCCCAGCAAGGCCCCAGGTAGCCACAAGTCCATCACCATGCGTGAGTTGAAGTGGGCAGTAAGTATTCCGCCACCCAAAAACAAGTTCCAAGCTAACTCTTCCAGTTATCCGACTGGACGCTCTACCCACACTGCCTCCTTACGATCTGCGCTCTCGCACCAACAAGTAGCTTTACATCCTACGGCCCCAAGCTCGTCATCTCCTTTGGCTACCCACGCCTGGCATCCAACGCGATCTTCTCGATTGGGCACTGGATCATGCTGTTCACATCACCCGCCTTCGGCTACTGGGCCGATAAGATCCAAAAGCGCGGGATCACAGTGACAACGGCGCTGCTACTGTGGTGGGGCTTCACGCTCGGCTGCCAGATTACGGATGAATCGAAAAACTCGGCCACGCGGCTGGCCATGATGATTCTGGCAGTGAGTTTCTCCCTCGTCTGGCATCCGCTCAATAGTTCGTGGCTGGCGATCAATACGCGCTCGCCTGCTGATCGCAGCATCAAAATGGCGTGTATTGTCATGTCGGCGAACTTGGCGGGAATTATTGGTAGCCAGTTGTTCCAGCAGGATGATGCGCCGGTGTATCGCACTGGATGGAAGCTGCTTGTTATATTGAATGCTTGTGGTGTGTTCTTCTCGCTGGTGGCGAACGGCCAGTACCGCGTTTTGAATTGGTTGGCAGAAAAGAGAGGCGAGAAGGAGGAGGAGCGGAGGAAGTATTATTTGTGATTGCGGTAGTTGGGAGAGTGGTTTGCTGTATGTATATACCCTGTGAGCGTCATGATAGAGATGGTCTTGGCTGTTGTTTTGTTCACTGTGTTCATCGAGCCAAGGAGGAAAGATGAGTGGATATGCTTGCCTTCAGCGAAGAGTTGTAAAGCTATTAAAACAAAGAGTGCATGACGACCACACAGAAGGTCCTTTCAGCTCTGAGTAAGTTGGTATATCGCAATCACAAGAAGCCGTGCTACCCTCACGAAACGGCTACCCTTAACAACATAGGAGATTTTTCTGCTGCAGCAGAAAGACATTCTAAACAGTATACAAAGCTGTACTGTCCCCACAGTTCAAACACTTGTAACAACACACGAAGCTGTTCATCCAAGCACAAAACATTCATATGTAACTTGTCCGCGCCTAGCATAGCTTCTTCGAGCATGAATGCATGCAAACTGACACAAACCCTCCCATCCCTACACAGTACTTCCAAAAATATGGCCTAAATACCGGTTTTGGCGCGCTTTTGAATCTATTACACCTGATGGCCATGGAAAGGCCGGTATGCTGGAGCGGAGCAGTCATTCACGACGAAGGATGCAATCACTGCATGAAACACGCGCAATTTCAAATGTTTCTTGGTAGTAGTGTGGATGTGTTAACCTCCCTTCATCCAAGACCGCTAGTCACCGCCGAAGAGTCCAAGGTGCTAATGTCCAGTGTCCACCATCTTGCCATGAGGAGTTAGAAAAGAAGCCCATACGACTGTTTTTGCTCACGTTAATACTTGTGAGCCCTTTTCGTTGCCTCGATGGGTTCGACAGGCTTGATGTTCGCAAATATGTGGTCACTGTCGTCCAGGCGTGGTTTCTTTTGGCGTGGTTTCTTTTGGCGTGGTTTCTTTGGGGTGTTGACCGCATTGTCTGGCAACCGCAACTTCGGAACCCAAATACCCGATATACCTTCTGGGAAGGTAACATCATCGTCAAAGCTCACCTCTCTGGCAGTCTTGAATCCGTCTCTAACAATCCCGGCATTGGCGATATTGTTCTTCCAATAAGACTGTTCGTGAGTTGGAGAGTTTCGCATGTCTGTTAGCGCGGGAAGGGCAACCTCTTCCCATAAGCAAACTGCAACCATGATGATTGTGGTTGTCATAAGCCTTCCGATGTGGAAATCGTTAAGGTTCGCCTCTAGGGCGACGACATCAGATACCGGGCTGTAGAATGCTGCATAAAGATCATCCGTCAACCTCCGTTGCCAGAAATGCACAAGGTCATTGTCTTTTATCTCCTCATATCGGCGTTCGGCCCGTGGCACCGTGTTGTACGATGCGTATGCTCGGCTTGGTGGGTAGGGGTTCAATTTTTCCACCGTTTCAATCAAGGCCGACACTCGGATCTTCCACTGGCGTTGGATGCGTTTGATTCTAGCTGCTCCAAAGCTCTGCTTGAAGTCGTCTTTTGACCATGTCTTCTGGTGGAGAAGTTTTAGCGCATTCAAATACGCCAAGCGGCCGGCATCGAAGGCATCGAACAAGCGCTGAGAGTAGTGCTCCCGGGTTTCATTGTTGGGGGGTGGTGATTGGTTTGTGCAGAGCCCCAGAGCTACCCGATGAGAATCCAGTCTCATGTTCCGCAGAGAGACAATGTAGTCGAAGTGAGTGACTTCAAACACAACCTGGAGTAATGTCAGTCTACAATCCTGCTGCTATTATGAGTATAATTCATGGAGTAGATCTACCCAGTTTGAGAACCACGAATTCCAGAGGTTTTTCGCGTAGACGGGAGGAATTCCGATCATCGTCCTTTGCCACCCCTGGGCCGCATTGGTAAGTTTCGATAACATCAACGGCGTTTTCATGCAATTGTCGATGGCATCCGGCGTGAGGTCGTTATTGGTGAAAAAGTAGACCTTTGCCACGTCCTTCTGGCCTTTTTCCGTGGCGAGCAGAGGATTGTTTCTATCAGGAACGACAGGATAACCTGCTTCCGGTGCCCGTACCATAATCTTGTTCCTTCCAAATCTTTCCAAATCCGACACCCATGTGTCTGGTAGAGGCATTGGTAACACCGGCATTGGCGGTTGAGTGAGATCACCCGGTGAGGCCATGGCGGACTAGATCAAGCCTGCTGTGGCAGCCGATTCCCTTCAGGAATGCATGAGTGCAGCACGATGCGTGCGTTGAGTAGCCGGGCAGGATAAAGTTGTTTGCTCAAAGTGGAAGATCCAAGAAGTTAGGAAGCGGATGAGTCGTGGAGAGTGTCAGATGCGTTGTTGAGGTAAGTTGGGAGGTTAAGAGGATGCGAGGCAGTGAGGCACCCTTGAGGAGGGTTGGAGTCGCGCGACCGTCTTGGAACTGTTTGTTGAAAGTGGAAGACCCAAGAAAGCGGGAAGCGGATAACTCGTGGAGAGTGCCAGGTGGTTGCTGAGGTAGGGTGGGAGGTTGAGCGGACGTGAGAGAGTGAAGCACCCTTGGGGAGGGTTGACGACGTTGAGAGACCGTCCAGGTAAGGTTGATGAAAACCGAAACTTAAGACTCAAAGATCGGTCATTGGGAACTAGACCTCACTTTCAGACGGAAGATCTGTTGCATGAGCAGCAGGTCACAGTCAGCTGGAAGAGTTGAATCTTGACTTGACGTTGGCAGTTGGATAAGTGGTTTCGGCAGCCAGTGGCTAACCATTGAGGCGGATAGGGCGGCTGTAGTGAAGTTTGGTTTCGGCGGCTAGAAGCTGGCCGGGGCACACTCCTAGACAATCGCCCAGTTGGAGTCGCGCAATCATCTAGGAGTTTGCCGAGGCAAGAAAGAGAGTCGGAGGCGCGGCTGTATATAAGGTAGAAAATCCGGCGGTTTCACTTCGGGTCTCACTTCACTGACAGGCCTGCCACCCCATACATGGCCACTTCTGCATATCCCAGATACATGATTCAAGCTGTCTGTAAAGGAATTTTTAGCCCATCCCTCTTAAAAAGCGCTTGAGCTTGGTTGAAGTGCCCTACTTTACTCCTCAACTCCTCCGACTTGCACTTACGCTTCTTGGCATGCTGTTGCTCCAAAAGCGTACTGCGAAAGGAAGTCCTTTTGTATGTCAATTGCAAAACGACGTCCTTTGCTGTCGACTGGTGGGTCCAAGGGTCCAATGGCCCGATTCGCGCGGCGCCAGACGCGACCGCGTCAACCACGAACACGAATCTTGAGCGTCGTAAGACGTCATAACGGGCGATCTGATGCCCTGATCAACGCGCCTGCGACGACCCCGAAGCTCCAGATTCTCATCCACCTACTGTTTTGTCAAGGCCACGACGCCGCTCCCACCATGAGGGCCAGCTCATTCGGAGCAGCAAGGCAGCATCGTACTCAAATCTCCACGTCAGCTCTCAACCATGGGCCCCGACCCTCATCCTCATACTCACTCTCAGACCGAGCTTCTTCATGATACCACGAGCGCCAACCTTCTGGCTGAGCAGCATCTTCGTGACCACCCACATTCCGAGCACTTCCATACCTACCTACCAAGGGCGTCAAACCTCTCGCCGAGCAACACCTTCAAAGCCACAATGCTAGTCTTTCGCGGTTCCTGGTCGAGCGGCATTATAACCACAACGCTAGCCCTGGTGTACTCTGTCCTCCCTATGATGCCTAGAAATCCGACTGACGAGCCCAGAAGCGCAGGAGGGGCAATTGAAGACCGCCGTGCTCTCGCAGCCGACATACTCACGCGTCCTCGATCGAGCAACCACGAACCTTCGAATCGTCCCCACGCCCTCGCTGCCTCGTGCCCATGTACCTCCGAAAAGCCCACGCACTTCGAGAAGTCTTCGCGCTTTGCGCAGTCCTCGCGCCCCCGAGCCGCACACTCATCCTCGCAGCCCATGCACTTCGAGCAACATTGGCGCTTCGAGCAGCCCTCGCGCATCCGGGCGCATCTGGCGCCTCCAAACCGCCCCGCACGCCACCGCGCCTCCAAGCAGCTCGCGCGTCTCCGAGCAACTCATACCTCTCTAACAACCCACGCGCCTTCGAACAACCCATACGCATCTATAACCCTCGCGCACCTATGCTGTCATCGTGCCCTTGTGCTACCCTCGTCCTGAACAGCCCACGCACATACAGACGAGCCTTGAGCGTCCATGTGAAGGCCAACGCCGACATTAGCATATACAACTGCAAGTATCCCCCAAGCAAGACCTCTCCCTCCAGCATGTCCCCTCGAGCAAGCCACATTTCATTGATACAGACTGCCACTCATCCCTCCTTCGCACACTTGGAAGCCACGACCGAAGAGCTCACCACTAAAAATCAAATACACATACCCATGGCTGGAAATCGGTCAATCCAAGAACAGGCGCGGCAATGGGCAGCTGTCCGGCTCTTGCAGTCTAGCACGCTAGATTCAGCGTTTGTTGTAGTTTGGTGCTCCATTACTGACCGCGCAACATCTCAACGACGAGCCACTCGACCACGCACGGTGCACATCACAAGAGCTTGCCATGGTGGAGACGACTTGTGTCTCAAACTTTGATTCTGAGAGTCTTGTATCAAAGATTATATGGTGTCTCAAATCACTCTCGGCTCGTTCGGCAGCTTTTAACCAGCGCACTCCTACGTCCTTCATCCCAAGCCCTCTCTCCCCCCTTTCCCGCTGTCTCGTCCCGTGTTCATACAACGTCCCAAATCGAAGTTCTCATACCGCGGCCTCTCTATTTCGCTTTATGTTCATTGTGTCTCATTAGCCACCTGTCTCAGCTTGCACAGAAACCAGGTCGCCAATCTCCCCGCTCACTGCCTGCTAGCACCAAAATGGGCTGCATCCCTGGCCCAGCGGGTCGCCCGACTACGCACGGTTGATACACGAGGCCTTGGCAGGGTTTTGAGTAAAGGACTGTTCAACTGATGCCAGGATGTAAAGTCGTCCAGTCTCGCCCAGACGAAGCCATGACTTGACAGACCGCTATAGCCCACCGTCCCTCACAGTCTGGCGAGCTGAATGGACCGGGACTGTCCGTCGGGCTACAGTCGGGCTGTTTCGCGATATGTCATGGGATCTTGTCATGGTGTTGAGTGATTGATACAAAAAAGTGCTACTCTGCCCACATTCGCGCCCACCCCCGCACCCCCGCGCCCCGCAAGCTTCCTCGCCCAGCCCTGGAGGGTTGATTTTGGGCGTGAAACAGGCCTCTCGCGATTGAGCAGAGAGCTTGCGAAGACCGCTCAGTGCGTGCGGCAACTGGCGACCGCGCGCTCGCGCTCGCACGTTCGCGAATATTCGCCAGCGCGTGCCCGCGGCCTGTTCAGCGCATTGTAGCGCTCGTTGCTCGCGTCCCCGCGGCTCCGCGGGTAGAAGTAAATCGCCGGTTTCCCTGCCAAAATAGGCGTGTTAGTTCCACTGCGTGAGCTGAATATGACTGTAGGGATACTCACTGATATATATATATATTGGTCGAATCGGGTCAAATACTGCTCAGTGATGGTGATGTCTTGGCGTGGTCTTGAGTACTCAGTAATAGCTAAAGCTCTAGTATCAATCCATACGAGCCGTACAAAGCCACTCACAAAGCCATTGAGGGTATTTTGTGCATAAAGCGTTTTATTCGTGGTTGATGGTCTACCTACTGTACTGTACTATCTACGTGAGGCTACCACGATCTTCCGACTAGCAAGCTGGTCATTCAGCAAAGAAAAGTCCAACATAGACACCTATCTAAGGGATGCCCCAGTGTCAGTGACGCCGATCGTTCTGACAAGTCCTCACCACCAGCTAGACTGGTCATTGCCATCCTGCTCCTCCGGACCCTTCAATCCCCATTCGTTCTCAGCTTGCTTCGCAGCACGCGTCTAGTAGTTGTCATCAGCATCAAGGGCATCCTGGGCGTCCTCGGGATCACCGCGCTGGAAGTCATCGCTGTCGGAGATGTCAGATTCTTCCTCATCAGTGCCAGTACTAGCCCGAGGCTCGCCAGTGGTAGTAGAAGACTCGCCAGTGTCCCAACCTCCGACGGCTTCCGTATCAGGTGCAGAGGCATCCCAGGGAACGGCCTCACTGGAAGCTCCGGCGGCGTCGGTGTAGTTGTAGTAGCCGGAAGCGTTGCCGGTGAGATCTGATGGAATAGGGCGAGTCCGCGTGGGTGCAGAAACGCGCTGGTACCTCCCGGGATCGGTAACCAACAACTCACTCTTGTATTCCAAGACAGCGACCAGCTTGGATCTGGTTGCCTCGGATTCTTCATCATCAAACTTGGAAGACTTCAGGTCGTTCATCTTTCCAGCAAGGGATCCTCCGACGATGGTCAAGACTTGCTTGGCACGGGTGAACGAGACACAAGACCGCTTCTCTTCACTAACGAAGCCCATGTCAGACGGCTTCTCGGCTTCCGTAACCACGAGGTCAAAGAAGACAAGCTTAGCCTCCTGTCCTTGAGAAGAGTCGACAGTAAGGACACGAGGAATGTATCTCAGGTCAAGGCTTGTCATGTTGGGATACAAGCGACGGAACAGGTCAACGAGTGCAATCCTGAGTTCTTCAGCTTGGCGTCTTTAAGGCGTTTTGATAAAGACGTCCTTAAAGGTTTCCTCCTTGAAGACCGGGCAGAGCTTCTCCATGACCATGGTGATCCACTCAACATGCTCCAGGTTCGCTCTAGAATGTGTGCGTGTTGACTTGCGGACAACCGAGTCCTTGACCTCGATGTACCTAAAGAGTAGAATTTGTTAGTGTCGCGTTTCTTTGGATGCATAGAGAAAGTGCTTACTGCAGGCGGGCTTCGGAATCCGTTGCACTTTTTCCGATGCCAAAAAGGTCCTTCATCGCTGTGGCGAGCTTCGCATCCAATGGCAAGTTAGCCTTGTTGTGTGAGGTGAGCTTGCCTCCGTAGAAGCTCCTGTTGGGATACTCGAAGATGACTGGGTTCATGCAATACTGCATTAGGAACTCAACAGTCGGGAAACCAGCCTTCACAAGCCGGTTGGTCAGCGAGAGTTTCCCTTGGGACTTAAACTCATTGTAGGATTTAGTCGGGAAGCCAGCCGAGGATGACAGATGCACAGGGTCTTCCTGGGTGAACACCGCCGAACAGGAAGGTACCGGTTAGAGGCTTATCAAGCTTCATCAGGGGATATACGTGTCGGCCTCCCGATCACGCGGTGCCTCGTCGATCGTGTGGATCAGCCCCTTGAAGTTCCTTCCGGCGTTCTGTCGGATCATGGAGCTACCGGCATTAACGGTTGTGCTAACAACAACCGGTGTGTTCGCAAGAACGTCGGCCTGCACCGCCCTCAGGCATTGCCGGTACTTGCCACGGTCCTCAGGGTCCCATTCTGCGTGTGGCTTCTCATCGGGGTTATGCGCGAGCTCAAGATAGTGCTTAAACTCCTTAGCCATATCAACAGTTTCACCGTATGGGTTGCCATTCTTATCGTTGTACTGGCCCAACACTTGAACAAGACCGTTCTTCGCGCGATGAATTGAGACCGTAAGCAGGTCGTTGTCGGGGACCAAACTTCTCGTCTTGGTGTCTGACCGCTTGAACTGGTCGATGAGACTAGCCATCACCGTGTCGGAGTCTTCGTTGGTAGCCGCGTTGCCGTCTCTGCGCTTTGTGACTTTACCAAGGAGCTCGTCCTCGTCGTAAGTCGTACTGGCGAGCACGCTGATTGGCTGTGGTCTCTTGGGAAAGCTCGCCGCATACTCCTCGCAGATGCGGTCAACCGCAGTGTTCGTTGGCGCCGTCATGATGGTGACAACTCCCACCGACGCGAACATGAGGGAAAGGATGATTTCGATACGTGTTTTACCCATGCCTCCGGCGGCTTCAATTATCAGGAAGGCAGCCACCATGATGAGGACTCCCTTAAGGAATTGCTCTTGTTCCTTGTTGAGGTAAGAGGTGAAGTCCGTTGTGTATTCGCGTAGGGCCTTCGCTGCATCTTCTTCCGAGACTCCGGCCAGCTCGAATGCGTTGGTCGTGGGTAGCGAGTACGGGTCCTGCTTAAGAAGAACAGGCCATAGGATCCGATGACCTCTCTCCACGTCCCAGACCAGGTGTACAGCATCCATCCTCCGGTGGTAGGTGATACCGGAGTCTACAACGCTGAGTCTCACGTCATACTCCTTCGCTTCTTGATACTTCGTAGAGGGAACCGAGTCCTCCCTAAAGTAACCGACGTTCTTCCATTTGACAACGAGAACCAGATCCGCAGATCCCGCGTTGACCATGTCCTCTACTACAAAGCAGAGTGCAGTCTTGGCGGTCTTCTCTTGATCGGGTTGCCATGTCAGAATCACCTCGGTCATGGGTTGGAGCATGCTTTGAATGTCAAAAAAGCTGTCGCGGTTCCGGAGTTGTACCAGAGCAATGACGTGACGTCCAACGGAAAGAAATTTAACGCCGTGTTGGTTCTTCTCGAACTGCTTGAAAAGTGCAAGCTGCTCCCGATACTCCTATCAAGAATGTCAGTTTGTGCGAGCGCGAAAGGACAAAAATCAGACTTGCTTCTCGACGTCGAAGGCCAGTTTGACCTCCGCTTCCACTGGATCGATAAATTCGGGATGACCAGGGATCGGCATGTGAGGAGAGCCGTGCTTGAGCCTGGCGGACAGCTTCTTCATGTTGTTGGCCTGCGCATAGACAGTCCCCTTCATGCGCAGATGTTGAGCGTAGGGAAGACGGGGACGCGCGGGCATGTTCATGACATCTTTAAGAAACTCCCGGCCGTCCAACGTCTCATTGTTCTCAAGACACTCACTCTGCTTCTTAGTGAGTAGAAGACGAAGGGTGATCGTCTTGGATGCGGGCTCAGCCAGCATCCTGAGAACCTTCATGTATTCAAGCTCCGTGTCGCTCAGCTCGTTGGACGCATTGTCGATGGGAACATTGAACATTATTCCCTTTGTGCAAGTGAACTTGACCTGGAAGTAAAGGTTGTCCGTTACTTTGGACACCTCGGGATTCGTCATGCCTTGGTGGGACATGTGGTTGCTAGGGTTGTAGGCGTCGTCCATCGACACCGGCTCGGGACGTCCTTCGGCTCATCGTTGAAGGTGAAGTCGAAGGTTAGGTTGGGGTCGGTGCCTTCCTGGTACCGAATTGCGACACGAAGTCCGCACGGTGTGGCCGGGTCAGAGGACAAATTGCAGTAGAGTGCGAGAAGAAGCACAATCTGATTGTCACTCAGAAAGCTCTCAGCCATGAGCTCAAGAAAGTCTTGGCATGGTGTTGAAGGGTTGGTGACGGGGCCGAGAACGTGGTGATGGGTGGGAAAGGTGTTCAGGGCCGTCGCAAAGCAAATTAGTCAGCCTTTTAGCCCTAAGTCTAGGCTTCTTTAGGTAGCGCGTCGGCGCTTTCGGTGCCCATTTCATTGACCACGTTAAATCGCGCCTGGCCGGGGGGCAGACCGTCGCGCCGACGGGCTACCCAGCGACTAGGCGACTTTGCACTCTGCATACGTTCGAGAGTAGTATTACGCTAGATAGCTGAAATAAGTCCTAGATAGTTTATTTAGCCTTTTTTCAACTACTTAACTAATCCTTTAATGTATACTAAGTACGGTCTACTATACCTACGAAGTGCTCCTTAGGCAGCTATAATAGGCTATCACACTACGGTTAGTCGTGGCTGTGTACCTATACAATAGTAAAGAGACACTTGGTATTAGAGCATTTGGAGATACATGAAAACATAAATATACGAGGACATAGGAGGATTCGAGAAGATACGAGGGCACAGGCAATACAGATTATAATAGTACTCTATATAAGAACGAGAGTATAAAGATAAAAGGCTGAAAAACAAGTCATATACCCATGAAAGTATTGTATCACGCGGGGTACGCAAACAGTTAAAAAGAGTTCAGGATCATGAATCCCTATACCTATCTAGCAGGTTTTGCGCAAGTGACTATCTAGTCCAGTGCAGGTGACTATCTACTTCCGGGCAAGTTTGAAGTGTCTATATGCTCCTGGGTAATTGACTATCTGCTTCCGTGCAAGTGCATGCAGCCTATCTACTCCTGTGCAAGTGCTATCTACTCCCGAGGGCACCTAGCGAGACGGTGTCCGCGCTCGCCACACTTGGTACACTTGGGAAACTCGTCAGAAAGACCAATAGCCTCGACCGTATCACGACCTCCCTCGATGTAGCGGCCCTTCTCGACTTCCTCCCTGACCATGTAACCACGCGATTCCAGAATCTTGAAGATACCAGCGTAAACATAGTTCACGTCACCTGGCTGGTATCGCGCGCTGTCGGCCATAGTACGCTTGTCGCCGATGACAATGAGTCCATCCCGGGGCCTCGAAATCGCGGCGTTTAGTCTGCAGGCATTCTGGACAAAGGGGTAAGGCCTGTTGCCTTTACCAGCAGCCACCAAATCAACTATCACGATGTCGTACTCAGCGCCTTGCGTGGCATCGATTGTGACGGCAAAACGCTGATTCTCCGCGTGGTGGGCGAGACGTTGTCCGTTGTATGGTGTGACAATCATGCAGGAAGTTGGATGGATGCCGTATCCACTCATCTTCTCAATCAGCTGGTTGGTCCTCAATCTAAAGTCTGGGTTGACGCCCGACTTGGTGCGGCGAGCAACTCGGAATGAGCTGTCGGCAATGTCGACTGCGATTGCGTTGGCATCGGAGATGCCAAACTCGTCCTTGACGAATCGCCGGAAGGACATCGCGTGGAGGCGCGTGTTCACCGATGTGTTCTTTCCATGTACGATATCACCTCCGTACGATAGCTCAGACCATAGATCCGCGATGTCGGAAACAGCACGTGACTGGATGTGCATGGATACCGACGGATAACCAAGCTCCATAAGCCTGGTCATGAGGGGGAGCTTCAGCTGAAGATATAGCTCGTTCGGCGGGATAGAGCCCTCAAGGATCATAGGATTATCCTCTTGGGTGGGGACTTCCGCCTGGCGCTGATTTTCCGGATCTTCAATGTGCCTAGGACATGACATTACCTTTGCTTGAAGCTGTTTTGGGTCGCCGATGAAGACAAACCCCTTCGCCTGGCTGTTGTTTGTCAGGACCATGACGGACTCTGGCTCCTTCATTTGGCAGGCGTCATCCACAACGACGAGTGACGGCTTCAACCAGTCCAGCTTTTTCAAATCGTTACTGACGATTGTTGTAGCCACAATAGCCTCACTAGACTTAATAACCGTGTAGACCAACTTCTTAAGAGAGCTGTCGAACTCAGAGGCCTTCTTCTTGGCTTTCTCTTTGTTAAGGCCCGACCAATTGCTTGCCGCCATCCTGGCGAGATCGAGCAGATTCTTCCATTCGGGATTCTTGATCAGCAGCATGGCTTGTGACTCAACGGTGTAGAACTTAACATCAGGCGAAATTCTGTGGTCCGTTAGGATGATGTCAGCCTCCTTCTTAAATCCAGAAATCATCTCAGTGTCTTCTTGAGAGTCATCCTGATCAGAATACAGAGCCACGTTGAGGCGGTCCGCTTCTTGGTCGAGTGACTTGGCCAAGATGCTGAGCTTCCGCTGGAACATGTCCGGGACTGCGGTGCTTCCTTCGGAGGAGGGCCGGCAAATGAGTTTTAGTTGCTGACCAAGTCGGTTGATGACTAGACTGATGCATTGTAGGCGCAGAGTCTTGCATCCACGGTCGTTTGCGCGTTTGACCAAGACATTGGCAGCATAATTGCTGCCAGTGAAATAAGCAGTGGAGGGTCCAGTGGAATTCTTGTTTGCCATCTTGTTTGCAACTCCCAAGATTGCAGCAATCTCGGTCTTGCCTGTTCCAGGAGGACCATAAATGAACGCAAGCCGATTTGTGAGCCTGCGTGTCATTTCGAAGGCGGCCACTTGATCTGGTCGGCCAATCATCATCTTCTCTACCCGATTCGCCTCTTGATCCGAAAGACCTTTAAACAAATCAACCATGCCTGAAGAATGGAAGTCGCGGCCGATCAGAATCCGGCGCAGGTCTTCGGCATTTTGGTCTTCTGCCATCTTGGTGAATGACTTGAAAACACATCGCTCGTTGTTGTCATTGCTTTCAGGCTTGACAAAAGCTTCATGGGTTCGACATTCCTCGAGCTCAAAGAAAGAAGTGTTTTGAGGTCGACCTAGAATGGCGTTGGACAGATAGGTGTCGTTGTCTAGGGTAAAGTACAGACATGTCTCATAGTTGCTGAGTGAATAGGGGATAGTGACAGCAATAGCTTGGAGTGGTTGCTGCTTGTAGCCCTTGGTGCCTTCAGAGTTGTCCCAGATCGTGACTACGTCACCGAGTTTAATGGGATCCGAGTAGTTATCAGTGTCAAAATTAGACTTGACGAACAACCATCCACGAGTGTAAGTATGGGCGCCGTGCCTAAATAACTTCAGGCTTGTAGGATTCCAGATGACTTTTTGTCCGCTGGTGTAGCTGAGTACTCTTCCATAGTCTCATTTCGGAAATCTGCCTCCCGCTGCATAGCAGCGCACATAGTCCGGGCGTAGTCGGGCCAGCTGTGGAAAGTGTGTCTCGGAGGTACAGCAAACCTGATGTTCAAAGATTGCATGTAGGGGAACTCATTGAACTGCATACTGAGGTGGGTTAGTCCGGCGTTCTATTGGGATTTGGGGAATGAGAGCAATAGCTTACGTGAATTTGACTTATCGTTTGCAAGCTGATACTTGGCCGTAAACTCCCCGCGATGGTTGTGAGTCGTCAAGACGCGCTTCAGCTTATCTAGCTGTGACAGGATGCCATCATTACGTGCCGTGTAGATTTCGACGTGCGATGCGCGAGCCAATGATGAAAGCTTGTGGTAGTTCGAGTTACTAACACTGCCCTGGACCAATGTAGCGTGGCCTAGCCCACTGACTTCAGCTCCGACGTCGGTGGAAAAGGTTGTGGCCATGAGCTGTCCATCCTCATGCTTGGCTTTAAAGTAGTTGAAGCCGGACAGGCTTTCCGGGAGGTTGAACTCAGTCTCCACCGAAAGTTCGACATTGTCTTCAGAGTCGCTGAGACGGATGGTCTCTCCATACCAACGAAGATAGACGTAGTGGGACGTGTCCGTTCCGCAAAGCTCATCCAAGCGATGACGAGTGAGGCTGCTGCGATCGACGTCAAGGCGCACACGAACGCAGATTTCAGATTTCCATAGTTCGTGTACATTCCAGTACATCAGGGCGGTCTCCGGGCCTTTAAGCTGCAGGGTTTGCGGTTCGCCATTGTTGTCTAACCAAACGACACCAGCAGTCTCCCGGAATTCGAGATCAGGTTAAGGCGAGGTGTCTAATTGTGGTAAGCATTGCTGAGGTAGCAAGGATGAAAATATTGAAACTTACGTCAGTGTCCGAGCCTTCGGAAGCTTCGTCGCTCGTAAAAAAAGTACTTAGAAAGTACTGATATGACCACGCCCATGATTGCGACGTCGAGGCTGGTCAGTCGGAACGGGTAACTTTGCTGAAAGGTGAGGTGAAGGGAGTCTCAGAATATGGGTTCCGTGAAACATGAACGAAGCAAAGAGCTTCATGCAATAGATTCGGCTTGACCGGCAAGAGCAGAGAAGTGGCGTGCCTTGCAGACAGTTGATAACTGACAGAAGGCGAGGTTCAAAAGAGAATGCCCATGAAGTTGTGAGAAGGAAGGCGAAAGGAACGGAGGGCACGAAAGATACAAACAGCCCGACAGTCCGTGCGTCCTGCGTGCGTGCACCAAGCTTGCCGATAGCAATGTTAAGAGAATAAAGTAATTCTTATTGGCCGAGCTAGTGAAGTGTCAGGCTGTTAACTAAGTAGATGTGTTACCGCCACGGCGCCTTAGACTCTCAGTACTTTAACAGTACCAATTTCTGGAGCCATTTTGAATATCCAGTGAACAATATACGCCCGAGGTGATGGTACCTACGAACTTGTACCTGGATTTGTTTGCTTGCGTATCATGTATGCCTGAAAGACTTGCGCATGTTTTTTTGTTTTCATGTCTACCAACCCTTTACGCTTTCACAGACGTCAGTTTGCTCGGCGTTTACTTATCGAAAGAGGCTAGCACAACTATTTAGGCACATCTGTCCCTCAACAAAGCAATATACCATTGTAATCTTCGTAAACCTTCATCCTTCTTCCAATCTTCCTTCATACCAACCGGAATCCTGCATACCAATCCTGCCGCGCGCGCGCCAATGTCAACCAACAATACTGCTGAGGCCAGGATGGCGGCCACTCAACAGCACGCACAACGGGAGCAAGCCCGCGAGCACCTGGCCATCCTCAGGTCACGGATGCAGTTCAGGAACGACCGTGCGGGCGCAGCCCGCTGGCAGGAGCTGAAGTAAGCACGAACACAGGCACCTACGAAAGCGCATCCTGACAGGAATCTAGGAAGAAGATCAACGAGAGCATCGAGCAAGTATTCGCGGAGGGCGCTCACAGGAACAACACCCTTGACGCAGCACCATCCGTGTCTCTCGACAAGACGATCGTCATTCGGTGCGACCTCACTGTTGGTGAAGTCCACCAGACCGTCTTTGTCTGCGTTGAACACGGCGCTCAACTCGAGCAAGCTGCGGTTGAATGGGCGAAGATTTGTCACGGCAGGAACTATGAGCGCGAACGGCTGCTTCCAGAGTCTGAACTTAGTCCCTTCCACTTGGAAGGTACACACTTCCTACGGACCGATACGGCTTTGCAGGTAAGTTGTCTGGGTTCTAAAACTTTTGAATTAGCCCGATCACTGGACATAGGCTAACAGCAGCAGGTTGGTTTCAAGAACGGTTCGTTTATCAAGCTCCTGTTGGTCTGAATGCGGCTTCCCTATGCAAACACGAATCTTTGATAAAGCTTGGACGGGACATGATCAATTTGACGAGGCGGAGAAGGCGGAGTGAACGGAAGTGATACTTATTAGCTCAGATAAGCACTTAAACACAACTATGCTCCCCTCTTGTCTCCCACCACCGTGCCCCATACTTGAGCATCGCAAAAGTTTACTCGGAAGTGCCAGACTACCGTGTCCAAAGCGTGGGGTCTCATTGAAGCTATGACGTGTAATCAATTACTGACATTGATCTGAGCATAAGCACTGCATGAAGTCTGTAAGTCCCTGCATTTCCCTGACGAGCCAAGACTATGAAGTCCAACCAAAGTGACTTGCTAACCAACACCCAAAAACTTGTCCTTTCCACCCGCAAATCCTTTCTCCCCATTCATCCATAGCGCTTTGTCTGCATCTAGCTCAGAGCGCATCATTGCAATGACTGAGGATGCCTTGCATTGTCAGCTTCCGCCGTTAGGTCCTGTGAGCCAGCCTGAGATGTGGTGTTGACCGAGTCGGAAGAAGCGAGTTGTTGAAGCGATTGAGGAATTGGTCCGTCAACATGTTATGTAAGCGAGACGACAAGCTAGATCGAGATGTTTGAGACGCGTTCTGGTCAGCTGTCTTGGAAGTGGGCTTGAAGAAGAAGTGAATTAGTTGCGAAGGCCAGCACAGCGAGCTTTGCCTAAGGCTGAAGGCTCATCAGTGACCATTACCCGTGGCTTCAAGTCCCATTTCGCGCTGGACAACTTAAGGTAACCTCCTCTGTCGGAATATTGTCGTTAGTTAGGGCAGATGGCGGCCTGTTTGAGACGCAAGGACCTGCTTTTTGAGCGTTCGAGCTGAGTATGAGGTGGAAACAGGAAATCCATGGTGAATTAACTGAGTGGATTGATACTGAAAGGCGAGACCGCAAAGCAGTGGTAAGTATCGCTCAGTTCTGTCGCTGGATCTAGCTCAATACTTTGACCTTCTAGCCGGACAGAAAAGTGGTCTGCTAGGCTGAAGTAGGCGGCGAAACGGCTTGTTAGATTGAAGTAGGTGCCAGAACGGACCACGGTCAGCCTTGTTGCAAGTGAATCATGAAGTCTCGTGGTCGCCGCGGAAATCAGAATGGCGTTTTTGGCAAGATACTCAGGTCTCACACCTAGATACTCGAGCCGGACAACTGAACGTTTCGATAGGCTGTAGTAGGCAGCCGAACAACGCACAAAGCTGCAGCAGGTGACATACCTTCAGCAAGATGATGGGCGAGAAGAGAAGTTGCCGCAGGCTGAAGCCGCAGAGTGTGGTTTTGGCAAACAGCTCAGTGAGAGGAGAAACAGCAGCAGCAGACTGAAGCCACGGAAGGAGTTTGGGTTTGAAACCTTAACCTGGAGCGGTCCGCTAGGCAGTCGCAGCAAGCTCCAGCGCAGCCCTCAAGATCGCAGAAGCTCATTCAGGACCGCAGCTTTAGGTGAGTAGTAAAGTCGCTACAGACCTCAAATGACAGAGAGAATGCCTTCGACAAGAAGCTCTGACTAAATCCTCCAGTGACGGAGTTGTTCGATAGGTGGTTGTAGCAGGCGACAGAGCATTCTGCAAGATGGCTGATGAGAAGTGAAGTCGTTGCAGACCTTAGTCGACAAAAGGTGCTTGTGGCAAGAATTGCAGACTTGAATTTGGAAGTGACGGAAGACCCGATGTCCTAGTCATCGTCATCGCAGTCACCGTCGTCGCAGCCATCGTCGTCGCAGTCGTCATCGGTATCTCCATGTGCCGTTGTCTTGCTATGCCTGCGGAGATGAACCTGATGTTGCTTCTGTTGAATTGGTTCAGGCGACGGCGCTGGACTGGGAAAATCTCGAGACGGACAAGAAGCTGACATTGACTGGATGCAAGTATCCGTGAAAGTGTGGGCTTCGTTGAGGCAATGCAGACTTGGTTGAATCGGGTTTGTCAGAAGAACAAGGAATTTCCGGCATGCTGTTATTGCGGGTAGTGTCTGGGCCGTGCGGAAGCGGACAACAGTGTCGCGGATGAAATTGAGGTGAAGGTACGGTTCTTCTGACAGCGCCGAACCTACCGAGGGGTTGTCTCTGGAAGCAGACAGTGGAACATGTTGCTTGAGACATTGTCGTATGCATCTTGGTTGACTGGAAACGCAGCGCGGAGCACCATGGAGGCGATATGGGGGCCGGCCTTTGTGGAAGCAGATGGTGAGGTTTCAAAGACTAGTTGCTCACTGCTTGAGGTGCATTGTCGGGACAAGTTTTTGGTTTACGGCGTCCAGTGGTCCAGTGGTACACCGGTGACCCTCTGGAAGCTGAAAGCTTGAGGGAAGTTGTCGTGTTTCCAAGATACAATCTTGGTGGGGGTGTTTAATTTGGCAGCGAATAGGCGTACCGTCGGGTTGATACAGCCAGTATCATAAGGCAAAAAATAGTTTTAGGTCGGCCAGAAGCAGGACCATAGCCCCTCTGGAAGCAGACAGCGAGGCTTCAGAAACCAGCCAGCACCGTGCCACTTGAGGGGCGTTGACGTTGTGGGTGTGAGGAGCAGGAGAGAGTTGCAGCTTGGGCGGGTTTTTGGGCTGGAGCTGACGCACGGACTGTTCGGCGGAACAATGGTCCGGGCCGTTCCGCCCGCCGCCCTGCAGCCCTGCAGCCCCGCCGCCTGAACACGACGTCTCTTCCAGTCACGCATGACCAACGGGCATACAGCTCAACCTTAGGGGCAAGCAGCAGGCTATTTAAGCACTCCCCCATTGCGACATCGCGCTGCGATCTTGGCCCCACACTACGCGTAGCTGACGCCAGCCTCTCACTGCTCCTTCTCTAGCCACTTACCGCCGCCTCCTTCTCTACTACGCGCCTACTGCAAACGCCTGCATCTGTCTGTGCCATCAAAGTCAAAGCCGTTTCCAAGTAGTCACAGCATGCCCCTTTGCATGCGCGCAGATTTCTTTAGTCCTAAATGATTTGTCTGCCTTTCTAGATGTTCTGCCTAGCCCTTGACGGCATACTAAGTAGAATCTACTGTACCTACAAAGGGCCCCTTAGGTAGTTATGATATGCTGTTACGCTATGGGTAGTAGTTGCTAGGTGCCCATACAAAGGAAAAAGATACCGGATATAATAGTATCTAAGAACATGTAAAGGCACGAATTATAGGACTACCAGAGTATCCTACAGAGGTACGAACATAAAAGATTCTAAGGGTATAAGAGTACTTATAAAGATATAAAAACATAAATGCTCTAAGAGTAGAGAGTATATCACATAGTTCTGCAGTATGCCATAACGTGGAGCTAGCAAAATATCTCGAGGGGGAAGGCAAATCATCCAGTGTCTTTGGATAAATTGATAATCATCTGTTGGCGGATTGAAGGCGGCATGTACTTGGACGTCAAAAGTAAATGACTCATAGTGGGGAAATCTGATGTAATTAATATCTTGAGGGTCCCGAGCACGAGCATAGTATTGGAGTGCTACGCCCAGGGATGGAGCCGATGCAGTTGACAAAAGACATCTATCTAGCCCTCAATCACCAAACCTCCAAAGCTGCCCATACTGCTCGAAAAAGAGTGTGATTTCCACCGCCATGACGCTTGGTACCTAGCAATCCGCACTGATTCCACCAGATCTACCGCAAGAGAGAAATTTGAGTCGAATGCTTGGAAAGCTAGCCGCTGTAGCCCGATTTCAAGTGATTCTTCTGCGTTCGTGAGACTAGTCCAAGATCATCCGAGGCTCGTCGGTGAGCTCAAGGTCCCGAAGTGCGTCAGTGATCTCAAGAGGCTTCTTCTCTGTAGTGGAAAGCAACACTTTTATTGGGCCGGGAAACTGGACTAACAGCTTTACGAAGTCGTAGAAGCCGTCTTCCCCAAGGGTGCCATACTCCTCTCCGTGGCTGATGTGCTGGAGGCGGTCCCAAGATGCTTGAGGGACGGTCATTTCCGATATCCACATCTTGAACCGAGGCAATTCGAAGTGATCGGTGACTGACAACTTGAAGTCTTCCCAGGTGAGCCTAGCGACACGATGGATGGTGTTAAACCGAGCTGCCCTGCCTCCCGGCAGCATAGATGGCATGTTCACCCATGCAACTTCAACTATGCCTTCAGCTCTTGACACAGGAACAGGATTCGGGTTGGTTGTACTGTCTTGTAGTGCAGAAGATTGTGACTGCGAGGCCTCCCAACACAACCGCTGAATGACGTACCAGACGCGCCATTGACCCTCTAGGACTGTGAGGTGCTTCCGGAACAGAATTCCATGTAGTAGTTCGGTGTTTATTCTTGTGAGGTGGTAGAGCAGCTAACACTTCTAATCTTTCTCATCCCATCTAATAGTATGGTTAAAGTCCGGAATCTGAACCATGTACTTGCATCTGCCATATTCTAGGTCGGTTGCTAGGTGAAGTGCTACCTGCTCAAACTCTACCCTGTTGGCTCTTTGATTGCGACCATTTTTGCCCGTGGTAGCGGCATGCTGCTGAGGCAGCAGCCAATAATAGTTGAATATCTGCCACCACCTTTGAACTAGTCGTTCATCAACCATCCACTCCCGTAGTGCATCTGTAGACTCAAACTCCAATTCCACTGCGAGCTTGGCGAGGTCTTGGTAAAGCCCGCCTTCGCCCTGTCCTGACGACATCGTGACTTGCGGACAAACGTGAAGTTGGAAGTCAGACTAGTTGAGCAACATCATGGCCTTGAGGCAGATGGATCGTGACCTGTTGATCATGAAGTGAGATAATGTCCAAGGTTAGGCTTTGCGGTATGACTTACGAGCGAGGGCTGGTCTCTCAGAATGCTTGACTGTAGAGACAAAGGTGAAGTAGGGCTGGTCGAGTCAGAGCGTTGATCCGGCGACGGTCGTTGACTTGGTTGCAGAGGGTTCGAGGTGAAACGTAAGTGAGGGAGCAAACCTCAGCGTTTGTCGAGCGTGGAGTCGGCGAGTGGTTGGCGTGCTGACAATGTCGGAAGCTTGACGGTAGAGACAAGGTCAAAGTCAGATTAGTAGAGTCCAAGAGAGCCTGTGACGGTCGCAGAGAGCTCGACGCGCAACGTGAGGAAGTAAAGCTCAGAGGTTGTCGAGCGTGGAGACGGTGGGGGTGGTTGGCGCGTTGACGATGTCGCTGGAGCTTGGCGGTAGAGACAAGGTCAGAAGCGAGATTAATAGAGCCAGAGAGTTGAGTCGGTGACAGTAGCTGGCTTGGTCGCAGGAGTGAGTGAGGGAGTGAAACCTCGGAGCTTGTCAAATGTCGATGGGAGAATCGACGGTGGTTGGCGTGCTGACAATGTCGCAGAAGCTTGACGGTAGAGACAATGTCAAAAGCAGGACTAGTAGAGTCTGAGAGTTAAGCCTGCGATAATGTTGGCTTGATCGCGGCGTTAACGGGGGTGGGTTCAAAATTCTGCAGCGAAAAAGCGTACAATGGCGGCGTAAAGAGAAAAGGAGCAGAAGCAAAGGAGCGGAGACAGATAAAGCAACTCCTGCGCAAGCCACAGTTACGTCATTATATAGTACTAGAAACGCTACAATGGTTTCACTTTACTGTGCTATCATTTTTCAGCGATATAACGGTCATTTGTTTTTTACACAGTACAATGATGCCATTGTCGAAAAACACCAACACGAACATGTAGTCAATAAGCGTCAGTCCAGTGCTAAAGCTTTCATCAGGCGTAGATGCACAAAAAAATAACCCAATCCTAGTGGGAATAGACGCAAAGGTGTAAGTTGCCTCAGACGTCCTCGACTACAAGGCGTACCTTCTTAAAGAACAGTCTTTTATAGATGGTCCCCGCAAACGCAAGTCCGTATTCTCTATTATAGTACGTTGTAGAAGGCAACAACTAGGAGACCGACAAGTAGCTGACGTATGTCTTCGGAGTTTTCGTCTTGTGTGATTTTCGGAAATGCCTTGAGCGAAAGCTTTGAAGACCCATCTTTCGATGACATCATTGGTTTTAAGCTTAGCTCTGGATGATTCCCAGCAGGCGCACAACTTCTGTCTCTCCGGTCTTAATGATCCAGCTGACTGTAAAGGCGCGGGCTAGGTAGCTGTGAAAGCTCTCCGCGCGCACGTCTCCATCAGCACAAACACTGACGCATCTCCACCCACACAACGCATTCACAAACAAGCCCATCCCTCTACACATACGTAAATCATAGCCTCTAACTACCCAGAATATACATACCACCGCCGCGCCACATCCACCGCCCTCCGCCCCATCCAGACCCCCGCCACACACCCCACCACCCACCCACAGACCTACACCATGCGCCCCCGCAGCCGCACAAGCACATGCGCTTCGTAGCTGCAGCATCCAGAGCATTATTGTCTTTCCATACAAGGTCTGGGAGTATTTCTTCCTGCTTGAGGATATGCACGGGCGCAGGTAGATGGCTCATGATGTTTGCGCTGCAGGCTTTTGTAATCACTGCGCTGTTCCCCATCCCGGAAGTACATATAAGGAGGTTCTGTGGGCAGAGGCTACGCGCTAATGGGGCTTTATGAATGTGCTCTTGGCCTTTGTGTGGAGTTAGTTGTCCTGTGCTGTTGTGGGTGTTTTGGAGGAGGAAGAGGTGGTGGTGGTGCTGGCGGCGGATACCACAACCACAACCACAACCACGTCTCAAAGGCTAGAGCCACTATGCACGCACGTACGCATGCACAAGGTACCGATCCATTCATCTATGAGTCCAGCCAGCCAGTCGACAGTTCACTCATTAAAATGTTTATCTGCACGTACACATACGGTATATGTATAAGTCCATTCTACTTCCCGCCTGATGTAAATACACCCATCCTTGCATTGCGATCTTGTTGAGTATTCGTCTACCGCACAGATGTGTTGTCCACATCACATAATGATACAACTGCATAAGTACGTAATATGCTTTCTACCCCTTGATAAATTCCATCTTCATATTCTTATAAGTACCTATATATCCTTAGAGAATTATGTTATCGTACCTCTATAGGTCACTCTAGTACGTTCTATGTTCTTATCTTACCATACTTTGGAATGCTATCATACCTAGTTCTTTTCACCTTTACATGGTTACCTAGCGAGTACTAGCCTTAATAACAGTTTGATATAACTATCGAGAAAGTACTCTGTAGGTTAGGAAGTCCTTACTTAATAAGTATTTAAAAAGGCGAGCGAATTTCCCGAGGCAGGATAATCTATCCATGTTTTGACTGTCTTGCCCACCCGCAGTAGTATAGCAACCAAATAGCTGAAAACGCTTCCTCGCCTTCTCAAAATCAGACTCTCGAGCTCTTCATTAACCGCTCTTGTATCTTCACATCTCTTTGCCCTCATACAGGCCCAACACTGCGAGGGGATCCTGCACAAGTACATTTCTGCATCCTTCTAAATGCCCTCATCCATACGTGTGTGTTCGTCTCAACAACGTCGCGACCACCCAAGCGTGCAGTGTTGCAGACGCTTGTACCTGTTGAGAGAGCACTTCCCAGAGAAAGGAGTTTTGGCTCCTCGGGGGGCCAAAAGGCGGGTAAGAAGGTCAAGTCAAGATTCGGGTGCTGCTTGGCTGGTTGCTTTGAATGTTCGTAGAACGAACTCGATATCTCTGTAGCTTCATGCAGTTCGTGTCCACGTGTGTAAGGGGGCCAATTTGTTTGACTTGCATCAGCACTATGCAGGGCTAGGACACACATAGCAAAGCTGTCAGTCAACAGCCGCTCTATTAGTTTGTCTGTCTGTCTACACGCACGCGGGCGCGCCTCTTACCTCACCACAGTCTATATATATACCCATTCATATACCGCGCTCTTACCAGCCAAGCATGTCTCAGAATCCACCTCTTCCGCCCACCATTTCCGTCCAAGAGCTCCATTTGGCGCACGCCGGTCGTCTGTCTTTCCGACTCTGTGCCGCATCCACCCTGCACGCATATACGCATCCGCTCGTCCACGTCGTAAAAAGAAGATTATGTGGTCGACGCACACAGCATTCGAAATTCCCGCAATGCTGCTGCGCTCGCGATGCCCGCAGCCTAGTAGTAGTGGGCCATCTCGAGGCCGGCGCGCTTGAAGCCGCACTTGACGTAGAAGCCCTCGTTTGCCTCCGAGCAGTCGAGGATAGTCTGCAAGCACACCATGCGCATTAGCTCTCAATCCTCCAATTCGAGCCCAACTCCAATTCCGTTTCTGTCCTGCGGGGTGGTGCAGGGTGATGGTCTGGGGGCTCCGAGCAGAGACAAACATACCTTGTAGCAGCCGACCTTCTCCGCAACATGGTCCAGGGTCTGGATGATGCGCAGGCCCAGCTTCTTTCCCTGCTGGTCCTTCGCGACCGCGATATCCTCGATATGGCCGACGAGGCCTAGGTTGTGGATACTAGCACACAGGAGGCATTAGCAAGCACTTCCAAACTGCACTCCGTCCCCTCCCCAGGCGAAACTCACAACTTGCGCTCGACAATCAACGCGCCGGTGCCGACAACCTTCTTGTTCTCATCCAGCACGCAGACCAAAAAGTACTCGTCGTTGCGGCGGGTCATCCAGTCGAAGCGCTCGTCCCACTTGGCCTCGCTGACCTCGCCGACGGTGGTCAGCACGCGCAGCACGTCGAGGAAGCCGGCGTGGTAGTCGGCGCGCTGGACGGGGCGCACCGAGTAGCCGGCGGGCAGGGCGGCCTGGACGTCGGGCGAGATGAGCGACGTGTTGAAGAGGGGCGCGTGGGGGTCGGCAAGGACGGGTGCGGCGGCGGCGGGGGTCGTCATGGTGGCGGCGGTGGGGGATTGGCGGGAGGTCGAGGTCGAGGGGGCGAGAAGTGAGGGGCAGTGGTGATGAGAAGAGGGTATCAGAGGGAATTGAGGGGAAAAGGAGAGTGGAGAGGGCTGAGCGAGCAAATGGTAATGGTACCTGATCGGCGGGTGCGCCGCTGTCATGGCTATTTTTAGTTGCCACCACAAGCCCATCTTAGGTAGAGTGTCAGCAGCAGCACGAGAAATACGACAACGGCCCATTAACCCATCCAATAACCCATCCAACCTCAACTGCCCTCCCCGCCCATCCTCGCATTCAAATACACGTCCAGCGCGCTCGCCTGCTGCCCCACGACGGCCTGCCCGCACGCGCACCGGCCCTGCACCACGCCCCCCGCCTTCAGCACCGCCTGCAGCGCCGCCTCCAGCAGCCTGTTCTGGCGCTCGAGCTCCTCGACCCGCGCCTCCATCTCGCCCGCTCTGTCCCTACCACCGCCACCCTGCGACGCCGCGGGCTGCCCCACCACCGACCCCGCCGCGGCCGACGTCACCGACATGGCCGACGGCGTGCGCAGCGTGTCGTGCGAGACGCGCTGCTGCTCCCCACCCGGCACAAACTTGAGCGACGACGCGCGCCGCGCGTGTGCGTGCCCCTGCGAGTGATACGACCCCCCCGAACGCACAAGAAACTCATCTCTATCCTCCCTCTCCGCCGGCTCGGCAGCCACGGGCATCATGTCCGAGGCCGTGCGCACCGCGATGGGGAGGGGGCGCGAGTAAGACGGATGCCGCTCGCGCAGCACGAGGCGCGCGGGCTTCGCCTTGGTAGGCTTCTTGGGGAGGGGGGAGGGGGGGTTGTCCAAGAGGGTGTGGACGGGGGAGAGGGAGATGGCCGTGTTTGTGCCCGAGGCTGGGGATGAGAGTTTGTCTTCGTCGCTTGGGAGCAGCAGTGCCGTCGACACTGGGCGGGTAATGGTCACGATAGAAGCCTGGCCCTGGCCGTCTTCTTTCCTGCGCCTCAGCAGCTTAGCCCGCTCGAGCTGGTCGCGCGACGAAGACCGCCTGCCAATGTCCGCGCTCGACGTCTCCTCCACCAGCGGTTGCGAGACAATCTCATCAATGCCATGCCGCTCGCGCTGCAAGTCGCGCAGCTTCCTCGCGCGGATCTTGTCTTCCCGCGTGCGGTGCCTCGTCACCTGGCGCGCGCCATGTCTTGGTCGGTCGCGGCTGGGCGGGGAAGACGAAGAAGTCGCCGAGTCTGGGCGATCGAGCAGGGAGTCGACGCGGTTGTGGTGCGCTGTTGCTTCGTCTTCCGTCTCTGTGACCGTGCTTGATGCTTGCTTCGACTGCTGCATCTCGTTTGGAGACGCCGCTCTGCTTTGTTGCTCTTTGCAAGAAGAAGGCCGCCGTAGCCCCAGCCCCGCGAGCCGCTGCTGCTCAGTACTCGAGTCTTCGGCTGAGCCGGAACGGTCGCAGGACAAGTCTTCTTCCTTGAGGGCGCCAGCCGTGGCCTGCTCGTTCGAAAGACGAGGCAAAGGTTCAGACGCCCCAACCGCTGGCGATGGCAAGTTCGACGGTGGGTTACTAAACAGCGCAGCCTTTGCGTCTGTAGCCGCGGCGCAGGCCGACTTCTTGATATCCGGCTTGTCAATGATACTAAGACCAAGCTCGGTACCCGGGACGGGCTTGCGCCTGATCTCCGTCCCGGTGCTGTTGCTGCTGACGGTGCTGACTTTGCGCAGAGCAGGTCTCGGATCTTCTGCTAGGCTGACCCGCCGGTATTCTGGTAGGCTCGTTTTCCGCTCTGGTAGAGGTAGACTCCCTTTCCGAAGCCCTACGGGGCTGGCTATTGGCTCTTCGGCCATGGCACTGATCACAGGATCTGAGGCTGGGTCTTGCGCCATGCCGAGCGATGACGATAACCAGTTGTCAAACGTATCTGTCGCCAGAGGACCAAGCGTGTCTGGCAGCGTTGCGACTGATTTTTGCTTGTGAATTTCGTTGCTACCAGATGTTAACACCATTCAACAGTCTTATGTCGATACTCACCCCCAAGAAGTCATCGAAGTATCGTCCGACAGTCCGAGATCAGGTACAATCTGCAAGTATTTCTTGCCTACGCGATAGATCAGTCAAAGTACCCGACCCTCACTAAACTACTCACCATCTTTGGAAACCTTCTGCATAACACCCTGGCTTGGCACAAAGAACTCTGGCGAAGGCGGCTTCCCAGGATACCTACAAAAAATCAGCACATCTCCAAATCAAAACCAACCAAACAAAACTCACCCTCCCTCCACAGTCCCCACCCTCTCTGCAAGACTCTTCCTCCCCTTATACCCCAAAAAACGCAGCGCGCTCCGCCGACCGCGCCGCTTCTTGTTCGCGTCCGCATAGCGCGCCGAGCCTGGCGCCGTGTTGCGCAGAAAGTAAGCCAGGTCGAAAGGGTTGTCGGAGGGGACACGGGAGTATGGCGTGCGCGGCACACCTGCGCTGACCATTCTTGGGCGCGGCGGCGACGTGTCTTGCTGCTGGTCCCAGGAGAAGCGGCGGCGAGCACGCGTGAGTGGGTGATGCTCAGTGGAAGTGCGTTGATCACGGTGCACAGTATCCAGGCTAGTGCGACTTCGGGATGAGGAGGCGGAAGCGGTGGTAGCCGTCGTGGTCTCTTTCAACATCAACAAAGCTTTGGCGTCTTCGGCGCTGTTGAGATCGCTACTAAGATGGCGGGCCAGAGCTGGATGACGATGATGCTGAACAACAGTACAAATGGCGTCTTTTTCTTCGCCTACCCCGTTCTTCAGCAATGCTTCTTTCGCTACCACGGAAGCGTCGATTTCCGAAAGTGACCAGGGCGGCGGTGGGTAGAAGGTATCGGGCGTCAGGAGGTTCCACCAAGGCTCCGAAGGCGGCGTGGACGAAGGCGGATTTTCTAGAGAGAGCTGGTGAAGGCCCTGGTCCTGGTGCGGCTGGGGATGACGCTCACGCTCACTCTCACGGTGGGTCCCGGCCCCGGCCCCGGCCCCGGGGGCTCCGGGCGCGGACGAGCTGGTGCTGCTCGTCTCGTAGGGCCGGGGGGTGTGGTTCATGAAGGACGAGGGGTATCGGCGATGATGCTGGTAGAGGGGCCCGGTCGTGTGCATGGGTACGAGGGTCGGTGTGGGCTTGAAACGCAGCTAGCTGGGTGCTGAGAAGAGATGATGAAAAGAAAAGCAAACAACAGCAGCAGATGTTGCGCGACCCGACGTCGAGATCGATCCAAGTGCAGACGAGCAGACAACTGAACGTGCGTGCACACCGAAAGACATACAGGTTGCTCGGCACCTACGCACCAATATAAACATCTTATTCCTGTCGCCGGCCGCAGTGTTCGTCGCACCGCTGTCCGGCCTCGAGGCTCGCTCCTGCGCAGGCTCCCCAAAATGCTGCCTGCTGCCCTGGTCGCACGCCCGTCAGCGCCATTGTATGCCGTGCTACGTACCCCCCAATGCGTGCGCCGCCCTCGCCCCCAACGCCCAAGTTTCCATGGACGTACCACCCACCGTCCATCCGCCTGGAACGGCCTGAGACGGATGTTACTACGGGTTCGTACAGTACTTGCAGGGGTACTTGTTGCTGTCCATGTCCAGTGATGTTCCCTGGAGATGAAAACAAGTCACTCCAAATTCGCAACCGCCAGAATTGTTCGTATCCCTATAGTAGACAAATTTGGTAGAAGCGAGTGTCCCTACTTTGAAAAGTACTTCTAAAAGCAAAGGCGCATTGGTTACCCAAACCGGAATACCCACAAATCCTACAGTGCTATTTATATCACCAGCTGAACAGTAATCGTTAAAATGCTACCCTACAACGTACTGTCTACAGAGTTTTAGTTTGATTTGATATACCATCATCAAATCACAAGTAAACTAAAATGCCCCCTACAGGCTCTTTCAGATAGCCCCGTTGTCATACATACATTCGTAAGAAATCCAACTTTACCCAAACCCAAATCTACCCGTCACACACTACACTCCCACGCCATGCTCACGTTCAACCAGACCCTTGCATCAAGGCGTGCGGGGCGCGCGTTTACGGCTCCGTCCACATGTGGTGCTAGTGCTGAAACACACGCGCTGACGGATCTATCGGACGGTGCGACGGTGAGATTTGCGCGAGGGCAGGCGGGGAGACGATCTTCCGCGATGGATTTACGCAGGCATATTGACTCCTGCAGGCGCCTGCTGCAGCCACGCACAAGCCTATCAAGCCTTGGTATCGGCTCATTCTGGCTCGCACGCATAGCAGCTGATAGGAAGTACTCCGAGTGGAGATAACGGCGAAAGAAATGGCGGTATGTCTGAGGCGTTCAAGCTGGCTGGGCCTGGAGCTTCAATCTCCGAACATACACACTCTCGCACACAGCACGCATGGCCAGTGCTAGTATCTACCGTAGCAGATGCCCGCTTAACCCGCCCGGACCAGATTAGGTCGTCCCTCCACCGTCTATCTCGGAATGAATCTCTATAATACAGCAAAGCCCATACCCTTCCGCTCCATGCAATAATGCTGACTGTGACGTGCAAAAAGCTTATAACGCCGTTCAATGCTCAGGTGATATATGATGCCGCCTGCCCAGACTTTCACGACGAACCACTGCCCCGGGTGCATTGATAACCCACTGCTTGGGCAACAAGCAAACAAGCGCCGGGCTGCTGCGATCAAGCGTTCCGCGGCTTCTTGGGCTGCGCCGATCGCCTGATGAACGGATCCGTCTGTTGCTTTCTCTTCGCCGGACCCGCCTTTGGACGTGCAGCGCCCGCGCTCGAGGCCGATGGACGCACTTCCGACCCGCCCTTGGAGCCGGGCCTCGAGGAGGGCCGTTCGTTGCTCATCTCCCCTTTAGGCGTGTTGGCGCTCGAGGTTTCCGATTGGTAGTCTTTCATCTCGACGTCCTCATTGGCGGGTTCTGCATCGTAGAAGTCGTCCCAATCACCGGTGGGCAACGCATTCTTTTCCTTCTTGATGCCAGTCTGCGCGACGTTGCCAAAGGCATTCTCCGTCTTGACAGCACCCTCCATCTTGACCACGTCCTCCGCCTTTACCTCCGTCTTGACATCCTCCGCCTTGACCTCCGTCTTGACATCCTCCATCTTGACATCCCCAGATGCAGACTTCGGCTTAACCCCCTTCAAGTACTTAGGCGCCGGGAAAGAAGATGAATGCTTCTGCAGCATCTGCATCAAGTTCCCCTGGGTATATCTTTCCCTCTTCTGCGCATCTTCCACAAGCTTCCTCCAGAACTCACCCCGAATCAAGCTCTGAGAGTTACCCAGCACCCACAATGACGACTTGGCACGCGTGAGACCGACGTTCATACGTCGAATGTCCTGCAAGAAACCAATGCCGCCAGCTGGACTGGCACGTACGCACGAAAAAATGATAATCTCGCTTTCGCGACCTTGGTAGGCGTCCGTAGTGTTGAACTCGATAATGTCGGTGATGGACTCGCCAAAAGAACGCGCAAAGCGCATCTTGAGCTCGCGCAATTGACTCTTGTATGGCGTAATGATGCCCACCTTGTTCTTAAAATCATAGTCCCTGAAATCGCTCATAAGTCGCTTGAACAATTGCATCGCCACTTCAATCTCAGCCAAGTTGATGAGAGAGTGACCCTTCGGTGCCGCTTGATGCTGACCCTGAACATCGAAAAAGCGGTATGGACCGAGAATTGCGCTGGCATGCCACGGCTGCTGGCGCAATCCGCCCATGTTGTCGCCATCCAGAAGTTTGCCATCATAAAATGTCTGGCTTGGAAAGTAACTAATCTCCGGATGCATACGATACTGCGTGTCCAGCAAATGGATATCCTTGGGATGATTGTTCTGCATGCGAACGAACAAACTCTGTTCATATTGAAACCTGGCGGCTTCTTTCGAAAAAACGGTAGGCGGCAGTTGTTTGGGATCTCCGACAAGAATTGCCTTCGAGCAACCATACTTCAATGGAATAAGAGCGCTCATTTCAACACACTGAGCCGCCTCGTCAACGACCACGGTTTCAAACTCAATGTTCAGATTTTGAAACATCTCGTGACCGGAACCGCTCAGAGTCGCACAAATGACATGCGCTTCGTCGAGAACGGATTGCTGGGCTCGCTTACGATTGAGGTCGGCCTGTCGGTTCATGGTTGCTTCGCTGTCCTTGGCATTGTCGATTTGCATGCTGAGCTGCGTCTTGCGGCGACGCAAAGTGTCGAATTCGTTCTTGAGTTCGATCGCGGCTTGCCCCTTGGCAGTCCCAGCGTCGAGCTTATCCCGGGCCTCTCTCAGCTTCTCCGAGACCATCTGATGCTCCTTCATGAGGTTCTGAGTTTCCTCACGCTGATTGCCATTCTGACCTGGATAAGTATTCAACTTGGCATTGACCAGCTCATCCAAAGTAACGTCCTTGACGTTCACGTTCATCGCGTCACTGCGACCCAATCTGACGACCGAAATCTTCTTGTGCTGACCGCTAGTTGTCTTAACGCCCTCCTTGAAACGCATGACGAGTTCGTCAACAGCTGCGTTACTGGGAGCACAGACAAGCAACTTCTTTGGTGTTGGGAGGGTGCGATTGGCTCCGGCGGCCATGGCCGGCTTGGCGATGACAGTACCCTGATTATTCTTAAGGCTGTCGGTTAAAAGGGCGCCGACAATAGCGACGATAGTCTTGGTCTTACCCGAACCCGGTGGTCTAAAAAGTTAGCAACGACAAAATACAATAAAGACAAAAAAAACCCACCCCTGAATCAACGTAAACGCATCATTGTCTATGGCCGACTTGACCGCCTTGGTCTGAGCATTATTCAGATTATAACACGTGCTCAGTGACTCCAATTGCTTGTCGGTATAGTTGAGCAACGGCGATGGCTTCGCTTTGATAATCTCATCACAAAGGTCGTAGTACTGCAGACCCGCAAGGGCACCGTACTCGCGTTCCAAAGGAGTAATGGACTGAATCTTGATTCCGTGTACCGTGGCATTCGGCACCAAAGATGACACCAAAGGATTTCCGGGAATGATACGATACAGCACTTCGATATGTGCCTTTTTCCGACCAATCCTATAAACGCGAGCGAGACAATGAGGTGCCTCTGCCGCCGTTCCGGGAGAGCTCGACTTGGACAAAAGGCAAATGTCACCTTCTGATAGTTGAATTTCCTTATTGTCAGCGTGGGACAATTGCGTGCTCAATTCCAGAAATGCATCAACGCTAGACCGGTTAATAACCTTGACTTCGTACGACTTGAACGTACCCTCCTCCCGAGCTTTGACAAAACCTTGCCAAGCCTCAAGAGTGAGAAGAGGTTGGAACGTGTTCTGATAGTCGTTAGGAGTCATAAACCGATTTGGAACGGCCGTATAAATGTCGGTCCTGGAATTGGGAGGAAAGTCTCCATCATGGAAATAATCCCAACCCAAAATCGTCCTGTGTAATGGTCCCAGATCTGGCGCCAATCTCGCACGCATGTCCTTGAATGACCGGACAAGCCTCTTCTTCTTAACCGGACCCTGTGGCATGAGTGGAAGCTTAGGTTTAGGCGCCTTCTTCTCCTTGGATGGCCCAAAAAGCTCCTCATCAATCTCATCATCGTCATCATCGCTTTCGTCAGAGGACACCATGACTCCCTCTCCCTTGACGGTATGGTCTTTACCAGAAATACCAATACCGCGAAGTCCTGAGCCAGCCTCTGCCGTCTGCGCGGCCACACCCATCAAAGGCAGGTTCTTCTTAGCCTTGGCAATGGCTTCGAGATCCCGTCTCTTCTTCGCTTCTTTTTCAAGTTCCCGCTGTCGTCTGAATTCACTCATGTTCTTCTCACTTTCGGCCTTCCTAGCAGCAACAGCACGTTCCTTCTGCTGTTGAGCTGCCTGAATGCGCGCTCTGTAGGCCTCTGCACCTCTCGAACTGTCCGCAATGACCTTACTGAGAGAATCAGAGTCGTCCGTGTCAGGGCTTGCCGTCGAAACATGACCTGAACCGCTCTTTGCCCATCCTGCAAGCGTGCCTTGCTTTGCAGGCTTCTTTTCGACCTTGGTGATAGAAATACCAAGATTATCCTCAAGAGCTCGAGAAAGTTCAGCCTTTTGCGAGAGCGAAAGCTTAGTCTTGGTTTTGTCGCTCAAAACTTCTTGCATAAAAAGCCGAGTCTGGTCAGTAACCTCCATCGAGACATCCTGAAGACGCTTGAGAAGCTTGGTAGTAAGATCCACAGCTTTGCCAATGAGGTATTCATCCCTCAACCTCAACCAGATGACCATGTGATACATGGTTTGTTGAGGATACTTCAACAAAACAGTCCCAGTATCCAGAGATTTGTCGGCACCTCCTCTCGCCTGATTTAAAGCGCTCGCGAAATGGCTGTACTCGTCGAAAAGCCTATCAGCAAACTGCATTGTATCGCGACAAAAGTCCATCATCAGAGTCTTTTCATGTCCGACGTTGCTCCACTTTTCCATCATTTCAAAGATGGTCATCAAGGCATGCCATAAAGACTGCCAAAGAAATTCAGTGGTATTCGCCTCCTCAATCGACAAGGAACGTTCCCTCAGAACACCATCTTGTGGACTGCAAAGAACATCGACAACATCAGAGCAAACCTTGAGCATGCTCTGACATGGCGCAAAAACTTTCCTCTTGGAAATCCGGCGCAACGTCTTTGACATGGAGTCCAATGCGTTGATGTAAAACGACTTGATAATGTGACCGAGAGCATCTCTACGACTATCTTGAGAACTGACGCTCTTCAAAATCTCAATCGCGGCTTGACGTGGCTCCGCTTCAGAGGCGAACAAATGGACAATGACGGCATGCGAAGCATCTCTAGCTTCGAACAATTTGTCGAGTTCTTCAGGTGTAAACTCTGCAATCTTCTCCAAGATGGAACCGACGGATTTCGAAAAGCTGTAGAGAGTGTTGTTGTACCAGTGTCTGCCTTTGGACATTTGCGCACCATTTTTTACGACAAATTTTTCGGTTCCGACCAAAGGAGCAGCTCCAGCCAGTGCCTTTGTTGGCAATGCAACATCATCAGATGCAACAGCCTTCGTAACGGCGTCCCAAATAGGGGAAATAGCGTTGAGGTCATGCTGCAAATGTTCGTCGCGGGCCAATATCTCCCTGTCAATGTCAAGGGATAAACAGTCCAAAGCCAACGCCTTTTCGATTATGCCCAAAGAAAGATCCACTTCCTCAGGGCTCCCCGTTTTGATTGTGGATAGAACAACTCCAATATGAAGCGAAATAAACTCCAGCAAATCATGTACGGTGGCAGCACCGACAAAGGTAGACCGAGTCTTTCCCTCGTTTAGCTTGGTCAAGGTTTGGACGAGAACCTGAAATCCCAACTTATAACAGAACGATCGGGAGGCGCGCGAGTATCTGTCTTCTTGGAATCGACGCAACAGCTGGTTGACGAGTGAACGACAGGCGGGTGTCTGATTGGAAGGTTTAATTGAGCCGAAAAACGAATCAATCCAGCCGAATGCTTCCTTCAACGATTGATCCGAAGTCTCCTCATTAGCTTGCAATAAAACCTGATCCAGAGTCTTGTTGTTCAAAATTTGCTCAATGACAGTGACTGGAGAGATGGCTCCCATGGCATCCCAAAAGTCTACTGGTGACTTGTCGAGCAATTGTTGAATGGTACCGATGAGATCCTTAAAACCGCTAAACTCAAACCGCAGATGCTCCAGAGCGAGCATGCAAATGTCAATGTCGATGGCTCTCAGAGATTGGGTGATGAGTTCCTTGTCCAACTTATCAACAATAATCTTGACGCCTCCCCAAAAAGGAGACAAAAAGTCGGCCTCCAGATTGGTAAGTTGGACTCTCTTCATCGCATCGAACAATGGATCCCGTACTGAACCAGCGAATTCTGCCTTGGTCAAGCCGCGTTTGAACTTTGTGAACATGGTGAAAGCCCAAACATAACGATCTTCGTTAGGGCTGAAGATGAACCTCGACATTGCAGGCAGATAATTGCCAAGCCGCAGACGCTTCCTGGTCTGGACGAGCTTGAAGGGCTCATCAAAGTGCTTTTGCAAAAGGGCCTCGTTCTTCAAAAGTGCTTCGCAACTGAGCGACTCAAACAAGGCATACATTCCTTGAGAGTCCAAGGAAGCTATACCACGAGATTCAGGTGGCGCGCTTCGAAGCTTGTCATCCGCGTGGTCGAGTCCAGCTGTAATGCGCTCAAGGTTCATGTCATCAAAGACACGCATAAACTCTGCCACCTCGTCGGAGTCGTAATCCTCTTCCAGCCCATGCTTCAACTCCGGCCTTGACCTGTGGTACATCCTGATGCAAATATCACAGGAGGTCATGGTTGCATTCAAGCGACCCTTCAGCCATTCTTGGTACGGAACGGCATCGGCCCCGTTAAAGGCAAATATCCGGAGGCACTGTAAGACCAGTTGTTTCCTCTCCTCCGCCTTGTCCAGCGCCCTAAGACGATGCCGCTTGTCATTCTCGCTTTCATCATCTAGCATGCCGTACAGGTCCTCGTCCAGGAATAGTCCGTTGGGATCGCGAGCATCTCGGGGGCAGAAGAGGTGGACGTCTTCGGAAAGGGACTGGAGCTCACTAAATCAAGTCAGCAATCTGTAGAAATAGTATAATCATGATGCGTACTGGAGCTTCTCAACCAGTGTTTCACCCATTATGTTGACGGGCTATCATTCGGAGGTGTGGAAATCGGTGTCGCAAGCTCTAGATTTCAGACAATGACATTTCGACCGAAATAAAGAGCGAGTGAGGAGCCGTGGAGCCAGGAATGAGGTGCGCAAGTAGAATAGGTGGCGACTTGGCCTGGTCAAGGTCGTCAAGGGCTATGTACTGGAAACGGACCCTGGGGATAAAGAACCGCGGGCGGTTGCCAGAGCGCAGCGAGCGAAGTTGCAAGGATCAAAAAGCAAAGTGTATGTGAAGCGGCCCCGGCGCTCCGGATTGAGTGGGACCTATTACTGTGAAATGAGGCGTAGAGGACCGCAGCGAAAGAAAGATGTTTAGGCAGCGCAGCTCGCCGAGAAATGCCATCATTCGCGAGTGCACCAGGGCACGTCCGCGGCGCGCCAAGACAGCCGTCGGCGCGTCCTCAACTCCGATCATGCAAGTCATTACAAGGGCACGCTCCATCACTCGCTCCAGATGTACATCAATCAGTTATACTCACTATTACTATTATTTAATATAGCCTCTATCTTGATTAGGTTTGGCATGTTTACTAGAAAAGCGGATAGCGTCTGGCGGATAAATCCAGGCACTGCCGAGTCAGCAACTGCAGTAAAAATACTTTATTGCCGTCTATGCAACCATGAGCAATCCGAACGGATGCTAATGCAAAGAACTCATCGAAAAGGTAGAGCAGAATGCAAGGTACCGGAAACAAAGAGCAAAGGCCAACCGTGGTATACTCAATACGCCTCAAACTCCCGATTAAAAGCATAGTCGGGAGCTTTTAAACCCGTCTGCAAAACTTCCAGCGAAACAAACGAAACCGAACGCCTCAGATGATAAACGCATTCAGACATGTACAGCTTCTTGGTATCGTGTCCGGCCAAAGCCACAGACCTTCACTACCGCGCAACCCCAATATCAACTGCCTCAACGTCCTTTGTTGAATAACTGCTCTCCAACCTGCTTAACCTTGCGGCAGAAGTAAAATCAGAATTGGCCTCAAAGCTAGCTCGCATGGGCCGATCCATCGAATGCCTTGCACGTTCAAACGACGGTCGAGGACGCTCGCCCGATCGTCGAGGGGGATCAACCTGAACCGAGAGTCGCTGCGGGTTCTGCGGCGGCTGCTGCGGCTGCTGCTGCTGCTGATCATGCCAAGAATAGCTATGCCTGGTGCAGTTGGTGCTGTCGCTGCCGTTTTGACTTCTTGCGTTATGCGTCGTTGCGGTGGGGGCTACTGATGGAGGGTAAATAGGCCGTTCGTCGTCGGGACCGTTGTAACTGGAAACGGTATTGCGATCCTGCTTACCAGGCTTGGAGATTTCCGAGGACGAAAGCGAGTCCAGCTTTTCCGGTTCAGGCGGCGGCGGAGGAGGAATGAACGTATCAGTCCTCTTCAGGTAGTCAAACTTGCCTTGAATGACCTGCTCTCGGATAATGTCCACATCCATAGGGAAATAAACCTTCTGAAACGCCTTGAATGTGAACCTTGGGAGAAGACACATGACTGTAATGACCAAGGTTGCGGCCCAGAAGCTTAGTTGACCGTATACTTGTGGCGCGGCCTTGTAAAAAGTGAAGCCAGCAGTGAATGCGGTATAAATGCCGGTCCAAGTCCAGATGAGCAGGATACTGATGGCGATAATGAGCAGCATGAGCCAGTCCCACCTGAACGTGTTCATGAGAATGTAAAGGTTGACGACAATGACAGCCACACTGGCAATGTAGATGCCCATGCGCTTGTTGTCCGCCACATCCAAACCATTCTCACTAGCAAAGGTTGCCGGCGAAAAGAGAAGATAGACCATGAAGAAGACCATGAGGGATTGATAAAGACCGTCGATCATGTAGCCCCTACTGACGTCAGTAAAAACCAAACCACAAACATCGCAATACTAACCAGAACTTGCGTTGTGTCCATTCAAGACGCTCGATACCTCTCCTGTAGAGTTGCGGGACGGCCAGCGAGACTCTGTCATCAACATCCTGATCGAAAATACCCATGACAATGACTGGCAAGGAGGTAAATGCCAAGTTGTACATAATGACATAGGTGTAGTCGAAAATGTACGAGCAGTCAAAGTCAGAGTAGATCTGGTACCAGAACAAGGCCAACGTCCACACAATGTTCTTGTAGAAGAAGTTGGCAATGGTCTCCGCCAATCTGCGGTACGACCATCTTCCGTGAACGAGAACCAACCTTGTGAGGAAGCGAAACTGACCAATAGCATAATCCGAAGACATGACGGCAGATCTACCCTCCTCACCAGCGATACCGACACCAACGTGAGCTTCTTGAATCATAGCCACATCATTGGCACCGTCGCCAATGGAAAGAGTGTGACAATCGAGACCGTTTTTGACCATGTTAACAACGGCAGCCTTTTGACTCGGGCTGACACGACAGCAAAGAACGGATCTGCACTGCTTGCACAACAACAAAAACTTCTGCTTCAACGACTCGTCGAGAACCAACTTCAACGTATCTCCGTCGATGACGAGAGCGTGCGTCGGATCAGGAGGTTCGTGATTCTTTTTCGCTTCGGCGAGTTCTGCGTCGGATCCGGTCATGTTGAACGTAGCGAGATGCTTGTCGAGTTCCTTTTCTGCCGTGTCCAGGTTTTCATCTTCGATCTTGATGACGATGAGCTCCATTTCGTTGTCCAGCAGATTGCAAGAGAAACCAATGTTGATGGCGGTTTCGACCTTGTCACCCGTCAGAACCCAAAGCTTGATACCGGCCCTTCCCAAGAGAGAAATGGCATCCGGAACACCATCTTGAAGTCTATCCTCGATGGCGGTGCCTCCGAGGAGCATCAGATCCCGCTCCATGACATCGGAAACCTCTTCGAGCTTGGCTTCGCGATCGGTGACGGCCGCGGCAGCAATATCGTGTTCCTTGTTCCATGTTTGGTATTCCTCTTCCGTAAGCTCTTTCTGTGCAATGCAAAGGGTACGAAGACCTTCACGCGCAAACATTTCAAGATGCTCTGCCGTAACCTTGCGCAATTCAGACTGCTCGCCGCGCTTCAACCTGGAATAAATGATGCTGTCGGCGCCTTTGCAGAACAAGACAATCTTTCCATCCGGCATGCGAATGACAGCACTCATACGCTTGCGCGAAGAGTTGAACTCGAGCGTGTTCAAGACCGTGTATTTCCTCTCTTCACCCATGACACTCAAAATAATGTCGTCGCCGGATCGTCCAAGCACAGTAAATCCGCAATCACGCGCCGTGGAAACGAGCGCAGCTTCATCGGGAGACTGGGCCTTGAACTCAATCTTTGGCGGATCGCCAGGAGTCTTCTCAGTGATGACAGTGTGACATAGGGCCAAGGCAAGCATAAATTGGTCGTTTGCCCGTCTTTGCTCCTCACCAGCTTCGCCGTTAAGATCTGCGACAAAGTCAGGAGCGACAAATGTCACATTCTCGTCGCGCAAATAGGGATTGTCGTGCTGCTTGCGCAGCAGATCCAGCATTCTAACGCGGTCTTGTGCGATTTGCTCGTGAGCTCGGGCGGATTCCTCCTCAACGTTGATACCTTGCCTGCGCTGCATACCAGCCTGAGCTTCAGTGTAGGCTTCACCATACGGAACACCGTTGATGGTCGCTTTCTTAAACTCCATGACGTTTTGGGTTAGGGTACCGGTTTTGTCAGAGAAAATGTACTCGATTTGACCAACGTCGTCGGAAATGTTCCAGGACTTGGGTGTGCATGGATAGTCGAGCCTCTCGTAGTACATGGCCGCGTCATTGTAGATGAAAACTGCCTGGATGGTCCGGATGATTTCGAGGGTAATGTAGAGCGAGATGGGAACCAAGTTCTGGAACAGGATGACGGCAGCCCAAAAGGTGATGAAACCCGACACGGCCGGACTTCCACCATAGGTACCAAAATCAAAGTAGTCCAAAGAGTTCCCGCCTTGTGCCCAGGTCACGCCTTCAACGATACCCGAGACGAGACACATGAAGAAAAGGATGATGAAGTTGTAAATGACGTTCCAGTTCAGGTCCTTGGAGATCTTGGCCCGCTTGGTAGGAGTGATACCGGAATTCAACATAATCTTGGTCTCTTCACCGGTGAAGACAACCACACCAAGGATCCATTCCGTGTTCCGGAGACTGCATCCACGCAGAAGAAGATTGTTGATGGTGATCGGTTCCGCCATTTCCGTTCCGGCACCGTTAGGATCCTTCGCATCGCGTTGGGTCCAGCGAGCGACTCCGTTGTACGCGTACAAATTGGCATGCGGCGCTTCGCTTTGGATGACGAATTCGGCCTTTTCGCAATGACGAGCATGTTGCACCTGTAATCCGGCATGGAGAGCTTGACGGACCTTCAAGTTGGTCTCTCCGTCCAGGTTCTTCGTTTCGACGTAGCAAGCTCCATCGGTATCGGAGGTGGATAGAACCACGATATCGGCGGGAATCTGTTCGTCGTTATACAAACGCACAAAGTCTCCAACTTGAACATTCTTCCAGCTGTCCTTCTTAAATCTAGCCTTGTCCGGACTTGATCGGTAAGGATTAAGCAGACTTCCATAAAACCGTTGATGTACGTCGGGCGCAGCGGCCTTTTCGGATGTCGGACCAGCAAGGACGGCAGGCTGTCCATCAACGTCAAGGGTATCATCACCTCGTTCGCCTTGACCAGGGAGAGGAGACGGAACGGGCGTCATCTGAATCGCGTCGTCACCGGGTGATGGGCCGTCGTCGCTCCTTGCGGACGCAAACGAGCGTCTGTTGATCATGGCGGACGCGCGTCGCGTGTCGATGGATGGTCTTGACTCGTCAAGCGTCCTTTCGGCAAAATCCTTGCCTTTTTTATTATTCTTGCTCTTCTTGTAAAGCTTCCACAAGGCGACAATGGCCCTGGTGTTTGCTTTCTTGAACCTGCGCCACAAGGAGACGTTGTCCTCCGAGGTGTTGACATTGTCAAAGTCGACGAGGCGATGGACGGGAGCGTTGTTGAGTTCGTTGTCGAGGACGGTTCGGCGCCAATCTTCAATGGCATCCTTGATGGCGGTGACAACGATAATGACGATCAACGGGACAGCATTAAGACCTGGGTTAGAGGCACCGAAGATGGAAAAGGCCTGGAGAGTTCTTAGTCGATCGTACCCTCAAGACTAAAGGAAACTTACGCCGAGAATAATGATAAAAGCGAAGTAAATGTTCGCAATGTTGTGGAATTGATAGTACAAGTTCTTGGGCACGAAACTGAGGGGCGTGTATTTGGCGGTCCGAATCTTGTTTCGTTGGTACATAACGAGCGGATGGCCCTCCTCGTCTCTGGCCGAACGAGGCAGCGGTTGGTTGAAGTAGATGGTCCTTCCCGCCTCCGCCTCATCTCCGCCCGCGTCGGAGTGCGCGTGGTCGTCGGGCGGGGGCGGAGCGTCTTTGTCTTCATCGTCTTCTGGCAAGCCAGCTTCCACCTTCTTCTCGCTGCCGCCCGAGCCAATGCGCCGATGCAGACGGCCTATGACGGAGGCGCGCTTGCGCTCGCCCTTTGGCCCTTGCTCGCGGTGGGTAGCCCATCGGATTCGCTTGACCGGGTTCGACACCTCGTTCTCCTCCTCGTAGGGTTGGAGCGCCATTGCGGCGGGCGGGGACGGTTGACGCCAGGTGTCGGGGTGGATGGAGGGAGCTGCGGCGATGGGCCGGCCTCAGCCGGGAAGGACGGGGGCGTCGCAAAATGCCAGGCGGACTCGGGTAGGGGGACGAGGGAGGGCGCTTGGTGTCGCTGGCGAGTATCCGGGGATATAGAGAGGTGAAAGGGAGGGAACGAAAGGCGGAGGACAGATTCACGACGGGATTCGGTTAGGCCGGAGACAAGGGCAGGCGGATGCTGTAAGCAGACAGAATCTGCGGCGGAGGAATGTCGTCACGGCCGGGGGCGGGTCCGGCGGATCGAGGAGCGAGGCCGTGGTCGGGCGGAGAAAGAGAGCAAGAGGTCGCGATGGTGTTTGCGAGCGGCGGCACTGGTACGGCTTTTGCACAGCTCGGAGGAGGATGTTCGGATTGCCGCTGTATAACGCAGCCCAACCCAAAAAGCCGAGCCTCCGAGGGCGGGCGCATGAAGCACGTATGCGCGTTATTTTTGTCAATTCCTGACACGCCAACGCCTCGCTCCTCTGCCCGCCGCCCTGCCCGTACTGCCCACGCCCGCCCAGGCGATGAACGCTACCCGGCCGACGCCTGGCCAAGGAGCCTGCAAAACAACGCATCGCCAGCGCGCTCAGGGATGCGAAGGGCTCAGCACGCGCCCCGAAGATTAGATGAAGATCTGAGCGCGGTGGGGGCCGCTGCTTCATTGTGTCATGAAACGAGGCTTCGTGGAAGATCTGGCGGCGAATCGTTCGTCCAGCTCCTCCTTTCCCAATGGGCCGCCGATCAGATGGGCCCCGACGCTCCTGTAAGCTCGTCAACGGCCGCCTTTGTTAGGGGCTGAGGACGAGCTGCGTCAGCGACCTGCTGCTCGGCCGGCGCACCAAACCGTCCTTCCGGACCCCGGATCCGGGATCTCGCAGGATCGCAGCCCGCAGCCTCAAATCAAACTGCAAGGCCCCTCGGCCGTACTGTTGTAGCTTTGTACACCTCACCGACAAGACAATATAACTCGGTGAGAAAATCCCCTACGCCATTGCCTGAACGTGCCTCCCGATCAGCGGCATTGCCACCATCTCACGAGAGACAAGCTGCATGGAACAAACATCAAAAATACACACGTAGCTCCCGTCAGCCGCCGGCTCGCGCGACTGCAGGCTCCCGACGTCGCTGACGGCATGCTTAGCCAATCTTAGTTGGTTGCCACCACCCGTCGTTAGCCTGACGCGCTAAGGGAGATGGGCTGGATAGGTCTCGGAGGTGAGAGTACCTGTAGGCTGCGCTGCAACGGCCACTTTCGCGTGTAGAGAAAAAAAGAGGCATTTTGCTCTGGGAGCGAGCAATAGACGACCGCAGATCAATATATTCGTCCCGCTGCGCTCCGTCGGCGCGCGCTGTGATGCTCCCTCACGTGGCCGCGCGACAAAAGTTCGCGCGTCGTTGACCGCGAAGCCCGGGCCCGTCTCAAACGCAGCGCCCGCCCGCCGCCAGTACCGCTCCTCAGCCATCATTCACCGTCATGAAGCGCAATGGGAACATTACCGACTTTTTCAAACCCTTCACCCAACCCAAAGACAAGCGGGCGCCCTCTGAAGAATTTCGCGACGCCCTCTTCTCCCACGGCGGCACAGGTCTGAACAACACCCATCATGCCCGTGACGACTGATCCCAACCCGCCTCGCCCAGGCTCTGATAAGAGACCCCTATGGCCCGTAGGCACTTCGCGCCCGGGTCCAAACGCCTGGTTGCTGGCGCGCGACGCACCGCGGCCGGCTCTGCCACCGAATGGCGTGACGCGTGAAACGTCCACGCCCGCCATACCCAGGAAGCCTGAATCCTCTTCCGCAGATACCAGAAATGCGCATTTGCGCACTGATCCGCGTCCGACGTCCGTTGTGCACGACAAGATCCCCGTCGAGCCGTCATCCGCAAACGCGCCTTCACCCCCCGCCGTATCACAACCTTCCAATGAATCTCCGAACCACCAATTTACCCAAATCTCGCATACCCATTCAAAACCAGACTCCCCACCACCTTCATCATTTAACACGTCCATATCGTCTCTCCCGCCGCCGTCTCAAACTTCCACAACATCAAGTAGCAAACGCGTATTCAAAAATGGTGTGGAGATTGTGCGAACATCGGACAGCGAAGAAGAGTCTGACGACGAGCTTGAAGATTTGGGTACCTTGTTGGCAAAGACTCGAAAGCGGCCTGCTCCCGACTCCAACCAATCCGCGGTGAAATCGCAAAAGACGGGATCTAACCATGACATGAGAACCCGTGGGAGGCGAGGGCAAGGAGCATCGTCATTCTTACCCCCGCCGCCAAAGTACAAGCATTCTCTGGCATCCCTTGTCGAACGTGCACATAGCCATACGGAAGCGACAAGGAGAATCACCGAAACAAAGGCCAAGTTAAAGGAGGCAGAGGAAAAAGATAAAGAAGAAAAAGAGGCCGGTCCAACAAAAGAGATTGTAGCTTCAGCTCTAGACGGCAGTGAGGATGGACGAAAGCTATTAAATGCTTTGCTGCGGACAGAAGTACTCGAGACGAAGGCCGTGTGGCACTTTTTTGGTGCAAAAGCCTCGGAAAACTCGACCAGAAATGATCCTTTTCCGCGGCAGGAGCTGAGCAAAAGTTGGCATAGTCCGCTTAAAGGTATAAGAGTTGGTTTGTTCGAATTGAGTTGAATTACTAACTGGTGTGTTTAGATGTCACGACACGTGAATTTACCCTTCTATCTGACATTTTGCATAGTAAGATCGCCATGGAACCTTTGCCTGATGCGATAGTCTCATGGATATTCAATGAGATGTGCTTTTCTCCGAGAACGGATCTCACAAAGGCATATATGCAGATAGTGGCATTGCAGCCGTCTCAATTACGGAGGCTTCTTAGTTCGGAAAAGATTGTTGAGCTGTTTCGGCTCCTTGGTGCCAAGGAAGAAGCAACCCGACTTGGTGACACACTCACGCCACTAGAACAGAGCAGCAGAGGTCCGTATAGAATATCCTTCAGTGGATGTATGCTTACATTTGATAGATAAGAAAATACCACCCCCGGTAAGGCTACAATGGGTATTAAAGCTGCTACGTAATTATGCTACAATGCAAGTTTCCCCCAGTCTTTGCCATCTCTAGACTGACACTGGGTAGCATGACGGGTCCGGCACGAAAAACGGCACTCCTCAGTGTGCTGAGGTTAAGTATTGATGACAATGTGCACGAGTACGGCAACCTCCAAGAATTTGTCCTTTATACCACCAGCATCTTGATCGCGAGCATCCCTGATGACCGCGCCGAGTCAACGGTAGGAAGAAACCTTTAAACAATTCAAACCAGTACTGACAAGCCCAGCTCATAACAATATCCAAATCACTCTACAACACCATCAAACATCCCGTCCTGCAACAATACCTCATAACCTCCCTCCCCTACCAAACAACGCGCGAATCCCTCTTCCAGCGCAAACTCGCCCTCGCCTTCTTCCTCGAAACACCCAACCTCCTCAGCAAACCCCTCACCCAGTCCAAACTAATGATTGCGGTACTGATGCGGCTTCAAAAACCCGACTTCAAATTTGGGCCCACGACCAACTTCGCAATCATAACCGCACGCTTCACGCTGCTCTCGACGGCCCTCGACGCCGGTTTCAGCACGCTGAGCTTCATGCCCCTGGCCGCCAAAAGCAACTCCGACACCGCGAGCCGCGACGCCGCGCGCGCCGAGCAGACGGCCTTCGACCAGGCCGTCGACACCCTCGCCATGGCCGTCCGCCGCATCATGGCGCAGATCCGCGGCTCCGGCACCGCTAGCCTGCGCATGTCCGAGGCCAAGCAGGCCATGGAGCGCCTCGTGTACCGCCTCGACGCCGCCGTGCGCACCCGCGACCGCAGCGCGGGGGATGTGTTTGCGGGGCCTGCTGGGCCGGGCGCTGCGGCTCAAACCGAGCTTATGGCTAAGTGGATGGGCACCGCCGGGCCCGCTGCCGTGACGGGTCCTAGTCCGAGTTCCGGTGCTGGTGGGGCTTGTGATGCCGTGTGATTCGGAGCGGGTGGAGGCGGGTCGGTGGGCTTGGGGGCTATTTAGTTTTGGGGCGTTGGGGTAAGCCGCGAGGCGGTGTGCTCGCGTTTGCTTTTTTGCTTGATTGCGTGTCTGTCATTCTGTGTATCATCCTGAGTGATTCGACGTGCTGCTCAAGTCATGCCATGTATCAAGATTTGATTCGTATTGAGTTGTGTTCTTGGCAAGCCTCCGCCCAATATCTCGAGATTTCGAGGTAATCCTGCGGCTCCCAGAAGCGCAAAATAGATTTGCATAAAGTTCAAAGCTTAGATCCCGTCCATTCCGTTCTTCTCGTCGATGTGCCTGTACCTTGCCTGCTCCTGGCGATCCTTGAGTACCATTGTCACGCACAGCACAACAATGGCGTCAAGACCTGCATGAATGCATCACGTCAGCCCGAATGTTCACTAATATAAACTTCCAAAAGATGGGGGATTGGAGAGTAGAAACAGCGGTGAAATAAAAAGTAAGGGGACCAAAAGCAAAGACGAGACACGGAGACACATACCGACAGCACCAAACATGGCAGTGAAAATGACGTCCAAGTACTGGTTCGCGAAGCTGCTAAAGGGGCCGATGCATCCGCCTTTACGCGCGGCAACGAGCGTGGACGTGCAGGTCGAATCCTGAATGAATGGTGGCGAGGTGGGCGAGTCGTAGCCGCAGCAATTGAACTAGAACATCCATCAGTCCGCCGGCCGGTGAGTGGCTAGGTAGCACGAAGCACGCACCTTCTCCTGCAACAAACTTTGGGTAGCCTCCGACTCCTTCGCCCACACCGAGCCCAGCATGCTCCTGGTACGCAACGTCTCAATCCAAATGGCGGAGCCAATCGCGAGCGTGAAGACGCCGCAGAGGGTAACCATCCAGCCATGGGCTTTGAACCAGCCGCGGTTAGTGGGTATGAAGAAGCCCGGCAAACTTAGTGCAAACGCGATAAAGATAAATATGGCGTTCACGACAGCAGCCGTCAGCGGCGTCCGCTTCAGCAACAGATGCTGTGCTACCGAGTCCATGTCTGGATTTGCGCGGAGGTCCTTTTCGGACATGAGGGCAAAGCCGATGAGCAGGCCGCCGGTGAGGAGGAAAAGGACATCGCTGGCGAGGAAGGAGACGAGGATCTTGTTGGGCATGATTGAGGGCGGGAATGAGGGACGTGTAAATGAGGGAGGGTATGGGTTCGAGTTCGAGTGCAAGCAGATGAAATGCCGTTCAACGGTCTTCTTCAAAGCAGCAGGGAGTGTCGTCAAAGGTCGTTCGTTTGTAGTAGATGGTCGAAAGAGGGAAAGACGGAAAAAATCGAAGATGAAAAGACAGCCAACAGAATGCCTGCACTCTGACTGCTAGAATTATTACAATGTCTACTACGGTGACAGAGAAGAAGGACAGAGGAGAAGGAGAGAAAGAAAGAGAGAAAAGGAAAGCTGCGGCGTAAGAGGCATTCAAGAGGTCTCGCAGACGTCGGACGACGCGGGCAGTCGGACACGTAGGGTTTCAGGCGCGCGTCAAGCCGGGGGGTGTGATTGGCGGGTGCAAGTGGGAGGAAGCATTTTGCGAGAGGGAGTGGAGATGAGTAGGCTGGAGAGAGAGAGAGTGAGTGAGTGAGAGGGAGAAAGAGAGAGAGGTGTAGAAGATGGTGGTGGTTAGTAGTTTGTAGTCGTAGTGTTGAGGAAGGAGCACAGTTGGACCTAAGGAAGGTACGACCCCCGGCGAGAAGTCCTTCCTCTTTCGTCAGGTGCGACGCAACAAATCTCCAATCTCCGGCGGGCGGGGAAATTGGGCGAGTTGATTTTCTGCCCGTTTCACATGCCGAGGATGGGCCGCCGGCAAGCTCCGAAGCCCCAAAGTCGCGCCCCTCGGTCAGCTGACCCCGCTAGGCCTGCCCCAAAAGGCGGCCGCCTTCCTCCTCCGTCGTCGACTAAACCTCTTTCTGGCCAGCGCCCGAGCAGGCAGACAGCAGCAAAGCAAAGCAACAGGTAAGCGACGCCCCAATGCCCATCGTCCACCCGCCCGCCACGCATATCGCCCCCCCCGCCGAGCCCTGGAGCACCTTTGCTCGCTCGCCAGCCAGCCCGTCGCACACGGCCCACCCGCTGGCTGCTTGCGACCGCTGCTCCCCGCCCGCGCCCTCGCATTCCGGGCCTGGCTGAGAACGGCGTGTCTGCAGCCGGGCGGGCGAGGGTGCGACTCGACTCATGCTGACCGTGGCTCGCGCGCCCAGGATCGCGTTCTGCGCCGCCGGTTGGCTCGCCCAGCCCGTTCTCCACCCTCCGCCCACAAGAAACGAATACCGCCCTCCGTCCGGCTTTTCCCAATCTCTCACCCAACCTTTACCTCTCTGAGACACTTCTGCAAAATAAGTTCATCCCCGGTCGGTACAAGTCCAAAGGCAAAAGCCAAGCAGCCCAGCAGAACTCGGTATGGCCTCTTCCCTTCTGTGCAACCCGCACGCGCCCACCCCCGTGCATTCCCTTGCTTGCCTCGCCCGCCACCCGACCCGTTCGCTGTCTTTACCAGCAGCCTTGCCTGATCCATCCGTAACTGAACGCTTGCTTTAGGCTTGGTTCGCAAAACGCGCATTCGCTGTCCTGTCCCCTCGGTCCGCTCGACAAACCGCTTTCCCTCGGTCGGACTCGCTCCATCCACTCTCTGCTCTGTGACGGGTGTTGCATCCAAACAGGAAATCGCAATACAGTATTCCCAAATCAGTCACCTACTAGCCACCACCCCAACTTCACACCATGGCCAGCGAAATCACCGAGCACGACCAGCAGCAGTCGCCCTCTGCTCACGACGACGTCGCCAACAACGGCAATGGTGCCCTCGCCCAGGGCGACGCCAACCGCGGCACCAAGCGCCCTCGTCCCCAGGCCGACGACGACGACGATGACGACGACAAGCCCGGTCGCGAGAGGAGAAAGATCGAAATCAAGTTCATCCAGGACAAGTCGCGACGCCACATCACCTTCTCCAAGCGCAAGGCCGGCATCATGAAGAAGGTGAGCGCGCATTGACCCCGTCGCGCATCGTCGACGCGACACGATCGCGTCGACACCGCCCCCATTGTCCCGCATTGGACCCCAATTGACTGACGGCTTCTTTTTCGCAGGCCTACGAGCTTTCCGTCTTGACCGGCACCCAGGTCCTGCTTTTGGTGGTTTCCGAGACGGGCCTCGTCTACACGTTTACGACGCCAAAGCTCCAGCCCCTCGTCACCAAGCCTGAGGGCAAAAACCTCATCCAGGTAAGCAAGCGCATCGCCCCGCGCCTGCGTGCAGCATGTCGCTGACCCTACCGAAGGCCTGCCTGAACGCGCCCGAGCCTGCCACAAACGAGAATGGCGTCGACGGCGACAACGCCGTCGAGTCGCCCGAGGACACCCACGCGCAGGTGACCCGCGGCGCTCCGGGTATGCCACCCGCCCCCGGAATGCCCGGCGGCTACATGACGCCCGAGCAAGCGCAGGCGATGCAGTACCAGAACTACCTTCATCACCAATCCCAAGCTGCTGCCGGCCAGTATCCTATGCCGCCTCAAGCCGGCATGCCCAGGCACCCTCAACAATACCCTGGGCCGGACCAGAAGCTGGCTTAAGCGATGAGACGACACGTCACCACGAGGCACGCGGGGAAGATCCATACACATGAGGAGAGTTTGCTGGTTTCAAAAGGAAAATCGATACCCCAAATCCCATACGAAAGGTAATGGAGCAGACTTGGCTGCTGCTCGCTCGTATATACCGGGAATGTATCTGCTCAATGGGATGGGCGGGTGGCTTGCTGGTGTCTGGAGGAGTCCAATTTCTGGTGGACTGCTGGTTTCTTGTTCACGTTCTCCTCTCTCCCCTTCCCTTCAATGTCCTTCATTGCTCGGACAGTTGATGTTCGACGAGCCCATTGCATCGCAACCCCCCTTTGTTTCCTGATTTTCATCTTCACACAATCCGACGATGATGGTTTGACGGCGGAAATGACGCGGCAAACGTGGTCGATGGGACGGTGGCCGATGGGGCTTGGGGGAAGAGGGTTTGCTGTGCCTACACTTTTTTTTTATCATATCCACACGTTCTCGCACCAACAGCTCCCCGAGATTATGCGCGCGCGCGTTTTGCTTTTTTCTTATTCCCCTCTAAAACATACGATAATACCCCGGACGGTTTTGGCTTGCCAAAAGCCTGGTGGGAACGAAGTGTAAGAACGTGGTATGGGATTCATTTTCTTCTAACTTCTTTTGCGGCTGAGAGAGAAATGAAGCAATTCATCCCCTTTACAATATGGTTTCCCGTGCCGTGCTACCAAAGAATGATCCGCGACCGGAAGTGGATACAAGAGCGGTCGCTCACTGCCGTGCCCCAACAAAGTTGACATCCTAATTGCGGACACGCGCGTTGGGTCGTGATTGAAGGCGCATAGGGACGTCGACTAGGCGTCATCGACAGGCTCACCGCTAGGTACCACGGCAATGGTCAATGATGCAGCAGCGCAGCATCGCAGAGGCGCACGACCAAACAAACGCTCGACTGCTCTCCGCTCTCGCTCGCCTATGAGCTGATTCGGGCAGGAGGACAAACAGCAAGCAATCCAAAGGCGGTAATGTTTTTTTTTTTTTTTTT